AACCCCAGTGAGTTTGTGGACACTTGAGGCCAACAGTTCTTCAGAGTCATTTCTAGCTTCTGCTTAAATAAAAACAAAAAGCAACCTCACCCCACCCCAAAAAAGCAGGCCAGCATGTTATGGAAAAGTACAACTTGCAAAGCAAATGAAACAGGTTTCGGTGAAGCAGAAAATCAAGCAAACATGATTTTAAAAGCATGATGGAATTCAGTCTACCTTATTTGTTTCTGCTGTCACTTAGAAAGAGAGCCCTTTTCTCCTCCCACTCTGGATTGGAATTGCTTGAGATACAGAGATGTTAAGAGCAATGATTAGAAAGAGAAACACATGCAGTTTTGTTACTGCAGAGGCTACAGTCGGCAACACTTAACGCATCATCTTCTTTATTGGCTATTGTAAAACCAATACATTAGTAAAAGAAAAAAAAATCCTAGAGGGTCTACCATCAAGCAGGGACTTCTAAGCACTTTACAAGGATGCCTATTTTTACTAAGTGCAACTTTGCCCCCTGCTGTTCAAAACAGTGACGACTTTCTCTATCACACTTTAGAGCTTCTTGGTACAACGCATTTCTTCAGCATGTAAACAAGCTCATGTTTTTGCAAGATGATCATAATTGTTCTTTAGTATACATTATATATGTATAAAATACATATGTTTCAGGAAATTACATATTATGTAACACAATCAGATTCAGGAAGAAGACAACACTAAGACTTGCCCAGTGGAAAAACACCAAAGCACTGCTAGTGAATGCTATCAGTGCAGGGGAAATGTGTCCCCTCGCATTAACAAAGGGCAGTACATAGAATTCAAAGAACTATTTTTTTCAGAAGCAGGAACACTTTTTTTATTTCCAAATTAAGAGTCAGTTATGGCTGAATGTTACAAATAATAAAGCAATGTGTATGCTTTACTTGGTAACAAAAAGTTCCTTATACTGAAAAGCTTAGAACCTGTAATTTGATACAGAAAGAGAATTCAGGGAATGAGGATGGGGCAAAAGCAAATAGAGAAGACTGTGAACTTCCTAGCCCAGACTTACATTTGGTTGTGTAATTTACACATAGGTAAGCCCGTAATTTAGTCCTTCTAGGACATTGCTGACTAGCCTTTAGGTGACAATGCCCTCAAATTTCAGCTACCCACTGTTATAGTATAAGGAAGTACCCCAAAATCTGCAAAGTAGTCCATTGGAGTACTTCTTACCCAAACATATGGGACATAAATGAGGTTAAGTAATGCTCATCTTAGCCTGTTTTGAATGCTGGGAAGTGAAGCAAATGCCTCCTTCCAAAACAAAGGGTCTGAAATCTGTGGATGGAAAGCAGAGTTATGCTAATCATAACTTGGTAGCCCAAAGTATTCTTATGCTGATTGTGCACTGATGTGGAAAAATATCTGAAATGATCTGTACCAGCTAAACCTAAAATCAATTGTTATGCTGATGCTATCTAACCTCCTGGGGAAAACATTCAAACAATGGTCTTTCATAGGGACATGAAGACTTATCAGAAGCAGTTTGTGTCTGGGGTACATAAAGGCCCTAGAAAACACAGAATGTGGGATGGAGGTCGAAGATTATTCTTAGTACAGGGTAAGCCTAAAAGACTGAAATTGAAGGTGAGATTTGAAGAGATTTGATGGTATCATGCGGATGTTCTGGAAAAGGGTAATAATATTGAAGTGTAAAAGGACACTGAGTACACAAGAAGATAGGGAGCATAATAGACTGTTTTGATCATCGAAGGGAGCAAATTCCTGAGTGCAGAAATGCCAGTGATTCCTACAGTTGCTGCTGATTAGAGTGCTAAAACAATGCCAGAGATGTTGCACATAAAAATCAAAGACTGAAGACATGGCTGAGTTTAAAGTAGAAATTACAGCCCAGGTAGATGGAGAGGAGGTGGCTGCCTCAAAGAAAACCACAGCAAAATACAGTTCACAAGAGGAGCAAGCAGCACCGTGTGCGGTGATGAAGGAATTGTATTGATGGCTGGAAGTTTTTATTAATATATTACTAAAATATGCAATGCAGGCATTAATACAAAGATGAGGACTGAAAGCAAAGTTTAAGGGGGAGAAGAGATAGCTATGCCAGATGGATTATAATGATTCATGTTGCAATCACAGTGGAACTGTGCTGTCATAGAATACTACAAGCCACCTGAAATGCAAGTTAAGATATGAAATACAATTTGAGATGGAGCACAGAAGATACTGCACAAAGCAACACAGAAGTGAAGAGCCACATGGAATGAATGATGGGAGTGTGGATTGTGAAGTGATGGGAGAGCCAGTAGTGCCAGAATTGGGAAAAAGAAGTCATTGCAATCTTTGTGGTCTCTCTCGAATACCTGGAATAGACCTCCAGACCAACAATGTCCCGGCTCACTTGTCATTTTTTGGATTTTATCCAAGAATTGTGCAGATGAGTGGATTGCAGGAGCCATTTTCAATTTTAATAAACCACCCAGAGACAGCCTGTTCCTGGGTTGTTTCATGATGTGCAAACCCAGAAATTCTGAGATTATGGATTAAACAACATAATTTTGCAATGAGCATCCCAGTGTTTCTGGGTTCAGGAATAACAAACCAAGGAAAAGGATGTTTCAAGTCTTAATAGCTCATATGGAAATGGCTGCTCCACTCACCTGACAATTTCTGGGTTAAACCCAGGAATTACTGCCCCAAATTCCATTTTAGTGTGGAAACTTGCTGCTACAATTTTCAGTTACTATTGCCCAATTGCATTTCTTTTCTGCAAATAATGAAGTCTACTGGGCTATTAGTCTACAAGTTCTCATGCAGCAGGCTGGTGTTCCATAAGAAGCCTGTTTTAAGTAAGCCAGATTCCACTCTCCCTTCACCTAAAAATCTTGTTTTGAATTATTCCTGTTTTTCTTCAGCTACAGTTCTCATGAAGCCAAGATGATTCTGAACAGTAAAATATCAAGAGTTCCTTGTAATATCAGACTCTGTTGTAGCCAGTTAGAACAGGGGTACACAGTCTGTAGCTAAGGGTACCTAGCCTTCTCAATGCCATTATTTCCTTTTTACTTTCTGCTAGTTCCTAGAGTATCAAGGTTGCTGGGATGCACACACATACATATGTACTTGCACGCCCCCCCAAGTCTTCAGCATATGCAGCCTTCAGCATGGAAAAGGCTGCATACCACAGCTAGATGCTGTCTGCCTACTGAAAAACATGCCAAACCATGGACAGCTCAATGTAGCTGGCAGAAGTTATATTCACACACGGCACCAAGAACCATGAAGTTACCTTTTTTACCTTGTGTCCTGCATTCATATGGTCACGAAGTAGCTACTTATGAGTAGTTCCAAGTGACTTCATGTCCCCTTCAAATGGCAGCATGTATCCCATCAGTACCCTGGCTGAAAACCAACCCCAGTGTGCACTGTTCCTGCCCACCTTTCCTTCATTGGCATGGTCTGAGTTGGCTGCCTTTTGGGTCATTTTTTCCTGATGCTTCGTGGAGCAACTGCATACGTGCTAGAAGTGCACTACAGGAATGCTCCCTGCTGTGTCAACATGCAAGCACACCCACACCTCCCCACTTGCACTTGCGTCCACCCACCCCCGCCCCATGTGCAGACTTGCACTCATTGCCAGAGACTGCCTCCCTGAGCCCAGGCACATTAGCATGGGCACCTGTGTCAGGGATAGAGGTGGTGTTTCCTGGTGGGAAGAGTTTCCCATGGGAGTGCTTGTATGCAAAGGCCTGCGAATTTCTTCAGGCTGGCCAGAAGGAATGTGTTTGTCCTGCAGCTGTGGGGATTATGGACGATGGGGTTTGATAGTTGATAGCCCTTAGGGATGCCAGAAGCAAGATAGGAATGGCAGGGAGCACATAAAAGAGTGCAGAAAATCATGACAAGCAATGTGGAAATGTAGAAAACTTACCTTGGTTCTCTATAATGATTCAGGATAACCAAACTTACCATGCTTCCTGCATTCCTGCCATGGCTTGTTGCTATGCTTGAATATAGCCAGAGAGTCAAACCATAACATGATTAGACTTCCTGATATATTTTAACTGAAAAACAGCGTTGGTTATCAGGAGAAATTGCATTATGGATATTCTCCTGGTTTAATAGCTATTTGTCAATCCTGGTAAAATGTCAATAACAAAAATCAGGTTGATGACTTCTCATCCAATTATTTCTAGGCAGTAGTCCTGACTTTAGTATTCTGCATAGCAATTTTCTTAATTAAGTTCTTAATAAGCTGCATATGCAGAAATGAAGAAAAGGCAACTATGGGATTTCCATAATATGCAGGCCACATACTGTAGCTTCTCAGTGATCTGGGAGGTGACTTTGCACAGAGAAGATATAAGCAAAGTTCAACTGGATACAGTGCAAAAATCTAACAAAAATCAAAACCCACAGCTATGAAGGAACACTACGTTCACAAAACTGAACAAGATCAAGACTTCCAAATTAAAAAAAAAACTTTTTCAAACTGCCTCAGAAAAAAACAAAGTATTAGTTAAGAACTTCAGTCAAAATTTCCATGCCCATCTATTGTTTCAGTTGTTTGGGATTTTACTATGTTTTACTAGTTTGCAATTTATATTTCTTTTTTGTTGCTAACTACTTTGATTGGTGTTTCCATAAAAGCATACACAAATGTATTGATGTATGAACTTTCTCCTGATGTATTCAATCATCTAGCCATCAAGAGAATATCAGTGGGAAAGATGTGCATTACTAATTCTTGACCACTATACATTTTGGAAGTTTGCAACCTCTCTAATAGGGTTAAACAGATCTTCAACTTCAAAGGTACCATGTTTCTTTCTGTGTATTACACCAACTAGGATCTGCTCCCTCCAGGAGCTGCTAAGTCCCTTGGCTAGTATTTGTTACTTTAAAATATTTAAATCTTCTAGTGCAACATTTTACTGTTAGTACAGACTGGACTGCATGTTATTACTGAACTGAAGATTTCAGTATAGAAGGCTTTAATAAGACAGTTTTACTAATATTTTTTATTTAGAAAGAACTAGAGCTCCACACCAATATAAAAAAGTTATTGAAAAGTTCATAAGCATAACTTGCTTCATTCTTCTCTCACTTCTCAGACACCAGGGTAGAACTTGGGAAGAGACAACATTAAGTACCACATACTTTCTTCTGCAGTTTAAAGATAAAAATAATAATCAGAGTACACTGGATAACAATTTCTAGTTAGAAACACTTTGTAGAAGAGTAATATTGTCCCCTTTTAACATGATTCGACCTGTAATGGAAAATAACACTTATTAGAGCTATGTGAATAAAATACATTTCCTATTTATTCAATTTCCAGTTAAATGTACAATCTGCATTATCATGCTGTCTTCTGTACTGAACATGTACCATCAATATTATGCAAGTTGGCAAAATATGTAACATTTATATTAAACTATCCGATTCTCCCTTGTCCTACTTTACATCCTCATGGCCCAATTAAGTATTAATTTGTCCTTTTAAATGATCTCAGTAATACTCCAGGATAGGATGCATTATAAAACAAATGACAAAAGAGAAGGATGGGTGGTGGCCGCTATAAACAAAATTATACTCACCCAGCTGTTTCCTTGATTTTGTCTTGGAATGAATCTCCTCTGCATCATCCAGAACCAGGTTCATATATTCATCAAACCCCTATGAGCCAAAACAAAAGTTAGCAAATTCCCATATAACAAGAGCGGGAAGAAATCCAGCAGTGGATGTAGTCAAATTGTCAAACCTCATCACACACAGTTTTTTGTTTCAACTACTCTTATTTTATCTATTTATTTTTACCTTTCAATTATTCAAGATTTCCATAGTGGCTTCCAAAAATTACAGTGTCATAAGTCAGTTAAAGGTGCAGTGAAATAAAGTTTTGGTCTGGTGACTAAAAGTTGGTAGCAGATGAATCACCATGGAAACTGAGGTTCATTTGGAACAAGATCATCTACAACCATGTTCCATCCTCAGTAGGTACCCACCAACTTCTAAAGGTGAGGGGACCCAGAGAAGGACCTACAATGAATCAACATTCATGTGAAAGTAAGTTGTCCTTTATGAAATGAAAATAACCCTAGGCAGGTCTTTGCCTGCATGAACAATGGTAGAAAACAGGGAGAGATGTGGATGGAGACGTAAGCCCCATTCTCAATTCCCCTCACAAGCCTGGCAATCAGTTGATAACATAGGATTCACAATAAGCATATTTAATTGATTTTGCTTAAAACCCTTTATAAGCTTGTGTGCTCAACAAGCAAATGTCTAACCAGCAGCTGGGTATGTAGGGACTCTGGAGTGTATCCCATATGTGCATCTACTTCCTTTGGCATGTGTCCCACTTTTTTCCTACAAGTGAGCAGAGCATAGGGCTGAACGACAATGACTTCCAAGTGTTGGGCTTCAAACAATAAGACCATCACCTTCTGTGTGATCATTTGAGTCAATGTAGCCCTGCCCTTTAATTTTAATTCACAAGTTTCCAAATGAGAATAGTTAAAACCACTGTAATACACAAGATCAGTAACACAACAGAAAAGGTTATAAAAAAGTAATGAAATTTGTTCTTGATACATGCTGCCAAGTCATCTCTGACCTAAGGAGACACCATGAATGAAAGCCTTCCAAAACATTTGATCCATGACAACCCCGCTCACGTCTTGCAAAGTCAAGGTTGTGGCTTCCTTTATGGAATCAATCCATCTCACATATGGTCTTCCTTTTCTTAATCCTGTGAGGCAGGTTGGCCTGAAAGTTTGGGACTGGCCCAAAGTCACCCAGTTGGCTCCATGGCTAAGCAGGACTAAAACCCAGATCACCTGAGTCCCAGTACTGCACTTTTAATCATTACACCAAATTGGCTCTTATGTTTATGGTACATTATCCAGGGAACTTTACAGGCTGGCATATAAGTGTCAAAAATAGAGATACAGACCACCAATCTGTCTAGATCAGTACTGACTAGTGTTCAGTTCTCTGGCTCAGAAGGAAGCTTGGGTTCATCTTACTTACCACAGCCTGGCTCCCCTCTTGCCATGGTGAGTTGAGTAAGCAAGATTATAAAATCCTGTGCACCAGGCAAAAACATGCTTATTTAATGTACTTGCTTCATCTTTGTTAGAAGTGAAGATACAAAATTCACTTGCAGGTTACTTGCATGATTTTTTTTTAGGAAAAGAAGCGTTTAGGAAAAGTGAAAGTAAGTATGTTTGTTGGTGAGTGAGAGATTGCAATACTCACAATAATACAGCCTTCTATTCGCATGTTCACCTGTTCATACAGCCACACTTGAATCCTGGACCTCTGCAAAGTAAACAGAGAAGAAGCTTCCTGAATAGGTGTTCCAATCAGGCAAATTAATTTGCATGGGGCCAATGTCCTGGTTCTTTGGTAAGGCAGAGCTAGAGATGCAAATCATTAGAAAACCATCTATACCATTAGAAAAGAATAATTTGTGTATACTAGACACAGACATAATACTCCAAAAGTCTGCAATGTTGTTATGAAGTTTAGCTCAGTATATATATACTGCTGGCCCTATAAGACTGTCACACCAAATAACAATTTTGTTTACTGTAACAGTTACTATTTTCAATGTTTGTTTCCTCAGATAGCAAAAACTGATACACATGTGCCTAGGAAGTATAGTGTGTAACACTTTCCATCTCTCTCTTTCTGGCATTCAAACTATTTTCATAGGTACATACCAAAGGTATTAATATTTGAGAATATAATCTTATGTGCTTAACTGGGAGTAAGCTGTATTAAACAGAGTGGCTCTTACTTATTACTAAGCATGCATAGGATTGCTCTGTAAATCTCAAATATGTCAAATGTTGTACATGATGCAATATATGGGTTTGCTAAGGAAATATTATCTATATTTTGATTTCCTCACAAATCCTGTTTTGCTATGGCTCAGGATTTCTAGGAAGGGCATTGAGCAGCATGCAGCTCCCCATTTCTTGATGAATTGCAGAAAAGTGAGGAGAGGATTCATTTTATGCCACATTATACTTTGGAAAGGCTCCTGCCTGTTTCAATGCATGGAGAGACTTATAACTTTTCTTCTGAGCACAGACTTTATGTCTAAACACCAATACCCCGAATTATGCCCAAAAGACTCAATTTGACAACCAGGATGATAATCACGTCAGAAGTGAGTTGTTCATGATAAAAAAATCAAAATTACTTTCTACTTTCTGCATGCTGAAAAGTAAAGGTCAAGCTCAGAATCCTTTTCGAGAGCTATAATAAATGACAAAGTAGACGTAGCAATATGTATATTTCAAATACATTAAAATTATTAGAACATCTATTCAAGGAGGCATGCAAAACTACTGACCTTCTTAGGTGGCAACACCAAGATTTTGGAACTCCCTGCTAATACCCCTCCATGATGGCTTTTCACCACTTTTTATTTTAATAGGTCTTTTGATTGTTGAGCTGTTAAAGAGTTTTTTCCTGTCTCATAATAGTACTGTTTTTAGGCTTCTGGGGAAATGCATTATGTTTTGTTCTAGTGCCATCACCATTTTTATTGTTTTTAGCCATAAGTAAACACATAGCCACATAAAATTTGTGTTTGTTTAAAAACAACCAACCAAAAAGAAAGATGAAATACAGCTTCTTGAGCCATTTTCCATTAAAATTTAGCTTCAGACAGATGTGACATAAAGAGTTCCCTTCCTCTGAACAAAACAAGATGTACAGAAATAACATGTTGGTCAAATACATACATTAAAGAAGGAAAAAAAGTTTTTACTTACATTCTGAAGGTATCTGAAGATGAGGTTCTAGAACAAGTGACTTAAGGAAAAACAAATTACAAAAAGAAGCACCTAGCAAGTATATTACGACTAATATTAGAACAACCTCCTCCCAACACTATCTAAAGCAAACAGTTTAGGAGTCACAAATTGGTATGCCTTCAGCAGCTACTAAAAACAGCTACCACATCCATCACCAAACCCAATCCTACAGAAACCAATAGAGTATTACTGCTACCTACATCTTCTGCAGTATGTGGTAAGTACATTCCATGCTGGCTGAGGTTCCCCATCTACTTAATGCTGGAACCAAGAGCTGAAATAACTATTTCCCCAATCTAATAAGCCACATCTATCCCCACGTGTTATTGCTTGTTACATTTATGCCCCATCTTTCTCCAAGCACTTCTCTCAACCACTCTAATTTAGTCCCCAAAAATCTCTAATATACCTATGTCAATTAGGGTGAAGGTGTGCCATCTATAGTAGGAAAGTGAACTTGAAGCACAGTCCAACTAAGCACTATGCTACATAAATGAATTTCAACTTCTAGTTATTGTAACAACGCTTTCTCATAGATCTCATCCATTTTATCCATTAAAGGGACAACGCTATAGAAGTTTAGACAAGAAAAAGCATTACTAACTGGCGCATGCTTGGGATTGCAGACCTTTATTTCCTCTTAACACGCGCGGGACTAATGCCCTAATACAAGTTATACAGGCTGCTCCAGAAAAGAAATTCTGTCGGGCATCACGCAGGGATTAAAAACGAAATTAAAACATGATAAAAGCCAGAAGCCACTTTGAAGGACAAAGGGAGACCGTAGGTCAGGAAACCTCAATTTAAATCGGAGGGGTGGCCGTCTCCTCAAGCTCCCGTCGTCCTAACTCTTAACAGCACAATCCTACGCAGTCCCCAGGAAAAGCTACGAGCTACAGGGCTTATTCTCCGTTTAAATGTGTGCAGGAATACGTGTTCGCGTCGCCTCCCGCCACTCTTCCATCTGCCTCCATCGCTACAACCCCGGCCTCCCCACCCGCCGCGCGCGTTGTCCATCAGGCCCTTCCCTCAGTTTCCGCAGGCCCCGCCAGGCTTGCTTCCCGCGACCCAGCGGAAGGATACGATGGGCTGGACCATCACCTTCTGAACCTTTTGGCCCTGTCCGCGATACGCCATGGCCGAAACCTGGATCGGGGACCGCACAGAAAGTCGTTTCGACACTCAACGACGACCAACAGCGAGCAGCCCGCTTCAACTTCTTTCTTTCGCACGCACGCGCGCGAATCACGCTCCGCCGACGTAGCTGGAGAACTTCCGCCACGCAGCGGAAATTGCGTATGGTATGCCGTTTCTATCATAATGACAGCCGGAGGATCACGTGATTCGAAGGTTCGTTCTCTTTTCTCTTTTTCTCCCACCTTCCCGTTTCTGCCATGATACTTGCGGGCAGGACTGGTAGATCTCGCGTTCAGGCGCCATCTTGGGGGAGGGCAGTGGAGCAGTTGACGCCAACGGCTTGAGTCCTGCCTCCTGTCCAGGGAGAATAGAGGAAGGCTCGGTGGCTCGAGGACAGACGACTCGTTGGCAGCGGCTCCTTTTCGGGGCTCGGTAAAGTCCCTGCGCGCGGGTGACAAGGGTCCGGGTTCCCTCCACCCTCTCCCAGCTGCATACATATGCATAGGGGCTATCTTGTGTATAATTTGGTGTGTTTTCCCTCGACGGGGGCAGCTTCCCGTAGGCCCGTGGCCTGGTAATCGGCCATAAAATATTTACTTTTGAGGCCTGTCATCTTCCTGCCTCCCTCGGGGCCTGCTCTTATTTACGCTTTCGCTGTGCTGTTTTGCTTTGTTAAGCGCGTATTCCTAGCCCTTCTACGAGGTTGTTTACCTCGTCTTCGTTTTTATTTATTTATTTATTTATAATCTGCCGCACCAATTCGGCTCTTTCCCCACCATCACCTCGAAAGAAGTCTCTTCTGCTTCATTTTGCTTTTTATAATCGTGGAATCCATATTACCACTTTCTTTTTGATTTTTCTGTGATCTCAGAGCCCCTGTTGCTATTCTTTCTAAAATTCGTCTAAAGAATCCGTTGTTTCTCTCGACTTTCTTGTGAAAATCTAGTAAAGGGAAGGATTAGTTGGAAGGATAAAAGTTGTTCAAATTTATCAGCCAAAGATGGTAAAAGTAGGGCAAAGTAAAAGTCCCAGGCTGCCTATTTCTTGAAACATTCTTCCCTCAACCTGCAAATTTTCATTTGAGTATTTAAAAGCTCAGCTTATTCCTTCGATTTGATACTACTCTCTGACGTCTCATTCAGTTGAATCCCAAAAGTATCAAAAATTAGGAGCTTGAGTAATTCTGGTTTTTTCTGTAGTTGGCATAGGGTATTGCACTATGGGAAGCCATCTAAAAGACAGTATTAAAATAAGGTTTTTCAGGCAAACATATAAATACATTGGCTATCACTGCATTTACTTGGTGACATTGATACTAATTTCTAAAACAGTTTATTAACATGGTACATGCTGTACTTGAAAGATTGAACTATGCACCTAGTGTGTGAGTTAACCTAAGATAACTAATTTTGAATCCAATAATAAAATGTCATGGAAAACAGAACTGTTGCTTTCTGATCATATTAAGTTTCATGGAGATTGCTACTTTAGTGAAGACAGAATATGGGAATATGGAGTATCTCTAGTACCCAAATGACCTAGGCAACAATTTTATTGATAAATTAGATGATGGGTCTTCCAACTGAGGAGCCTTTGCTTCTAAAATATGTTGTGGTATAATGGAGGAAAGAGAAAGGTTTGTTATAAATTTTATATAAGAGTGAATCTATGCATAATGGCCTTTATAATACATATATTAAATCCTTTGCACATTTGGTACAGAATGAAAATGAACACCTGCTAATTTAGTGTCTCTTTCTGTATTCATCCTGATGTGCAAATATGAAGTACTTTACTTTTAAGTGACAAAGGAGCTGTTGCTCGATTCCAATGCCCAGTCTGCCAGAGAAGGCAGTTTGCTAAAAATGTTGGGAGTGGGGGATTAGGACTAAGAGTGGCCTATTGCTCTGAAGCAAGGCATTTTACAAGTTGTGTCAGGAGATTTTAGAACTTCATCCATTGTCTACATTTATTCCAGGTTAATTTTTAAATATGCTTATATTTAAAATAAAGGGTTGGCTGTGGCAAGACAGACACTATTGTTGGATCATCGATTCTTCAGCAGTTTGCCCAAGCAGAACGGGCTTTTGGGCTGTCCCAAAAGACAATTTGAGTGGCCTTTTTGATGATAACTGTGACCTTTCACCCATCTTCTTGGAAGTAGAATACATTAGCAGTTTGGAATGTATTCCCAATATGTCTCTTCCAGATGGTAGCTATATTAGTATGGTTCAACAAAACAACAGGTTCTTATGGCATTTTAAAGACCAGTCAATATTTTATTTCAAAAGCTTTTGACGGCCAGAACCAGTTCATCCGATATTCATATTAGCAGAGATGGTATGGTAGAGTCAACGGACTAACATTCTGGCAGTACTAGGAGGAAAAATGATGTGATGTGAAAGGATTCTACTGAGGAAGATAATTTTATAAGATTTGCCAATGATGTTTATCTTACTACTGCAGCTTTTTATTTGTCTGGAGAAAACACAGCTTACTTACAGAAGGTAACAAAATTGACCATCACATCCATATGCCAGAAATTGGGGAAAGACATAGCACTGCCTGGAACTTTTTCTACACTGAAGCCTAATATGCCTTTTGACCTGAAACATCAGGTTTTTTAAAAGATAGGATCCCTAAAGGGTAGGTGAAGGATATGTTTTTGTTTCTGGACTGTTAATGGTCCACATATCTGTTTTTCTGTTGTCTGCATAATCCTTTTCACTGAATTCTGGCCAACCTAACTGAATGTAGCAGTGAGATGAATGGAGCAGAAGTTGATGTTTTTTCAAATTTTTATGCAAATATCACCAGAGTAGTGTTTCCCGTATCATTTTTCAAGACAATGGCACCGTTTATTTTGTACAGTGCTGGGAAAGAAAAGATTTTCTTGACTTTAGAGAAATCTGTAAAGAAACAAATTCATTTAGATTTTCAAATGCAATTTACCCATGATTTGCTGATAGTTTTATGTTCCGCTCTGCATTTTTTAAGAACAGCACCTCCCCTTTTCAGCTTATATAGTGCTGGAAAAGTTTTAGAAAGTACACATTACTATGAATATTGCAAAATATTGTACAGCAATTGTACTTTATAAGACTTCACAACAGTTGGAATGTGACTTTTCCTAGTTTCTCCTCTCCCCTTCTTTCTTTCTAAGGGCAGACTTGAAGACATTTATTCAGTAAGAGGCTCTAGTCTTGTTCATGCACTGTTCTTATGTATTGTTTATAAGTATTTCATGTATTCATCCAGGACAAATCCTGAACACAAAATGATTAAGAGTATGTCAGTAGATGCTAGAGCAATTAGTCACTATTTCAGCCAGTCAGTTAAAATCTATCAAATAGTTGAAGAGTAAAGCTTCTTAACCATCTTTCACAACTGTACTTAAAAGAAGCCATAGCTTCTCTGTGGAAACTCCTTTAAATTTTGTAGTGCTGCTAAAAGGCAATACAGAAATGGCTAGGGCTTATGATGGCTTATGTGTATGAGACATCCCTGAGCTGTTTGAAAAGGTTGCAGACTCAAGTGCTGCTCTTGGACCATCATTCTGATCTTACAAAAAATGAAGAAGAGCTTTCAAATCAAAGGTGCCATTGTAGCTTTAGCTCACTGGATGGTGTGTTTTTCAAGACTGAAACTGATTCTTGGATGAGGCCTGTGCTTGGCCTCCTACTCCTAGATTCCTGCTTTGGAGAATAAGATATACTATCCTCACTGTGCAATCCAATGCATGAAGTAGGCCTTGTCAAGTCAAATGGCTCTTACTCCTAAATATGTGTGTGGCATTGCAGCTTCAAAGTACAATCATGGAAGTTACAGATGCATTATTGGGGAGGCAGCATCTGGACATCTTTGGACTATGGTTGTCAAAACTTACACCACTAATCATAAGCGTATTCTGGGGATTTTAATACCTACCAAATGCTGTTGATGCCACCAGCTACTGCTATAGACCATTTCAAAGGGCAGTTTTTAGGCAAGTGCAATTAACAGAAATCTATATTTTGGTGGAAGAAGCTGAGCAATTGGTTGGCATTGGCCCAAGCAGGCATAAATTATCTCAGTTGCTTGATCTTCAGTGTCAATATCACAAGAGTTTTGGACTCTGAACACAAGTTTGCTTAAGGTTTAGACTATTGAGCAGATTTCTTAAGATAAAGAGAACTATTTTGTATATAATCTTCATTCACTCCTTTCACTTTGATGTGCATCAGGCTTCTCACTGCCATGAAATTGTGAGCTAGATTTATTTCTGTTATTCAGGACAGTTGGATGTTGCTTTCTATTTTTATCATTAGAACCAGCTGGTTTATGGACTTCAGAACATCTTACCGCATCCTCAGTGAGTCAGGCATGTGTTTGCTAGTTGAAGTGTCCATTGGACAGTATGAACAGATTTTCTGCTTAAATTATTCGGTTTATATTTCTGGAAGTAGTTAGCCAATAATCAGTTGACTCTGCAAGCTTTTGTACCATCTCAATACATCTTAAGCTTCATCAGGATTGGCAATACTATCTTGAGAAACTAATTGGCTTTGAAATACTATTCCAACTATCAGACTACACCAGAGTTACTCCCATTATTTTTACAGAAAAAGGTGGACAAATCATTCATTTCATTTTCTTGATTTAAACAGCTGAGATTTTTCACCTGATAATGTTATCGGTTAGAAGTGCTGTATGTATTTAAATCATGGCAGATAACCAAAATGCTTTTTAACAAGTGTTGAACTGGAATTTATAGCTGAATAAACCAAACATGCTGTGTCATATAATAGATACAGTATGTGTACAGAAATTACACCTTATATGGAAGAGATAAATACATTTTTATGTATTTGCAAAATGGAAATATGTTAAGTTCATTTGCTTCTGATTTGCGGGTGTGTTTTGACCATTTTTCCAGTTGGGAGAAATATGATATGAAACAGTGTAGCTAAAAGGTTTTCAGTTGATTCATTACCCACAATTTCCCCCCAGATTTATTTGTGGAGTAATATTGAATTGTGGCAAATAGTGGTAATATGAATTCGACACACATAATTCCTTAATGTAGTTTACACCTTTTGAAACCCCATTATTAATTAATGTAAGCAAATCAAGCTTAAGTCTCAGAAAAGGAGGGGGGGCGGAAATACAAGCAAGTAACCAAAATGTGTTGCTGTAGATGGTAGATTTCTGATCCTGATTCAACATGAATTTAAAAACAAAAACAGATCCTTTTCTCTGTTCATTAGAGTTGGAGAAATAACATGCCAAAATTATTTAAAATATGCAAGTCATTTTGTAAGTAAAAGGTTCCAGACCTGTGTTCTTCAAGTGCAAGAAACTGCATGCTTTCAAAATAAATTTTAAAGAGAAATCAGTGTCTTGCAGTAAAGACATTTTTATTTTGATCACATCATGGTGGGGATACATCACTTGAAAGGCTGTTGGACTTGCTGCATCCTTTCAACCTTATCACTGAAAAGTTGTGCCTTATGATAAATCTTTGCAGGGATGTTTGGGGTGACAGAACAAAAGCAGGCACTGAAGAAAAGAAATGGAATATCTTGAAAGCAAAATTAAATGATTAAATTTCCTTGATTTTATGCATCCGCACCTGTTTATTTTCAAGAGCTATAACGCAGTTGTTTTTTGCATAAAATTCACTGCAATCCAATTTGTCTAAAATTAGTTCTTAAAACTTACAGCTACATACATCATGTGTGTACCCTGTGTCTAAGAGTATGTGCATTGTAACTGTTGGCGCTTATACATGTATGGTAAACAATTGGCTAAAATATAGATTTGTATGAAAAATTAACCACTCTGACTTCCCATATTGAACTCTTTTCAGTTGCAACATAGCCTTTTACTGCTGTACTTGTATATATATTGATGCATGTATAAACACATATGTAAGGCAGCATATATATGTGTATATACATATTTAAGTTTATACATACAAGTTTTTTTTACTATACATTTAATAAAGATCGGGGAAGATTTTTCCTTTTTTCCAATAGGTGAAGAAATCTTGAAGACCAGAAATTGAAACAGTGTGTTTTAATTAAAAAAAAAAAAAAAAAAAAAAAGTTAAATTTACCGGCTGTAGAAGATGTCCAGCTTCTTCTTTGCAGCCACTTTGAAACGCAAGTTCATCTTTAAATGAACTGTTTATTTTGAAGAGGCAATTAAACTTCACTGTCTTCAGCCTTCCTGACCATTCAGATGGACTTGCTTTCTCCAATAGTTGTAATTCACCCTCTGTTTGAATTTTGAATGAGGATGACATGTGTTTCCTTGGCAATGTGAGGAAGAAAAGTTTCTATCCCATTGTTATCAATTCACGGATTGAGTGTTGATTCGACCTACAGGAGAAAAATAGCTGGAAGTCTTTGAAGATAGTTATTTGCTGAACTTATCAAGGTATATCAGTGAAAAGTGTATTCATTTGTGAAGGTTGGGGAAGTGCACTTTAGAATTTAGCTGTGCTTCAGCAGTTTCTATGTAAATCACTGTTAAACCACTAGTTAGTGGTAGTTTTCACTAGAAGCTGAAGTTTTTCCAATAGCATGTTTGAATGTTTCTCTGATCATTTAGCTCTGCACACGTCCCAATCACAGATGTGCCTTATATGTCTGTGTGAAGTATTGGTATTGCAATTGTGGTATGATAGAAATCAGACAGAATCCTTTTGTAATGATATTTCTGTAATTTTTCTGTAATTTAGGTTTCCTATTCATTGCCAAATATGAAATTTCATTTTTAAGTTTATTGCAGGATTAGGGCCTTAATGCTGATATAACTCTGTAAACCAGGGATGGGCAACTTTGTCAGAGTCTGGGGCCATTTTCTACCCCTTCCCAAGCAGTGAGTGGCTAGCCAAAGATGTTTTGGCAATAAACCATCATAAAAACTTAAGCCTCCATAGCAGTTTGCCACCAACATTTTAGGCAAAAAGCCTTTTTATTTTTTGCTAGAGGCTGGTGCAGGTCTACTTAAGAACAGGGGTGAATATGAATATGGACCACAGACTGCCTGTTATCTACCCTGATGTGAAAAGCACTAGGAAATTGGAAGAAATGCAGATTGGTTTGTTTGTAAATTGGGAACTAGTAATACCAAGCCTGTATAGAAGTGGAATTTTGTCTGCCTTTAGGACTTTAAAGACTTCAGAACTTTTTCATTGGCATTGACACTAAAAGAGTAATGAACCTTCTGATAACTCAAGTGAAGACTTTTTTGATTCTCTTTTTCTACTGTTTCTAAGATTATATTAAAAGAAGATAACAGTAAATCCAGCCAATAGAAGATTTCCAGCCCAAACGAAGCTGCACCCAGCCATCACTGAGAATTCAGCTATTAGGCTTTCCACGATAAGTTTGCAGTAAAGATTCAGCACAGGATGTCTAATCAAGGAGACGATTGTTACTTTTATTTTTACTCCACATGTACCAAGGTTTGTAATTTCCTGCTGCTTCCATCTTTGCTAATTATGTTTGTATTGTTGCAAATAGAATGTAGCCTGATAAAATCAAGTGAAGGCATTACTCTCTGCTTACTGATAATTTAGTGGCTTTATTAGTAATGTCGTGAAAATTATGCAAAGTTGTAATCAAGTCATCAGAGTTATAGTCAGAAATAGAAAATGCATTCCATTAAATCTTGGTAATATTAGGCATGTTTCTAAGTAATGTATGTCTCTTTTACCAGATGCTTTTTGTGTAACTTATTAAGCTAGTTTGCATGACACAACACAGCATTGTGTGTTAATTTACTCATGAGAAGTTGGGGTATGTGCCAGTTTCCACTAGAAATATTCAGGCCCCATCCAGGGGTTTTCTTGGCTTGTGTCATAAAAACCTGGATGAAAGATTATTTGAGGATTAAAGAACATTTACTGAACTCTCAAACAGAGCATGGATTATGAGAGGGCTAGTCAGGGCTAGTCAGTCCTCAGCCTCTGCCACCTGGGTTCACATAACATGACAGCAATTCCTGACTGGGACTTCTATATTCATACTGGTGGATGGCATATACCTTTTCACCCTGAGGAAAAAATTAATGGATGATGGACTGTCATTTTGTCTGAAGCAAGTCATTCACACAGTATTGATGCAAAGCTTTTAAAACAGGGGCAACAAAACTCTTCCAGCCTGAGAATTAAACACAGTTTAGGAGAAGCTGTCAGTTGCCACATTCCAGGGGTGGGTGGGATCAAAGTAACAGCTTATTTTAGTGTAGAATTTTTCATTTAGAATGAAGAAAATCTGCGCAAATGAAACCATGAAATCACCAAACGATTTGTGATAGGGAAAAAGGGAGGATGGGCCATCTTAGGAATTCTGGAGCATGAGGATGCAGTTTGATTTCCAGGCCTGAGGTTCAGCATCTCCTGCAAAACCTTACTGGTTACTTTTTCTTACTGGGCTTGTTATTTCTGATTTCTCTTTTGTTTCTCTGCTTTCTAATGACCTTGTGGGCATTCCACACTGATATTTTACTCATCTCTTTGTCAGATGAAATCTAAGAACTAGTTTTTATATATACAAATTCTAGAGTTGCCAAGAAACATAAGCTGGGTCGAAATTATGTAGACAGATGTGTGAGAGCCTGCACTTTGGGTGGGTTTGGTTCTTGTTGGTATCCATCTTGTTCCCCAGGAAAAGAAAATGGGCTGTAATGTTGGATGCAGTTGAGAAACAATAAAATGGGTTCTCTCATTAGTGGTACAAGGCATACTTAGCCTACAGGTTCCCCTGGGTGCCACCCTTCACTTCCTGACTTTGAGATGAATTAATGGTTGCATTCACTCCAGTGGAGTAGAATTAGACATTTTACTCAGTCACAGTTTTGAGGCAGGAGCAAAATATGCTCTATACCTTCTGACACCTAGGTACTTCTTACACTTCTGATACCTAGGTTCAATGGCTCTCTTCCTTAGCACAATATAGGCCCTTCCTCTCGCTCACATCCTACCTAGTACCATAACTGGCACTTTGCTAGGGAGAATCCTGGTTTTAAACCTTATTTAGAACATGGTTGGTTGGTTTGGAAATTTCCTCATTTTGGGGTTGAATTCAAGTAGCCACTTCTTGATGGAACATTTTCCAACAGCAGAAAAAGGGCAATTCTTCCACTCCTTCCGTCTTCCCACCGTTCAACATTGGGAAGCTTGGGAGAATAATTTGAGGAAGGTGCAGGGGGATTGGAGAGAAAAATCCCATTGTTGATGCTGCAGTCCACTTAGTGCAGTGTTGGATTTTCCTCCTAAGGGTTTTCTTGTTGTTTTTTCCTTTTGTCTTCCATAGGGTGACAGTTGCCCCTTCCGTCATTGTGAAGCTGCCCTGGGGAATGAAACTGTCTGTGTGCTCTGGCAGGAAGGGCGATGCTTCAGGAGTATTTGCCGGTTTAGACACATGGAGATTGATGTAAGTGCTTTCTTAACTTTATAATTAAGAAGCATGTGTAATATTACATTAGCCTGTGTTTGTAAAAGAAAAACTTGTATTGTTGACACTAGCTGGGCTGTGGTATTTTTGGTATGGAGCCTTTTGCCGAAGAGATACGAAGATATGAACATGATTTAGAGTTAGCAAGTTACTATGCCTAAAATGAAAATATGCAAAGTTTTTAGTTTGCAAGGTTATTTTGATAACTCCTACTTTGTTTGAATACAAGTACAGAGATGTCTTTTAAAAGACTGTTCACGGTAGTTTGAGAGCACAGGGTCAAGACTGCAACTCTTAATGCAACATGGATGGTTATATGAGAAGTCACCATAGATCTTAGTTAAGTATCTTTCTAGCTTTATTCTAATTTGGAGAAATTTTTTTAGGGTGATAATAAAGAATAAAGTGTTACAGTTAATAGCCTGCAACAATTTCTGTTTATGCACACATGAAAATGTGCTTGATAACCTACCGGGTGATTTATACAGACAAGAAGTATTATGACAGAATCAGCCTACAGTTCAGCATGCTATCTGGTTTTTAACACTTTTCTTTATTTTCAGCTTTCATCTATTTTAAAAGAAGCTGTAGCAGGCAGTAGAATTTGGAAGAAAAAATAACAATGGGAGAGTTGAAAAATAATTGGCCAGAATCTAAAATGCCCCATGTATCAGCAGAATCAGTTTTACATGTGCACCATATGTGTGTTGCTGATTCTTCTGCCTGCTGCATTTCTGTGTACCATTCTGTTGCACTCAAAAGAGTTCTTAATCTCTAAAGAGCTGCTTTTCAGAAATCTGAGTGATAGGTGCCTAAATAACCTAGCGCATGAATGAAGATCATGTGCTATCTGTAGTTTCAGGTTGCTCTGATTTAAATGATCACATCATAGTTGGCTGACTGTCCCTAAAGAAGTAGGTGATATTTTTAAACTATGGATGTAGAATTATGTTTGTTTTGCCATTTTTCCTAATAAAACTCTTAGGCTGGGATAAAACTCTTAGGCTCAAATAGTGGTACCTGATATGGTGGACATGTAGCTGTTCATCGTGTACATTTATAGCCTATATTTTATCTCCAGAAAAAACGCAGTGAGATTCCATGCTACTGGGAAAATCAGCCTGTGGGCTGTCAGAAGTTGAACTGTGCTTTCCACCACAACAAGGGACGTTTTGTGGATGGACTTTTCTTACCTCCAAGCAAGAGTGAGTTGTATTTTGCTTCTAGATTATATCAGTAGGACTTCTCATCCACAAAATGTTTTATGCTGTAACTTTAGATCGGGGTCCTGAAACTTTTGAACCAGAGGGCCAGTTGAAAGGTCCCAGTGCTGGGCGCGGGCTGGAAAGGTGGTGCCGGTGGTGCGTGGGGGCGGGAGTGGGGGTGGCGCACACCGGCGCAGGCGCTGAGGCAAAGGCAGGGCTCGCAGCGAGGGGTGGGTGGGTACGCGCACATGGTGAGGAAAGGTGAGGCAGGGGCGGGCACACTCTGTGAGGTGGACACACGAGGCAGTGACTTGCTCGCTTGCAGATCGTTTTTTCCGAGTGAGCAAACTGCTGCCTCCCCATGCGTGGAGTGAGGTGGGCGGCCGCAGGCGCACATGTGGGTGCACTGGCACAGCAGGTCCAAATGGGCATGGCGGGCCAGATAAATGGGCATGGCGGGCCACATCCGTAGTTTGAGGACCCATGCTTTAGATTGTCATACCTTTACAGGTACTTTAAAGAGAACCATATCTAGCTCATTTGGTATGTCAGGCAGTTCATTTCTCCAACCGAAAGACCTTAAATAAAATTTACATGAGAAGCAGTCGGCTTGAGCTTAAGTGGACTCCGGGGGATGGTGGAGGACAGGAAGGCCTGGAGGAATGTTGTCCATGGGGTCGCGATGGGTCGGACACGACTTACCAAGTAACAACAACAAGTTGTGTTTAAAGCACAACTTATAGCAGATAGTGCTTACTTGAGAATAAGTTGTATATAAAATGCTAGAAGCACCCCACAAAGGTGTTTTGTTAAACAAAGCCCTAACTACAGTTGAAAATTTTCCCATATGCAACCTTATGAAGCTAGATGTTTATGTTAGAAATTGAGATTTACATTAAAGTTAAGAATAAGACTGGTTTGGTGGTCATTTAGTCAAAACTATGTGAAGTCTTTATTAAATATCTAATATTGGTAATTCATTGCAATTTGGACACAGAAAGGTTCCACAATCTGTGTATTGTAGTGAATGGGTTGAATCCAGACTTTAGTTAGATCTACCAAAACCAATAGGACCTAAATTAGTCATGCCTAATTTTTTTTATTGTTTTCATTGGGTTTCCTTTATAGATTACTAATGCTAGATGTAACAGAATGGTTTTCAGTTTATAGTTCATAGGGTGTTTTGTTTTTGTTTAAGCTGTTCTTCCAAACGTTACTGAGTCTGCAGAAGAAGAAATGAAGGCTACACAGATCTCACTTCAGCAGAATAAGCTTTCTGTTCAGTCTAATCCATCCCCTCAATTGCGTGGGGTAATGAAGGTGGAAAATTCTGAAAATGTACCCAGCCCCACTCATCCACCTGTTGTTATAAATGCTGCAGATGATGATGAGGATGATGATGGTGAGCAAAATACGGTTTTTTAAAGCATGATATTTCTCTCTTGTAGCAGTGTGTGTGTCTGTAGGCATAAGGAAACTATGTATACTTGGGAGATCTCAATGAATTAAATGGATTTCCTAGTAAGCAGGATTAAGATCTAACTAACAATATCGTTCCTTTCAGATCAATTATCTGAAGAAGGTGATGAATCTAAAATGCCAGTTCAGCAACCCTCTGCAGAAGTTCCTAACGGGTTGCGAATAATTTCTACTCGGAAAACAGTGACCAGCGCAAAGCAAGATAAAGGTAGGAACCAATGCGGTTGACAGATGAAGTGAGTAGCCCTTCAGCAAGGCTGTGACCTGGTTTTTACATTCTGTACATGCTAAGCAGGCCATGGTGGCTTGCTTAGGCTGTGGTCTGTGGCAGGCACCATTTGCCTGATTCCTTGGCATGTTGTTATGAACCCAGGCAGCATGGCTTGTTTAACCATGAACAGTGATCTTGCAACATGTACCACTGTGTCATTTTATGTCATAATTGGCATTTGGATTATGTTTGGTTGAATATGCTTAAATTTCAGTTCTTGTGACTGAAGTATTAACTTCATTATTGTTGGGGGATGCAGTTAAAAACTAAAACTTAAGAAAAGTCTCTGTAGGATGTGGTGTGTGACTGGATCTTTGTTTACAAAGATAGGTAACTGACATGCATGTTTAACTACCAACCTCAGTGCATAGGGTACCTTGTTTCTGAATTTGGAGGAATTGCATACCTCCTAATGTTAACAATAACATTGTAACCATAGCAAGTCTAGTTTGGGATTGAAATGAAGCTGCTAATTTCTAGTGATAGTGCTAAGGTTAAAGTTTGAAAAAAATGCAACACAGACAGTGTGTTAAGTTTGAATATAGGAACCCCTTCTTGGTCATATACTTTGATGCATTACAATCACTTAATATACTTTGCAGATAAACTCTGATTATAAATGAAATAAGGCAAAGTTAGGCAAACTGGTGCCCTCCAGATGTTCCGGACTTCAACATGCATAGGTATCAGCAGGCATGGCCAGTAGTCTGGGGTAATGGGACTTGTAGCCTAAAATACCTGAAGAACACCGAGATGAAGGCTTTAAAGGTTCTTTGTACATTAGGAATAAATGAATTTGAGTGATTGATTCAAAGCAAGCAAAAATTTCAAACATGAAATTCCAAGATTATTGAAATTTCTACTTTTGGGGGGAAAAACTAAAGTACTGCAGATTATCTAGCTTTAAGCTTTGTTTTCTTGTTATGGCTCCCTATTTGAAAGAGACAGTAAATGTTAACTCCTTCGATATATGTATACATCTGTCATATGTATATGAATTCTACATTTTTCAGATAATAGTTTGAATTTTGGGATCAAAACACTTGAAGAAATCAAGTCAAAGAAAATGAAGGAAAAGTCAAAGCAACAGAGTGGTGAGTTGACTATGTCTTACCCCCACCCCCCATATTTGTGGTTTGGATGGTAGCCTACAGTGCCTTATATGAAAACCTTGAACATGGCAGTTTCTGAGAAAATGTGTTGCTGCATTGATGTCCAGTGTGAGCTGTTAACTAGCTTTTGCTTTAGTGCTTTGTAAACAGTAATGTTATTCCTCTTATTGCCTTATTTAAACTAAGAGCATTGCAAATATAAATTGGATAACACAGCTGGAAAGGTGTCTGTTTATATGCATCTTAGTGGGAAAATACAATAATTTGGAGAGCTGCTCAAAGCCGATAGCATTACTTGTATCGTGATCTGGCTTTGTTTTGTTTCACAAACTCTTCCAGCAGTCATTTCAGGAATGTGATCTTTAAATTTCAGTTAGAACTGACTTACAAAATTTGTTCTGTATTTTGTCTACCTCTGTTTAGGAATGTGTGAGGGGTGCATTTTGGGGGGTGGGAATCCATCCAATTCTCTGGTCTTGGCCTTCTGGACTCTGACCTGCTTTCTCATTATTGTAAGTCCCATTTCCTGGTGAGCATGTCAGATGTTCACACAGGCACTCACCAGGAATTGAGTCCTGTGTGAATGCTGTGCTTTTCCATGCAGGTGACTTGCAGCCTTTCTTTGTGCTTTATGTGCTACGGAAGAAGGTCTCTGGTTGTACAACCAAAATTCTATGAAAGTTTGTAGACTTCTTCTCAGCTCAGCTCAATTCTTGAGCAAGGGCCAAGCATGCAAATAAGTCCAACGAACAGAAGAGGGATGAAATATAGGGAGGATTGTCACAACCCCTACATCTTTTGAATCATTGTGATTGTGCAGATCTGTTTCAGAAACTTTTCTATAATGCAACTTTTTTTTTCTGGGAAATTAACTCTGTCTAACCCAAAGCCTTGCCATAACTTTGGGATGGGGTATTAACCAACTTGAAGTTCGACATTTTAACAGTCTTTGGGTATTTGTGGGTGTTTTGCTTGGTTAGTAATGAATTGTAGTGTTGTTAAGTGGTAGTTAAGTATGACCAGAAGCCCCATATTGAAATGTTACTTTGATTGCAAACTCACAGGGTACTCCTAGGAAAGACATTACTTTCTGCGGTATTGAAAGTATATTATTGCTATTTCTTGTGAGGAGTCCAAGGCAGCTTACATAGCTCCATTTTATCCTCATAACAATAACCCTGTGATGTGGCTGAGAGTTAGGCTGTTTATCCTCATAACAATAGTCACCCAGTTAGCTCCATGGCTGGGTGAGGACTAGAACCAAGATCTCCCAGGCTCCAGTCCGGCACTCTAACCACGATATTTTACAGAGCTGTTTCAATGATTACTAATATGTGCAAACTTCTTTGAACATTTGCAGTGCAGTTGTAGGCCTGCATATTCTGGAATATATTTTACTGAGTTCAACAGAACTTCCTTAATAGGATATGCTTAGGATTGCACCATTACTGCTATATAAATCCTAAATATTGGCAGAAATGAAGCTTCATCTTGCTTTATTTTGCTCTCTTTAGACATCCCTTCTGAAGTCACTGGCCAAATCCAGGTTCATCCAGGTCCAGAGAAAGAAAATGTACGGACTGTGGTCAGAACAGTAACTTTATCTACAAAGCAAGGTAACTGTGCCTCAGCTTCAACTTCTGTTTAGAAATTCCTCAGGCGGTACTGTTTCTGCAGATTTTGTTCGTGTCTTTTGATAAGCAGTGATACTCTCACTACCATTCTCCCCGTAACCCCATTTTCATATATTTGGCAACCTATCTTCTTTCAACAGATATAGAACCATGTCGTAAAAGTGGGGGACTTGATGTTGATAAGTTTTGATTACTTATCTTTTTTGAATGCCTTGTATTATTTTAAGTATAAATCACTTACTTTTTCAAATAGTCCATCCATCCGTTTCCTAATGCAACTATTTTTGATGCCCATTGTAATCCAGGGTGACACATTAGCTCTTCTGACCAGATCTAGCTATTATCCAGTTTTACTCCCACTCCATTCTGCTTATGTAATAAGATTTCCGTGAATCTCCAAACCCCTTGGATCCCAACATCACTCTCTTAGCCTAATGAGATGGGCAGTTTAAATTGCATCTCATCTCCAGATAAGGTCCTTTTATATTCTAGTCCTCCTGCACTATACTGTTAGTCACACTTTTGATCAAAGTTTCTAGGTTTTGTGCAGATTATTATTGTTGCTGTCTGTGAGTTTTTGTTCATTTGAAAAGAAGCTACCTTGTGGATTGCTAATCCTACCAAAGGGATTCTGTGAGGGAAAACAAAATTTTAATGAAAAGTATTTTTTTCTTGCCTTCACTGTCTTAGGTGAGGAGCCTCGGATTAGATTGACTCTTGCAGAGAGACTGGGAAAACGGAAGCCTCACATAGGTGAGATTTGTGTGTCCAATAAAAAAATACTTTCCTGCACTTCACTGTTACTGTACAGCAGTGATTTTTTCCCCATTATAGGTGCCTACATGCACATAGTATTCCTTTTGTTCTCTTTTTTGTTTTGAACTTGGGTGACTTAATCAATTAGCTGTATGATAACATATGCCATTCCTTTGTGGCACGGAGTATGATAAGTGACAAGGAGGATTTGCATTACGCTTCTCATGTTTTATCCCATTTAGCTGTTTCTAGCATTTTGAAACCCTTTTGGGCTCAAGCATAGCTCTTGTATGCATAATTATTTTGATATTAAAATTTTTTATCCTGCCTTTCTAGGCAAAATACCTACTCAGGACAGCTTACAGTATCATATATGAAATATAAAAAATATAATTGCTAGTAGCTATAATTGCTATTAGAAACATGTATAATGTACGAATGTAATGCTTTTATAGCCAGAAGCTAAGAACTCAATCATGAAAATTAACTCTTTTCTTTTTTTTCCCCTAAGCTGCTGAGAGTGGTCTTCTGTTAAAACGCAGCCTTGCCGAAAGACTGGGCAGAAAAATAGATTCCCTGGAGAATGCAGACAAAACAGCAAAGAAAGGTATGACTCTTAAATCAATAAAATGTATTCTACTTTTCTTTAGCTATAGAGAATTTTATTCAGTTTTGAAAATCTCATTTTCCTAGTAATTTTTTAAACTACCCAGTCCTTTCACAAGATCCTGAGGACAGTGGTGATCATGAAACATGACAGTTGCCTTCCTAGTCTTTCTTGGATTTGCAAGTCTTTTCAACAGATTATTTAGGACACAGCACTACCTACTGGAGGAGTACTCAGAGTATCAAGTGCTCTGCCAGCTAGCAGAGCAAAAGGAGTAACAGAAGTGATCTTCATGTCTCTGTCCTCCTCTCTTGAAACGTTTTAGAGTGCATCTGTTAGAATCATGGGAGCTAGGAAGCTTCAGGATTCTGCAAATCTTGGTGTCTACCTGCCCCCTTCTCCTTCATTTGCATTCTTACATGAAGAGAGGATGCCACTGTGATTCTCTCTGTAGCACTGCAAGGGACAGGGGGGAATGTTTCCTATTCAGATTTCCCCGTTCTCAGGTTGTGTACATTGTTGGCTGGGAACAACTCTAACAAATCTTGTGATCCCTGGGATGCTCTCCAAGGGCTATAGGATTGTGCGCTTAAAAATGTTTATTACTACTTTTTAATGTCAGGAATGAGAGAGCTTTGTATAAGCATTACAACGAATCATGCGTGCAGCCTTGATTTATCCACACAGAGCCTGTGTGCACATTCTGTGCCAGTAAAGATCTCTAGTATTATTCTACAATGGCTGCAAAGCATGCACACTTCCGTGTATATATGTGGTATGCAAATGTTATGCTTTGATTTAGAGTCTTGAACTTGTTCATTGTTACAAGGATTAGGGAATAAGAAATATCTAAGTTCAGTTTATTTGTAGTGGTCCTTACAAATTGCAAGAAGTCATATGTAATGTCTGTTTTCCAAGAAAATCACATCCAAGTTAAGATGTGGGAGAAAAAAATAGGAGACTTTGTTTATCATTTATTCTTTTTCTCTGCAGTACAATTTCCCAGAACTCTTAAGGAGAGACTAGGGTTGCCGTCAGAGCAGAACAATATGGAAACAGGTAACATTTTTTTTCCTGAATACTTTAGAGTCCCCTTTCTTACCCTTTCCTGCAGGTGGACTCTGCCCTAGTGCACGCCTAGACTTGATCAGATAAAAGGCAATTTATCGCTCTGTTTTCTTACACTTCTGACTTTCGAGCTCATGTGCTTGCTGACGTAAGACGTCTATCTGTAATACATATCTTCAGATCCTGAGAGCTGCTTCAGTATATGAAAATCTGGCAGGGGTTAGAATATGACACATGCATCTTCCCATTTATGATATGCAATAGCAGGGTGGATTAACTCTCAGGATGATATTCATATTTTCATGACAAAACTACATAGAGGTGTAATGCTCAAGGTAAATATGTAAGTTTATTCCTTCTTCTGAATATTTTGCTGCTGTTGTCTGGTGGTGTAGAGAACGCTGCCAAACCAGCGGGTGAGATCCATGTGAAAACACTGGAAGAAATCCGTTTGGAGAAAGCTAGCCAAAGAAAGGGAGAAACTCAGTCCAAACCCAAGATTGAAGTTGCTTGTACCACAGATGATTCCAGTTTAGTGGCAAAACCATCTCCTGCAATCAGGATCAAAACCTTTTCTGAAGTCCTGGCTGAGAAAAAACAGAGACAAATGGAAGAGGAACGGATAAAAGCTGAAAAAGAAAGCACGACCAAACCAAAGCATGAGTGTGAGCCTCAGAAGCAGTGCTCTCAAGTTTCGGCTGTGTCTAGCAGAAGAAACCTAGAGGAACCTTCTGGCAAAACCAAGGACTTTGCTGAGGTACGCATCAAGACTCTGGAGGAAATCAAGCAGGAAAAAGCACTTCGAATGCAGCAAAGTGCAGAAAGCATGTCAAAGCCACAGATGCAACCTGAACGAGCTCTAGTTGGGAGGAGACCGCTGAGCATGACAAAGCCAGCAGGTACTACACATTATGTGTGCATATTCTTCATACATGTACATTTTGTTTGACTTTTAAATAGTCAGAACCTGCTGCACTCAGGCACATGTTGAAACAGGTGATTATACAGAAGAATAGACATGATGATAATCCTTTCAAAGACTTGGCTTCTGTCCTGGTGCATAGATTAGAGCAATATCAGGGATTAAGTATTGCATCTTAGCTGTAGTGGAAATGCCATGAGCAAAGGTGATGGAGGTTCACCCATGTTAGCTTTCTGTTTTTCGAATTGTTCTGCTTGGGTGTAGTAGCTAAGAAACAAGCTAGATGGACTAAGAAATGCAGAGCCCCTGACCCCCAGTTTTCTTTTAACATTAATGCTTTCCTGTGCCAAGCAACTGCCTTCTGTGCATGGGCCTTTCTACTCAGCATTTAAAAAATTCTCTTCTCCAGCTCTGAAAGCAGAAAGGAATTACCTAATATTTCAGCAACTGGAACTACACATTTGCCGAAGTAACATCTAGCTTGGATTTAAATCCAAGCTCCTTGAGGCACCTGACCTTTCTAGCTTATTTGAGAATTACCTGTGATAAATTTTAATGCCAGACCAAATCTTTCTGACAAAAAAGCTTGGAAGTAAAGTCAATGCAGTAAATACGAGTTATTACCTACTTGATTATCACTAGGATGTGCATTTACTTGGTCCAGGACTGGGTAGAATGTGTTCATCTGAGCCTCTTTCAGGTGTTTCAGAGCCTAGAAAGAATGTCTTGCTTGCAACCTTTTAGAAGACTTTCATGTCTTGTGAACATTAAATTTGAACCTATGAACTGTGTGGTGTAACATCACTTAAATTGTAGCATTGACTTAGCAGAATTATGCCTGTGGGCTTCCAGAGGATCATGAGCATGCACTCTAACTTGGTGATAGGGCAAAGGGGAAGGTTATTTGAGCATACTACTGGATATGGTGGTCACCTTCTTAACCTACCCATTCCCGCAAGTCAGAAAACAGAGAGTCTTGGTTTATTTATTTATTTAGAAAATTTCTATGCCGCCCCATTTGCCGAAGCCTCGGGGCGGCTCACAAAACATTAAAATATAATACATTAAAATAATATAATACATTAAAAATACAATACATTATATTTGGCAGTATAAAAATGAAATAAACAGCTGTGTAGAGTTCTAGACATCAAGAGAAACAATTTCATTTGTATTGTGTTTTAGCAGCCCCTGGAAAGGAAGAAAAAGCATCCCTGGAGCTGAAGTCTTCTCCAAAAGCTTCCGCAGTGGATGCTACTGTGAAGGTGAGGGGACCTTGGTAATTGTGCATGCACCTCATCATTAGGATTCAGTATGTTAGGAAACTACTTGCAAGTACCTAAGATGAGAGTGGTTGACCAGTGATAAACAACATACTCATTCTCATCCTGTGTGGCTCATTTAGACCATTGGTTACTTGAGTCAATAATTAGCAGGCCAAGCCCAGTGCGATATATTCTAGCAGTAGCCTCTTGTGAATGGAATGCCATGCTACCAGCTATGCCTCTGAGTGTAAGTCCAGGGTGTGGGTGGCAGGGTTCTGTGGTCGGGATCCTGGGACCATGGTGCAGGTACAGGGTGGTGTTCTGCAGTGCGTTCAGAGGCAGGAGGCACATCTCTTTAACACTCCAGGGTCAAAAAGCAGACCATCGAGTCAAGCAACAAAGTCCAATATGACACAGTTCATGAGCACAGTCCCAGGTCAAGTTCCAGAAAGACAGTCATGTTCTAGAGCAAGGTGAGGTCAGGGGGAATGGGTGCAGAGCCCTGGGAAGACAGGGTCAGGCTGGAGAAAAGGATGGAAGCAGGAGCAGGCTGAAGCTGGGCGGGAGTCAGGGAGGTAGGCTGGGTGGGTAGGCAGGAAACAGGATTCAGGTGAGACAGTGCAGGAAGCCAGAGCTCAAGGACGTCACTAGGACAGCTTGTATTGCTGTGGGAAGGAGCAGCAACGCAGTGTAGCCTTCTGTGCTGCTCTCCAGGGCTTTGAGCTGCACTGCATAATTGCCCCACAGCTGTTCCCTGCAAGTACCTGCAAGGATGTTTCGGCAAGCACTTGCAGGGTGGATCAGGCTCTTATCCTGACACTGGGCTTCATTTTCTGACACGCAGTATCAGCCAACAACACAACATTTAAAGCTCCTAATCTAAAGTCCTACAGCAGTCTCCAGAAAGCATGTCAGGACTATATAATCTGGTTTTTTTTGTGGTTTATAAACATAGAACAATACCCAGTGCTGTCCATTTGCAGCTTGGCCTATTGCTCACATTCAGCTAGTGGTCAGCCCTTCCAATCCTTTGTAAAACCAATCCTTTGTGAAAGAGTGCCCACCATTTTGCTCATCCAGAGCTGACCTGCCTCATTCTAGAAAACAAGCATTTCTAGTTGCTTTGGATTGGTCCTGGAAGTGTTGAGAAGTGCCTCTTGCATATAGTGGGCACCACTTGCTTGCCTAGTGGAATTATTGGGACCGGCTTTTTTGTGGGTGGTCACCACTGGTTGCTGCCATATATACAGTATTGAATTTGATGCACACAGATAAATTTAATGTGGGCTGTCATTTTGTGTTTTTGAGTTGTATTAAGCCCATTTTGGTTAGCCAAGCCTCAGCTATATACTCTGTAGTAGATAACTGGTTCTTGGTTGAAGCTGCATGGTGCTATGTGGCTTCATGTTTCCACCAAGAAGTGCATTCTCTTTCTGTTCTGGTCATGGAAAGTCACGTGCTGCCTCTAGACTGAATTTCCAGAGTAAAGATGAGGATTCTCATTTTAAAACCAGTCAGCTGCATTTTAGTAGATCTGAATTGAGAAGGGTTCATAGTACATTCTTTAAAGACCTTATATAGATTTTTGGGGGAAATTTCTCTGTTATCCTTCTTCAATTTCCACCCAGCCCTTGAATGACAGTGTGAGCAATTCACATTCCAAAGTGTATGTGAAGAGCTTAGAAGAGATAAGGAAAGAGAAACAAAGGCTAAAACAGCAGCAAGAGAGGAAGACCCAGGAGGAACGGATGACTGTGCCACCTGCTGGGGAAGAAATGGCAGAAGGGAAGGCACCAGCCACTACAAATCCTGAATCTCCTGTGAAAACAGGGAAAACCCGTCTACCTACAAAGAGGTTACTGGTGAGAACCCAGGAGACCGCACCAGAGAACACGGGATCAGCAGAGCTGAGGCTTTCTACCCAACCTGTAGAACCAAGGGCTAGAGGTAAGTGGCATGTCTGCTAGGCTTACTCATAGAAAGGCTGGCCTGCTTGACCATTTGACAAAAACAGGTAGAAAGGATGCCATCAAGATGATTCATACTTCTTAAAACCTGAGCAAGTGCATGGAAAGGCCATAGACTATTCTTTAGTACTCATCCACCCATATGTTAAATGACAAGCTGCAGAGTTTCAGTCATGTGGTCCCTAGCATAACTTGATTACAAAGAAGACGGTAACAGGAAAAGTTACTCCTTATGGGAGTCCCGCCATTGCTTCCCTTGGAACTGTTTCTGCTGTGTGCCTGAACAGCGTGAAAGCATAGTGCTTCTATGCAACTCTGAAATTACCTAAAACGCTTATATGTGTGTTTTCTAACTTAAAACTCAGAAGCTTCCTAGTCTACCCTAATAGTCAAGCTGTTGGTCAGCTATATCCATTACACCACTGCTGAAAAAGTGTTCAAGCAGCTAAACCCAACCTTTAAGCTGTAGACCCAGCTAAAGCTTAAATACTTTGGGGGAGTTTCTGGAAACTGCTTTGCTAAGTAATTTTTCCCATCTCACTGGCACAGGACATGTAATGGTAAAGTTGCATCACTTTCCTTTTTTTTTTTTTTTAGCTTTGGTTCTGTGTTGAAGAGATACTCCTAATGCTAGTTGCTCTGGGTCAAAAAGCGCCTCCTTGCAGAACAGTGCAGCCTGGTGCAGCTGCATTTTCCATGGAGGCAAAGAACTGAAGTGTGTGAAGAGTGCTGAGAATGTGTGTGGTGGCAAGTTATGTTAGAATTATAGAAATGTAATTTTCTAAGTATTCTCAAACTTTATAAATCTGGTACATGTAAAAATGACCCTTTCAAGGAAGAGGAGTACTGTTCCTAGAATCTTAAAACTAGCCTTAATGAGAGTGAGGAAAGGAAAAGAGACATTGCCTCCAATGTTAACTGACTGGATTTCATATTCTAGCCAAATCCAAGGTGAACATGAAAACATGTGGATTGAAACCTTTGTCTTCAGCAAAGCAAGCATTGAAACGTAAAGCACCAGAGAGTCGTCCCTCCATTGCAGCAGTGAAGCCACTGAACCCCATCCCAAACACAGACGTGAAAGAACTTCCACATGAAACACTACCTTTGGTATGAGAACTGATGCATGTAGCTGGATCACTTCCACCAAAATTCTTTGATAGCTTGAAATGTTAGACTGTCTTGAAATTTGCATACTTTTAATTACTACATTACACTACTCTACTGCCCATTGGCAAAGCTCTCTGAGTGGTTCATAACATTTAAGTCACCCATCAAGATTTCAACCAGGCCTTACCCTGCTTAGCGTCCAAGATTAGGCAGGATCAGGCCCTTTGGGCTCTATGGAAGCTGTAAATTTGTACTGTATTAAATCAATAAGAATTTTTGCATTGTAAGGTTTTCAGTGCTAATTGGCCAGTCCTCTTTGGGAAAGTATCACTTATAACTTCTCTTGAGAGAGGCTTTTTGTTTTGAATAAAAAGAGAGAAACAAGATGGATGTGCAAGAATTAAGTGTCATGTTAACAAGAGAGGGAAAAGAGCCTGTAGAGAGATATCTTATTTTTATCTGTTTCTTTTTCCCCAGCCAAATGCTCCAGGCCTCCCGAAGAACACTGGGGTCACAGTTCCTGACAGAGTGTGTTCCAACAGGTAATGATTGAATTTATTAATAGTGATAGTGTATTTCAAAGGGACTATCGTAGAACAGTTTGTGCTTACTGAATAGGAGTGTTGATTAGTCACTACTGCAATGAGATTGTATGAAGTTTAAGATAGAGGCCTTTAACGTTTTTCCTTCTTTTAGGAATGAAGGATTAGATGATAGATAGGCACATTGGGAATAGAATGAAATAAATGTGATGTCATAAGAACCTTGGATATAATACATTCAGATTGAAAATTCCTGGTCTACAGTTGTTGGTCCTGAAAAAATACAAGTTAGAGTCATGATAGATAAAGGTATACCTTTAATCAGATTAAAAGAAGAGTTCAGTACAAAGCACAAATAGTTTTCCTCTTGGTTCTAAAGTAACTTCAGTTTAGTCAACCAGATAAAAGCAAAACTAAGATGTTGCTGAGCTAGCACTCATTAAAGCAGTAGCATGTAGTCTTTTTAGGGCCATGGGCATGTGTAGCCATTTGACAAACTGCCCTAGGCACCAGCACAAGTTGGCTGCCACTGGATGTTTGGAAAAGGACAAATAACTTGTCCAAAAGACTAAAAATAAGGTCTGATGTCCAACGCAATAAAGAACTCTTTTGAACACACAGTTTCAGCAACAAAAGTTTGTTTCACAGCAGTCCTAGCCACATTAGGTGGGCACAAATAAAGGTATTTGGGGTGCATTGCTGTCCATTGAGCCCATGTTGCATACTGCTGTTTATGTCCTCCTGCAGAGAGGAGAGTGCCTTATTTTAGGTGAAGTTTGTATCTTCAAATTTCTGGTGACAGTGTGCTGCCTTTTCAATCCGAGTTGGTAATATCTGAAGATCCTTTGCAGTTCTAAGATAACTTGTAAATCACAGTTTAACTGCAATTGGCCTGGTAGGGTTTCAGAATTGACATTTGTCCTTGCTTTAATCTGTGTACTATCTCTGAGTACGGAGCACTAGCCTTTTCATCTGTTATAGTAAAAATGAAGAAAACTATGCCACTTTAAAGATGAATATTCATTCATTTTGGTATTGGCCTTTATAAGTAGGCCTTTATAACTTCTGCATCTGATGTGGTCTTGCAGATGAAATTTCATGTCGTGATTCATTTGTGTTGTGGCATCACAGATTATATGCTGATTTTATCATACCTAGTAAGCTCTATAATGTTTTCATTTTGACATTCTTCCATTTTGCATTGCATATTGCTCAGTTTATCTTAACCTACATTATCTTAAAAATAAAGTGGAAGGCTATGTAGTGTAAAATTAAGAAAGCAGATAATTGCAGCCAGTACTGCTAAAACTATCTAAAAGCCTTTCTTTGCTTGGCATATGATGACACATATCAAATGTTTGAACAGGTGTTCTCTCTTCTTGCTAATACGATCTAGATGTTACTGCTACATAATCTCTACCTTTATCTACTTCCTCCTTACTTTAGTCGCATGGCTGTGGTTAACCTGTAGCATGCTTGCTGGTAGAGAAGAGTTTTGAAATGGCTTATTAACCATATTATTAATGACTTATTAACTTATGTACAAATCTGCTGTGCCTAAGAGTTCTCCAAGGGTCCAGACCTTTGTGTTGTTTCCCACATGGATACATTCTGAGCTGTTTTTCCCCCTCTTTGTGAAGTTCTGAGATGGAAATGGATACCCAGGTGGCTTCTACGTTACCAGCGGAGATCACAAGCTCAACCTCTTCCCATTCAGCAGTGAAGACACGCAGACTGAGCTCAACAGGAGCAGGGAAAACACCTTCCTCTGTTGAAGATGACTTTGAAAAGCTTATTTGGGAAATCTCAGGAGGCAAATTGGAAGCCGAGATTGATTTAGACCCAGGAAAAGATGAGGATGACCTCCTGCTTGAACTCTCTGAAATGATTGACAGTTGATTTTTTCATATAGTTTCTTTTTGAGAGAAATAAAAGCTGTATATTTTGTTGGATAACCAAGAATTAACCCTTTCTAAATGAGGAGTCTTAAAGCACACTTGAGCTGGTTGAGAAGCTGTCTGCATTAGATGGTCCTGAATTGCCCTGCTGGTCAGAGAGATGTCCCTCTAAGACTGTCCTCTTGCTATCCTGTCCACTTTAAGTATTTGAATAACAAAACCATGGACATTTCAACTAGGAAAAATCTGAGACCATTCAGAACCCTACACAGGGTTCACCTGTTCCATCAACACAATGTTCTTCATGAAGATTTGAACTGAGCTGTTCCGCTAGTTTTCTGGCCTTGTGGCAAAGTTCATTGTCTGTGTGTTTCAGAGCTTCCTCTTGTTTTGTGATTTTTTGAGGGTAATTTGTGTTCTTGAGTTAGTATGTCAACGCTCTGAGTTATGTAATTATTTTAAAAATTGATTCTAGATCAGCAGTACATTTTAATGTAGAGGAAGGGGAAGATAATATTCTTGGACCAAATGTGCTGTAACAGTGCAGGTGGAGCTTCAGTCCCTCTTGATGTTGAAAATGATGCAATATGCTTAGAGACTATTGAACAGTGTGTTTTAGCCATCATTCTGTACCAACAGGAGGGGTTTTCACCTGCAAGCATAAACTCATGAAGAAAAAGTTAAGAAATCCCCATTGTATTCTTGTATCTTTCTCTCTCTCAAGTAATAATTAAAACATGCCCTTAAAGGCATGCAAAGTTATTCTCAGGTTCTTTTCTTTCTCTAAACTGAAAATGTGATGACCCACTCTGCTGGCATTGCGTGGGTCATCTGAGCTTTGGAAAGCTGTCCTCTGGCCAGTTAAATAGTTGGAGGACTTATTCCTGTGTATACAGTCTCCCCCTGCCAAATCTGTAGAGTTCTTAGCTGTGGTCCTGTAAACTGCCCACCTGTGAGTACCCATCTTCACCATCCTGGTCCATACATCTGAGCTATATTTGTGGACTTCCTTTGAACCCTGCAACAAACCTTTGAAGACTTGGATGTATTGTGTACCCATTCTTGATAATTGTTCTTACTCAATCTTACCTCCATATTTTATAATCACTTTGTTCATTATTATTGCTACTGCTTTTAGTCTACTCCTGCTACATACACATGTAAAGGTGTAGGAATGGTGCAGGATACGTTTCCGGTTGTGTCCTAGCAAGGGAAAAAAAAAAGATGTTGCTTGATTTTATTGTAAATACATTCGGTTTAACAGGAAAAAACCTTTGCTTTGCCAATTCATTTTGAAGCATTGCCTCTAGAAGGAAAAGTTGAAAAGAGACTTAATTTAAAATGGCTACCCTGAATGAACTGCTAGTCTGTATACTGTTCCCAAGAACTTGGAAACAATGACCTTCAGTGTATTTGAGGAGTGATAAAACTTCTGGCTGATTGTGAATGAAAAGTAACATAACTGAGGCTGTGAAAGATCTTTTCCATGTTGTTTGCAAGAGTTCCTGTCTGCTTCAGCAGAATGTTCTGTTTGTGGTCAGTTATCTTCACTTTTCTTTCTTGTTGAAGAGAATTCCTCTCTTGATTTTACTCCATTATGTTTTGAGCATCTTAGTCCTTTTGTTTTCTATTTAAAATCACTGTATTTGAATCACACATGTTTACCATTACAAGTATTTGTGTTTTAAATAAAACTAATGTAAGAAACATGTTTCATTTCTACTTCCTGTATGTAGAAATAGGTTACAAGTTTGTCTTGTCATGGTTTCTTAGGTCTTACAAAGTTTGTGCTAAATATCACTGTTTATTCATTTTATTTATTATAGTTATATGCAACCAAGTAGGCCAGAATAAATGCAGCTCCAGTAAGCCACACTCAGGTGTGCCCTGAATTTAAGTTTGTGGTAGTTGTGGCTTCATTCTGCAGGTGTTAGATTTTTCACTGTATACCTTTTCATCTGGAAGCCACAATTTGATTCTACCCCCCCCACCCCCAAATTCATGCCTGTTGCTGTATTTCAGAAATGCACAACCTACAGCCTTCCTTGTGACCTTAATTGTAGCTTCCCGTGCCATGCCTTCCCTAGAGGGCCTGTTCCTGGCAAGGAGCAACAGTGGCAAAGGGGCCATTTGCACTGGAAATGCTGCCATTGGGATGCAAAGACACTCTTCTGCTGTCCTCTGGTGATTCTTATACAGATAACTGCTAGCAGTAAGGTAAGAGCAGCATCAGTGGTCCTGAACCGGCAGCACACTGGCCGAATAGACCAAGAAAGTTGTGTGCCTGCCTTATTTTAACCTTGCATAAAGTATAGCTATTGTGTCACTGTAGGTACTTGCACATAGTTGGGTGAAAAGATGCTATAAATGGGCATGACTTCCACATGTTCCTCGATACTATGCTCATATAGTGCCATCAGCATGTCTGGTGTTTCATAGAGTATGTGAGGACAGGTGCCTCCTGCAAGTTCACAGTTTAAAGTCAGACATGAGGAAGACCAGGAGAGGAAGGAAATGGGTTTTTCTCCTCTATAGGCAGGTTGGATTTCATGGAAAGGAAAAAATGTGGGAGGCGGATCAGGCATAAATGTTCTTTCATGTTGTAGTATTTCCTCATAATGTTGCTCCTGTCCCTGGAACCGTTTACTTCCCTTTTTCTCCGTTTCCCAACATTACAGTGACGATTTTTAGGTGTGACCAAAACTGTAACAGCAATCCATGTATGGTTGCACCAAACTTTTAAATGTCTCACCCCCATCCCACTGCTGTAACTTTAAAAAGCTTTGGATCCAAAACCATTTACTTCATGTATATTCTGATCCTATGCATGTTTTTCAAAAGGAAATACTTTTGCATTGGACTGGACTGTACCCTAGATCTGAATAGTTTTAAATTTCTATTATATTTCTGTTTGGTAATTTTTATGAACGGCCCAGAGCACTAGCTATTGGACAGCATAGAAATGGCATCTCTCCAGTGTCATGGGAGGGACAAAAATATTATCCACTGCCTTCATTTCTCCACATCCTTTATATTTTGTACCCCTCTGTCATGTCTCTCCTTACCTGTTTTCTAACCTAAACAGTTCCAGATGTTGTACCTTTCCTCATAGTGGCATTGTTTGAAATTTGCTGTATAGGTGATTCAGCGTACATAGCAAGAAAGCTCGTGATGCTTGTCAGACACCACACTACTACTAGGTAAAATTTGAGGCAGCAAAGGTTAAACAAAACTCCGGAAGAAGTGAGACTTCACACACTTGGACCACAGGTACCCACATTTATCAGGACTGAGAAATTCAGAAGCAAAATCCAGCCACAGACACACAATCACTTCTGACTCATTTACACTGCGGCATTCATGATGCGGCACAACTAGAGACCAAAAACATACCAAGAAGCAAGAAAGAACTGGGCTACATTTTTGTATCTTTTTATTTACAATTAGATTAAAAAAAATGCTTGCCCATAGACAATGGATGGCCTCACAAGTTCAGTCTGAATTTGTCAGAGACACTGCAGAGGACCAGATGACCGCAACAGACAGAGAGGACAGGAAGTAAATACTCGGCACTGATATCTATTGAGGCTTTGCTTGGTTTATAGCTATATTTTTAATTCATTATTTTTGCCAAAGAATGAGGCAGTGGTCTGCTGGGTTCAATTTCTTAGTTCAAACACAGCAAAATAAATGGCCTAAACAATCCAAATCCAGTTTTCTGTCAATTACATCACTGAGTTTGCATCTGGTGTAGACTGAGAAGCCAGCAGTCTCGTTCAAATTATAGCAAGGCCCAAAAGTAGCAAACTAACTGAAAAATGACTAAGGATTTTGATCTGTCCTTTAAAGGTTGGAGACCAATTCTTCACTAATGAAGGTTTACTGGCTAGGAGAAAAAGATTAGATAAAGGCCAATGCAAATGATAGCTTTGGACACCTAATTCAAGCTGAGTATCACTATGAATCCAGTAATAGCTTACATCTGGTCTGCAGTCATATTTGGGGTAAACCTATTGAAATCAAAAGGACTTAGCCATGACTAAGTTTTCACACTGATTTCTATATAGTCAAGTATGAATAAATTTGAATTAAACCAATTGATTACACTATATTCCTGCTTCTGCCTAATTTTGTCAAATGTCTTCTCAAAATTGGATCTGAACCCCTTGAAGAGCTCAATGAAACTTCTGTTATGGCTAGAAGGTCCCATTGCCTCTTCCAACTCACATCGCCTTTTCCCAGCTACACTTGAAATAGCTGGAGATAAATCTCCAGTCAGTCATTCTAAAGTGATGTTGTGTGGGTACTCAAACCCAGATTTCCCAAGTCACCCAGTCCAGAACTTTAACCACTACACTGCACTGGTTCTCAATTATTTTAGTTGTGAATTCCCCATATACAGGACAATTCTCCAAGCCAGTAGTACAGCATGCCTTGCATGCTGGACATTCCAAGTTCAAGCTCTGGTATTTCCAGGTACGGCTGGAAATATTCTTGCTAAAAATGCTGGAGAGGTGCCGCCAATCAATGTTAATAACATTGGGCTTGACAGACCAGTGGTCTTATTTGGTATAAGGCAATTGCCTATTTCTAGTGAAAATCAACCCCCTACCCCACTTTTATTTTTAAATTTGCTGTAGACTTGGGAAAGTGTGGATTTGTATACTCCCACAGGTTTGAAATGAGCCTTGTCTAGTGTGTGTCCTGGAAGGTATTTGCTGCTGAAGTGCAGAAGGCAACAAGCATGGGCATTAACCCAGAGAGGCTGCAAACAGTTATTCTAACTTTCCTCTTGTTTCAAGGGAAAACAAGACCACAAGTGATCTTTGCTTGCAAAAAAATGGCCAGCACATCACTACCTGTGCAGCAAGAGCACCCCTCCTCGCAATAAATATATTCTGGACCTGACATTTCTTAGCCTTTTGTATTTTTTCTTGAGAGTTTAGATGGTCAGATAGGTGGAAGAGCGTGAATCACCACCTTTTATAGGAGCACAGACTTTGATGGCTGTCAAAGCTTAGGCTTCATTTAAAAGGGGGTTTTTGACAGGGCTCTTCAGGATTGGTTGGTTTGTTTAAACAAGGACAAATGAATATACATATTAAAAAAACACTTGGGAACTTTTGAGGGGGTGCCACTGGCTGTTAACTCAGAGATGGGTTGATGATCTGTAAGTGATCTCAAATAATTAAAATTTAAAAATGATCTCAAAAAGAAGTGGGGAGGAAAGACAAAGTGAACAAGAAAGAGTCACCATTAACAAGGGAGATACTGAGCCAGTGACACTTGCTCCGCTGTGCTGCTTAGGCATCAGCATGGCTGTCACTGGCAGTGGTCCAGGTGAAACTGACAAGAGCAGCAAAGGGCTTTGCTGAGTGGCTTGTCACTTTTCTGGTCCTCTAGTGGTGGTTGGATGAGATAACAATTCATCAGGGCTCCAACAAACCCTAACGAAAGTCCTGAGTTGTCCAGGTTCTCACACAAGTTATCCTTCAGGACGCAGTGCAGATCTGCACAAGATGACAACCTACTGTGACTTGTCAACCCAATCAACATAATTCATACTTCAACCACCACCCATGGTTCAATGATAACCCACACTCTGCCCATGCACAAGCTAAGTGTGGCTAGAGTCAAATGCTATCTGAACCCACTCAGTGGGAATTGTGCAGGCATCTAGTCTATTTTACTTGCCCTACACAGGGAGAGCTTTAATAGATATACAGTGTCTGGGTTTGGACAGCATGATAAACCACACTCAAGGATTTGAGCATGAGTTGTCATTGAACCATGGATCATTGTGCTCGCTGAATCCAGCTGTGCTAACAAGCTATGGCTTGTTTATGTGGTTGGCTTCAGGCAATGAAATAAACCATGCTTCAACCAAAGCTCATAGTTCAGCAGAAAACAAGTTAAAACTTGTGTTGTCTGAATCCAGCCACTGTAGGACTATAACATGTATTTATTAAGCTGCAATGTCATAAATGGCTCTTACAATGTATTTATCTTATGGCCTTTAATCAAAACAATACCCTTCATTTGGTCTCCATAAGATGTTGGTCCTAGGATTGACAGTATGATATTGGTAGGATCTGTTGTAACCTGAAATTTCATTACATTTCTCTATCACTCCTCATTCAAGTTAAGAAGTAGCTAGAACATCTAGATTGGGCAGTGGTGGGCTGACTGAAAGGCACAAAAATAGTAGCTGTCACATCTACCAAATTATGGCACAAAAGCACAGATCACACGGTAACAAGAACCACAGAGCATGGAGGCCACAGAAATCAGACAATGCTCACATTAGTAGTAGTTTGGCATTTTTGAAAGGCAGCATAGAGAACCATAATAGGGGAATGCTTAGCTTCCTGGCCAGTTAGAATAAGCCTTTTAAAAAGTTGCATTTTGTTTGGATATTGTGAAAGTGAAAAGGACTTTGGTGTGTGGAAATACAGATTCGTTTTCACAAATGGATGTATACTATTGATTCATGGGACAAAAATCATGTTCTTTGCTTCTCCTATCTGCCTGCTTTGAAACTTAGAAAATAACTTGTTAGCTTAATTTCCAAGACAGCAAAGTTGTGTTATATTACCATTTAGCCTTTTAGCATTATATTAACCTGAGCATTATGCTGTCCTTCAGTGCATGAAAGCAAAAAAGTAAGGTTCTATGGGGCTCAACTTATTAAAATTTGTGTGCAATCTTTGACATGCCAGTAATGTGGTCCCAAGGAAAGCAGCACTGTGGTGCCAAAGGTGTTCGTGTAGTGTTATCCTTGCAGAAAACACTTGAGGCGGCCACACTGAGCCCAGCATGGGCAAGTGCCTGTCACGTACCTGCAGAGTAATGACGTCATTAAATCACTAAATCAGGACTGAGGCCAGATGCCAGGGCCTAACCAATACAGGAAAAGCAACACTTTGGTTTCTTTAATACTTGCATAGGAATGGAAATCAAGCAGGTGGCACCTCTCCTCATAGCCTGAAGGGAGAACCAGCACTTCCCATTTTTTCTCCCCTCCAAGCAACTATTAAAGACAAAGTATGGTATATCTGTTTTCCCCAGATGGAGAGCTTGCCAACAGTGCCCCATCCCCTTTATCCAAGCAGGAGGCTGACTTTTAAAAATTCTTCTGAAAGCTGGGGATTTACATCTAACAGTTTAACATTTTAATCATTTCATGAGAAGATGCTGATTTTGAGGAACTGACCAGGTTTTTACCTCTTGCTAGTTCCACTGAATCCTCCCTTTCCCTGTTACTCCACAAGATTTCCCTCTGCTTACTGCCTTCCCGCAGGTCTAGTACATGGACTAGATTCTGCCTACGGTATCTACTATATATAACTGACCACATTATCTTTGGAGTACAGGAATGTCTTTTGTGGCTACCTAATACAGGATTGAAATAGCACATGCAACAGGTAACTTAAGGACATGTTGAAGTCCTCTGTTGAAGCAATGACTTCCTGACCAAATTCTGTTGTATCACATGGTGGTATCAAATTCTCCCGTCCTGCACGGAAGAACAACACAGAGACTAGGACAAATGGCAAGACTAGCAAACGGCAACTATTTCCTATAGAAGAGCATCCAAGACTTTCTGTTAACAATATGTGCACAAAGATATTCCCAAAAACCTTTTTGAAATTTTTGCTGAAATATGTTGATTGCTTCAGACATGCACTTTTTATCAGGTTTTTCAATATATGCAGAGGTGCAATAAATGCATGTTTCAGTTGCCCCTGCTGCCAGGTTCAAGAGGATCCTCAGTCTTGGAAAATGTGCATACTAAAAGAATAAAATTAGAATTGGCTTTTAATTTTCAATACTATACTCTATGCACCTATTAAAAATGATATCATGTAATCACTTAATTACACATACCATATCTGTATGATTTTGTTGCTGAGCATGGTGTTTTTTTGGAAAGGATAAACTGCTATATTTTTTTTTCAAATGTTAATGTGTGTCACTATGTCCGTGACTGCTGCCTGAAGCTAACATTTGTTAATGTTCTTCTTCGACAGGTGTGTGTGTAAAAGCAGTGTTCTGCCTTTTCTCTAATAAAAGAAATTATTCTTTTAGATTGTTTATGTGCTGGCATGCATCTATAGTCTTGGCTAGTATCTGATGGCTATTTCTGGGCCTTGCTGAGATGGCAGAAGTGGCACAGAAGGCTTTGCACAGCTGCACACGTTGGATATTGAAATTGATATATCAACTTAACTTTTGGGGGTTTAAAAAAAAACCAAAAATAACTTTTAGTATAGCTTTTACAGTACAATTTTGTTCCAAACTGGAGCTTTTTACATTCATTCGAGTCATTCTTTAACTCAGCATCAGTAGATGATCAGTGACTTCATAAACTGGTGGGACACATACTGAAGACATCACAGTTACAAATGGGCACAATTTATTCTCTCAACGCACTTGCGCATTGTTTCTGCTCAACAGCAAAAAAAGCTTTATTAGTTCTAAACAGTTTCCCTTTCCCCACCTGTTGCACCTTAAAAAATTGGCTTGATTTCCCCATCAGAGCATTATCTATGCTTGGAGTTTCAAATGTTCTGGAAGAAGCTCATTGTCAATCATTCCACCCCAGCCCTCTCCTTACCCCTCCCCCAGAGAAAAGAAATCCTCCCAAGAACCATATAAATACATGCAAAACATCATACATAGAGATTAAATAATATCAAAATGCAATTACAGATCAGGTGCACTTTAAGCTGGACTCTAGATTATGGCAAACACACCAGGGTACATATTGCTTTGAAACCACCATTTTTAAATGTCATGCATACCACATAATATTCAGTCTTTTGTTTTGTCTTTTTTCATTTTTATACAAAAATGCCAGTGCTTATTATACTAGTTACTGAAAAAGGGAAACATAAATTCATATCTGCATGCTTCTTTAGAAAAGCTTTTAAATTGAAATAAATATACATACAAATATTTATTTTATTACTGTATATATATTTATTTATGGGCAGGAAAAAACCAAACATGTAGCCTTAGCCATGGGTTCATCCAAGGGCACATGAATGTGCAAACTGGGATCTTTTTGGCTAGTGGGGCTATTGGCACCACAACCCACAAACAAAAAACCATGTAGTGTCAGGGTGATAAATATCGAAGCTGTTTGAAAAATATTGGGAATGAGAGGGAGGGAGGGAGGGAACCCATATTCTGTCTTTAGCACTGCCAAGTTGGTTATCCCTCTCATATTTCTCTTTTGAGGGAAAAGAAGATAACCTCCTGAGCAGAAAGTAACCTCAGCGAAGATTTTCATCACACATCTGGAAGCTGTTGTTACCTTGCCTTTTCCTCAAAGCTGTGAGTCTTACTAGACCTGTAGGCATCTCAACCATTGGCCCCAGAAAAAATGGCAGTACTAGGCAATGTTTGGGGGAATGCTGAGGAGCAGACATGGGAGCTGTTCACAAAGCCACAACATCACTGTGGGGCTTAGTGGAGCACACCAGTTGCCATTTTGAATATGTGAGCAGTAGCAGTGTGCTTTTAACTTGCTGTGATGGGAGAACCTGGCATGATGGATTATCTGAGAATGTGGCTAAATAACCCATAGCTTGTTCTTAGAGTTATCTGAGGGTTTCTTACCATCTCAAACAACCCATCAAGCCAGATATGTACACTATTGCAAGCAGGCAAGTCCATGATACAAAAAAGGGTTCCCATGGGCACCTGGCATGACAAAATGGTCTTCACAGCTAAATTAAGGCATGCTTGGCATCCATGTCATGTGCACCAAATCAACAATTCTTTAACTAAAGTTTTCTTGAGAAACATCCCACTGAACTGGAGCTATTGAGCTGTCACATGATCATACAAGTCCTACTGCCAGTAACACATCAAGCTACCTTTCTGGCACAGCTTGTTGTGTCATCTGAACCCTCAAATGATGGTTGGTTTCTCCAGACTGCCTGGGCTTGGACAACATGACAACGCTCACCTCAGCATGTTATTAACAGAATGGTGTCTGGCACATGCTAATTTAAACAAGTCACAGCAGTTTCTTTTGATTGTGTGAATCATGTTGCTGGAGATCTTCAGTCAGCTTGTGTTGACCTCCAATAAAAAAGCCAAGTGAAACACAAATTGTAGATATTTCTACAATTCAAATAGCCTTAAATTTGGTTGTTCTATCTCTATTCATAATTGCCCATGGCTAAAATTACAATTTGCTTTGTTTTCTTCCTGGAATTGTCATTTTCATTTTTTAAACTTATTGCACAAAATGTTTGAAAAATTAAGTCAGATGCCTGTGCGACTTAATAAAAAGAACCAATTACATAATTCTAACTCCAAAAAATGAATATTCTTCATTGCACACAGGAAGTGATGTAATGTCTTTGGTACCAATCTGCCAATTTATTTAACAAAAATAATGGATTCCTACTATTAAGAACTGGATGCAAAATTATGTCCAAGGTACTTTTCTTTAAAAAATAACAACAAAGCATTCCAAGGCAAAGTAACACACATCACAGGATATTACTTCATTTCCTGTCTGACATGGCACAACCCTGAATTATTATTTTTATTTCTATACACCCAATAGACGAAGCTCTCTTCCACCCCATGCCCCCCCATGACAATTCTATTGGTTGCAAGATCATTTTGTCCCTCATGGCATATTTTAGAAGAACTATAATCTACACCCATTCCCATCCAGCAAGGCAGGCTATGCAACGAGGTGGACTTCTGAACACGAGTCACCTTACTTGATGCTCTCCTAATACAGACAAAAGAACACTGCACGGGGTTAAAAAAAAACCCCTTCCATCGTGTTCCAGGGGATCAGTATGTGCTGATCTCTATTACGACTGGGTTTACTAGCCTATCCCCTAACAGATGGCTGGTGCAGTCGCCTTTTGACAATGTGGTGGAGCTGCAGGGGGACATGACTGAAAAGGCCTCCTTTATTTCCCAAGCAGGTGTCATGGACAGAACCCAGCAGTGCTGGCCTTTGATTTGGTGTGCACACAGACACTAATCTCTGGATGAGGCCTGCTGCCTTTTATCTAGTGAACTAGGCCTCATCCCCTCGCTTTATCATTTCCCAATAATTTAAGCCAGTCCACTGCTGCTAGTTTTATCACTGAAACTGAAATTAGAAAAGAGAAACCAATCTTATTTTACATTAAAATGTATGCACAATAAACACATATACTTTAAGCAACCAGCCATATCAACATAAGTTATATAAAAACATTTCTGTATAACACAACTGACTTTAGTACAAAGATGGCTGTTCAGAGAAATGAAGTTGACTGGAATCTGACCAATCCCTAAGTGTCAACTGCCAGCCATGTGACTACATTCCACTGCAGTTATATAACTCACAGCTTTGTTTCCTTTAAACAATATACATATGGCTGACTTAAAAATATCTGTTTCTGATCTAAAGAAAACTATATATTTTTTGCATAATATTTATATAATTATTTTCCCCCTCCCCTACCAAGGAAGCTAGACACAAAAAAGAGAAAAATTGATTAAAATGTAAGCCAGACCCTTCATCATAACCTGTTCATTAATGATTTCTGGGAGTGATGGTTTTTCCTTCTTCCAAAATATGCTTGAGGTAATTAAAAAAATATCAAACATGAACAAAAATCAGTGTCCCCTCTCCCAAATATTTCATAAATATGTATGCAATTGTCTAACATCACTATTTGTTTTTTAAGTATTCAAAATAGAAAAAAAGATTTTTGAAACAATGCAATCTTTAGAACAGAACTACATAGAAATATTTTTTTTTCTTATCTGGTAGGTCACATAGCAAGAGATGGCAGTTTTCCTCCCTAAACTCCTCCCAATGTGTACAGTTCAGATGACAGGAATGAAGTGGATTTATCACGAAGGGAAACAAGGAGCAAGAGAATGTGATGATGCCTTAATTGCAATAAAGATGGTCAGTGATGGGCATTTCCCCCACCCCAAATATTGGCAGCTGGTTGAGCCTGACATTCAAGTCCTATTTACGCCAGCACTGGAATCAAAGACCTACCAAAAAGGATTTCTCAAGTCTAGCTTGAAATCATGAGCTACTGGCTAATCCACATGGTGAGGGAATTGAATTTAAAAGTGAAATCAAAACACTCCATTTTCACTTTTTGTTTAAGGAACACTTATCTCTTGGCAAAGTACCGGGCTCCCACGTAGCAGACGGTGCTTTGGGCAGTGCTTAGACAAGGCACAGGAGTTTCTGCTGTGCGTTCTTCAAAAGGAAAGGGAAAAAAGAAAAGCCACCAACCAAAGAAGCTATGTAAGTTGACTGCTGGGATGGAGGCCAGGCAACAGATCCTTCAATAAGGTTAGTAACAGCTTGGCTGTCTCTTTGCTTCCAGGTTGTATTTTCCAAGTAAACCATTCTGTAGTGACATAAAACCACAGTGCCAAATTTTGAGAGCTGCTCTGCCTCCAGCATGAGAAAACTGTGGTTGCCCTGTCTTCTTTCCCAGAAACTGGCCCTCACTCAGGACAGTTTCAGCCTCTCTGTTTGGTTGTAGCACAGTTCTATCATCTTAAAGCTATCAAGCTGAGACTGACCCTACCCTCACTCAACACAGGGGCTGACTTGCCTTCTCCTGCATTCATTCGAGGCAGGTGTGTGGCAACAAACACTTTGGAAAAGATGGGAGCCTGTTTAGGTGCAATGAGAAGGGAAGAAAACTATGGAGAAGTTGTATTGGCATACCTGCAGAGCCAACCCACATGCAATTTTCACCTGAAAAAGCAATTCTGTGCATCCAAGGCTCATTCCTGTTAAATTGTCATTCTCCAGAATGTAAAATGTAGGAAAAGTTAGGAAGGAATAGCTTATTACTCAAGGTGACCTGGTTGCACTGTATTGTTTTACATCATGCATGCTTTTAAAAAGTAGTCCTTTTCCTCAAACAATCCTTCTGAAACCTGAGCAGGGACTACAGCTTTTTTATGCCACATTCTTTGGGATCAATTCTTACTATAAGTTAGGCTGAGATGTTGCTCTTAGACAGCCGATGACTAATTCACCTGATAGTCAAACTGGCAAACCTGAAATCAAGCAAATTATATATAACATAGAAATAACCCACACACTTCAGCTAATGTAGAATTCCAAAGCAATTTGCTCTTAATTCATATACAACTTCTTTTCATCAAAAGCCATGTTCCACCTGATTTCATTCTCTCAGAGAACATGATGCTGTCACATTTCCTTGCTGCTTGGCCTTCTTCCAACTCTCATAATTTAAAAGGCATTTTAAGACGTTTTAGTCACCCTCATTTCCTGCTGTGGATAAAATACCATGGAAACAGAGAGGTACACAAATGGGAAAGTAAATGGTAGAAGTCAGGAAGACTGGGTTCCCTTTCGTGTCCAATACTTGGTTCAGATCCCCTCTAATAACACCCCTTAGATTTATCTCCTTCTCCCCAGGGACATATGGAGACACGTAAGATGCATATTCCAGAAGTAAAGCAAGAGGCTACCCCAACAACTGCATCATCAGAAGCTCTACACACAGCTCTTCAAGAGAATCTGAACCGGTTTTTTTTTAACGTGCAATTTCAACAAGAGAAAAGCCACTTTTACAGACATTTGGAGGTCAACTCAAGAAGATGTATCAAACTGGTGATTTTACCTCTGCCAAAATAACTCTTGTGAAGTGAAATTCTAGGTGAATGGTACTGTGGTTCCTGCAGCTAAATTATCATAAAGAGGGGAGGGGAAAGAGGAATGAAGAGCAAATAGGCTACAGGGACCAGCAGTTGAAGGAAGCGGCTGCAGAGTGTAGTCAGATGGTGGTGCCTGTGTTGCATGGGGGGGGAGGAGGATCAACGTTCAGAGGTCAAACCGATGTTTCCAAGCTGTGTAAAAGGCTTTCTGGCTCCGGAATGGTGTCCTCAGCTATATTGCTGTCCACTGCATTGTTATTTCTGTTGAGGGGTGAGGACTCGCCTGGGCTCTCCTCACTTGGCTTTTTCAGTTCTTCAGCTTCCAGGTCTTCATCGGTGCCATCGAGGAATGGTGTCCGAGGCTCGTCTTCCTCCAGGATGAACTCTGGGTGAGTCATGAAGTTATGAATGGAGCTTCTGGATTCGGGTTTCTTGAGGCCTTCGTACAAGGAACTACGGAACGCATTCACCACTTTGATCTGTACCAAAAAGGGATGGGGGATAAACAATCATAAGCAATACAAAAGTGAGTGGTGAACAGAGGGAGCCCTTAAGGACTTTGGGGGGAAGAAGAAGGCAACAAGTCTAACAAAAATAATAACAGTGGTAGCAGCGGCAGCAAGAATAGTAGTTTTGAACAAAAAACTAAAAACAACATAAAAAGAGGACTTCTAGCGAACCAGAATGGCCACATGGTCAAAGGTGATGGGGCAACCAAGCATAAGGTGCTTCAGGAGCTGCAAGAAAAGAAATGTCACATTCCTAAACAATAGCTTTGAAATGCATGGAGAATCAAAGCACAATTGTTCTCAACGTGTGTCTGCGTGTTGAACAAAAATACTCAAATGAAACAGCTCAACGTGGCAAGTGTAACATAGACTCACAAACCGTGATTTGCTTCAAGGTGAAATTGGGGTGGGAAGTGATGGTATCAGTTGAGAATTTCAAACCTATAAAGATTAATTAGCTGAATGTGTCGCGTACACACACAATGACTTTGAGACAGTGCATTGCAGCAAACCCAAGCAGAATGCAAGTAATGATGAACGGACCAGTGACCATGCAAGAGTAAATCAGATGCCGGTTACTGAAGTGGAGCCCACACTCAGGAGTGACAAAACCTCCTTAGATCTATCATGTTTGGAAACTGGACAGATTCTCCCGATAGCACTGATTAACTTCATAGCTTGTTCTACAGGTAAGTCAAGCACTCTCAGCCGCTCTGCACAGAGGCCTTACCACACTCTTGGCTTAAGAAGATAAGGTCCTTAAGGCAGGGGTGGGGATTCCATAGGCCATGGACTGGAAGTCTCCACTGCCTAATTTTTGGTTGCTCATATTATTTCCTCTCGCCAGTCACAGCTGGGAAGGGGTGTATGTCTGAGTCCTGCTGCTCTACAGCTCCTTCTTCCCCAACCATCCGCAGCTCCCCACTGATTGACAGAGGGGAGATTTACACCAGGGTCACATCCTCACATTCTGAGGAAATGGGCCCTCAAAATGAAAAAGGATCCCCACTCCTGAGGGATATACATTCAATTTGCAGCCATTTAAGCAATTATGGTTGATCGAAGACTAAACTCACTTCTTCACCTTATTTTCCCAGTGCAGAGAAATCTCTATAAAAGTGGGAAACAGGCTTGGGTTTCCAAAGGTACCTAAAAATTAGGCCCCTACCCAGATAGGTCTTCAGAAGCAAGCTCTAAACTCATTTGGCTGTGAAGTGTCAAAGCCCTGATTTCTTTGGCTATATTGAAAGCCCTGAACTCTGGGAGTGTTTACTCCTCCAATCCCCATATTAATCACAGTTTGGTCGGTCACATAGGCAAAGTGCAGATCACATTCCAGAACAAAAAGGCATTGTGGACACTGGACCTGAGAAACCTTCCCTTTACAGGATGCAACATATTTCTGTGAAAGTAACACTCACTGTGACAAACATGGGTAATTGTGCAGACCTTGCTATAGTCCAACCTACTCAGGTACACATTAAATGTAGATTGCTATATCAGCTTTTAACTGAAACTTATACACAATGCAAAAACCAAAGAAGCACATCTGAAAAAAAAAACCTTTAAATAATGCTTCACAAAGCAATTCATATTCTATGCAGAGATAGCCCAAAATTAATACCCAAGACACAGACCAACAAAAAGAGGCAGGCAAACAAATAAATAGATCAACTGAAGCTCAAATAACCACCCAGGTATATTTACAGGAAAAAATCTTCACTTTGTATCTAGTGGTAGCAACAGTCCAGCTGTCAGCACAAATACAATGTCGGCTATTCTCCAGATATTAGCCTCTAAACACAAAAATATTCCACACACAAAAGGAAAAGATCTTGAGCCTCTTGTAGTAGCTTAACAGATTAGATCTGCAAGCCTCCAAATCATTTCAAAATTGGAATTATCCTGAACTTGAAGATTGAGGTCCTGAGCTCACATGCAGGTCCTGAGTAAAGGGACTTGCACTGAGGGTGGAATTATATGTTACCTGGATGCTCTGGGTAGTCAATTTCCTGCTGAAAGGGAAGTCTCCAATGAAGATGCAGTGGGTTGGAGGACAGTGCTTAATCTTTCGTGTGTTCATTTCATTTCTTTTGCTTGTTCATTTCTTGCAACGTGCAGCAAAGTGGTTGGGACAAAACTGAAGTTTACAACTGTGACTGAGAGAACAGGGTGGAGAGGGCTAAGACCATCCTCTCATATGGTGCACTTCTCTATTGCAAATTGTTTCACTTGTTACACTTTGCAGTGGAGAAGCTGGGGGAGAGTTTCAGTAGAAGCAAGTTCCAGTTCCATTGCTCAGGCTGGTCTCATGATCCAACCTGGTTCTGGTTTCCTCCAGTTATTTTTCATTTAATAGATGTTAAAGGTGAATTCAGGGTGAACAACATAAAATTCTGCTGTTACCCCTGCCCTGTCCCCAGTGTGATCCTCCGCAGTGGAGCAAAACAGTAATGCTACACAGTGCCAAAAAGGGCAATTTATCTCTAAAACAAGCTATAGTTCACCATTCCATAGTTATGTACCATAGATTCTGTCCCCAAGATGCTCCCAGGAGTTCAGCCTGTGGGGATACATGTATCTAAGCTGAAAATAGCCCCTAGAGCCATGAGAGCTGCCCATTCCATGACTATAGTCTGCTTCCATGAGCACCTGCATTTGTCCTTCATGTTTTGTGACACCCTCTATCTTGCCAGCTTTCCTCTGTGCTATATTATGGGTGAAGATACAGTTTTCAGAAAAAATGCAGAGCTATTTCACAACAACTCAGAATCATGCTGTTCAGCCACTGTTTGGTGGGCAACAAAGCCCTGCAGGAGATAAAGCGCCAACATGGTAATTTGTTAGTGGATCAACATGTCCATGGACTGCTATTTGCAGGCTAGCAGGCTCTGGATAACCTATCTTGCTGCTTTGACTGCCAATCTGAGATTAATGGTTCCTGAATCAGATCCAATTGTGCACTCAGTCTCCACTGCTGTCTAGCCAGATGCCTCTGGGATATATGACATGAAATGCTAGCCATACCCTGTTGCCTGTCCAAAAGATCTGGCTCCCAGAGATAGACTACCTCTGGACATGGAGGTTCCACTCAGCTGTTATGGCTAATACCTATTAATAGGGCTATTCCCCACAATTTGTTGAAGCTTTTCTTTATTTGAAAGTAACCTAAAACATGGCAATCTTCTTACTGTGCAACAGTGAATTCTATCGTCAACCCCATTGGCTGATTTGAGCTCTAATCTGGTAAGAGAGGGAGAGAAATTATCATCCAAACTATTTGTGGCTTTGTATCATGACCCTCTTTAGTTTTCTTTTTGTTCCTTTTAATCTCCATTCTCCCAGATGACCTTAATAACCACCACAGTGTTTTGGTCCTCTCAGCCCTAGAGAATAACAGGGTAAGGGTGTATTCTTCATGTTCTTTCACCTACAAATGAATCTTCATGTGTCCTTAATTTGGCTTGGCTAGCCTCCAGCTGTTCTTCATGATGATCTCTCCTCTTCACCAGCAGCACTGCTCTCTACCTTGGATGAAAAGCTAAGTTCCTGTTCAGCTGGCAAATATACATAGGTTGACAATAATGTCTTGTATTCCATTAACTAAACTGAATGATTTAGTTATTGCACAGTTAGTAAGCTAAAGTGGAAGCACTTTCTAAATGCAAAATCCCAGATCATCTCTAGAAACACAGTGGAGCCCCTCAGAGACCTTTGGTTTCATAATGCTAGCAATACACTGAAAAAACAAAGGGGTAAAGCAATATTTGAAAGCTCTGTAGGACGGTAACTCAAAGCCAAACTTCTCATTGGTTTCAATATGCTACATGCAGCTGAATCCCTTCTTTTACCAACTCAAAAGCAAAAGTGGACTAGAATTAAGACCTCTCTCTCGCTCTCTCACTCTGTGTGTGTGTGTGTGTGTTTGGGGGGTGGGCCATAGCTTCCTGCCCCCTGCTGCGGTCCCAATATAGAAGTGTGGAACCCCTGAGCCAGAGGAGGACCACAGGTAGCACGTATGCATGTTTTTGTGCATTCATGCATGTGAATAACAGGTAGCTTGTCTCTTGGTCTAGAAGATCATTAGGTAAATGCCACAATGGCAGCTAATGTCCTATGCTGTAGGACAAGAACTCTGACAGATAACAATAAAGGTAGAACAGCCTTTGGATACTAAAATCATGCCTTGGTCTACCTGTGGATAAGTATTGATTAGACTGGTTGGCACACCGTGACAGGAAGTCCTTGTGAGGAAAGATCCATAGATGTATAAAATTGTAGAACACAATCCCATCTCTACAACACTGCCAAGGAGCACATTAGTCCTCCAATGATGGAGGCTTCCATCAGCAGAATGGGGAAGTAAGTGATTTTGGGCAGTTCTCTCTTCTCTAGCAGCCCACCCCTTGCTCTGTATTGTAGGGTATGTTCTCAGTTCATGCAGAGTGACCCTGCAGTCCAACAGGCCCATTTAAAATGGATGTGCACCTAGAACTCATCCTAGAATCCTCTGCAATCTCTGCATGAAGAGATCCTGTGGCAGATGCCTGGGAGGTTTCTTGGGCAGACAAACTGATACAGAGAGTATAGACAGAACATGTGAAAAATACTCTTCTTGGTTTCAGTTTTTAGTGATTTACTCCATCTATGCCAAAAGCATGCACATTTTATTTATTAGAAGTGTAATGTCTTGCTTTTCAGTCCCAAAGGAAATCTCCAAGGCAGCCAAGCCATTTATAATCAATAATCCATCATCAAGAAACAATGTATAACCCAAGCTTTTAGCTTCAGTTCCACAGCTATCTGCTCAAGTATCATTTATTAATAAACAGGATGAAAACAGACATCTTCCCTCTGCATCTGGTTGAAATGGAACAGAGCACACTAGTTAAACTCTGAGCATTTGACAGGCTTCAGGTTCTTTAAAATTTTATCTCACATTCCTTAGAATGAACCAGAAAACCTCTTTTAATTATAAGGTCACCCATGAGTAAATTATGAACAATGAACAGTCCTTGCCATGCTACATTACTCCCCACTCTTTGATGTTTACTAATGAGCTCTTCCTTCTTTAATGAATCAGCCTTCGTAAACACAGCACTTGGGACTGCTAAAGTATTAAACACTGTAGAACTTTCCACCAGGTATTAAAAGAGAAGGGGAGAGACAAGAGTGTCACAGAGCTAGCTTGAGAAAAGTAGCAGAAATGAAGTAGAAAACTGCATAGATAGCCCACAAAAGGCAAGAGCATAATTTTTGATGCAGTTGTTATAGAATGGGGAATCACTCTCCAATTATCTGCTTTCTTCTGGCCCAGCCCACTTTGATTAGATAAACTTAACCAACTGTACTTGTGTATGCCATGAATAAAAAATCAGCAGTTGCTTTCTTGGGTGGATGTGGTACACAAAATTAAGAACTCAAAATAGCATCTTTAAATATACTGCTACACTGGTACAGATTGAGAAACAAATGCTGCACTCCTTTAGAAACTATGTGTGGATATAAAAATTTCAATATTGGTTGAGTGCAAAATGTACACTGTTAAGAAAATTCTCCTTCTTGAAACACTTGTCACAAAAAGGGAAATAGTAGCAGCAGCAGCAATAATGCTGCAATAAATACTGAACAGCATTTACTTGTAAAAATAGTACAAAATGTATGACTGGATGCAGTGTCTCTTTTTCTTTAAAATACAGCAAAATCCACTGCCATTTCCTGGTAGGCTTACAAAAGCAGCCACCAAAGAAACAGCAAGAATTAGCAAGAGTTGTTTTATGTATTCTGTAGGCCATAGTTTCACACCCGCCATCTCTTCTTTATGAATCCCTTCTTTAACAGTTGTGTAAATATTTGGATCACTTAATTGTTTAATTTCTAGGGATTTTCCATTTTTTGGTTTTCTATATTTAATTCAAACTACAGCTACAACAAGGGAGTCTGAATTTATGTCAGTCCCTGGGTATATTTTCACTGCTTGAAGCTCCCTAAAATACAACAAAATAACTAAAATATTTGATTCCTTAAAATATTACTGTTAGTATTGTCTTGTGGGGATTTTCAGGTACCTAATCTTCTTGTTGGTAAATTAAATGTGGCATTAGTAACCATACATTCTTCTTCCTAACAAAAATGTATCATTCATTCTCCATGTTCATTCCTAATCCATATTTCCATGTCTTTTACAGGCACCTTCTTCTATCTTAGTATTAAAATTTCCCATTATGAAATGTACATGCTGCTTTTTGTATATCTTATAATATCTTTAAGTTCATCTTTATCTGCAGTTGAAGCATATGCTTGTATGATAGGGATGTCTATGGGATTGGTCTTCGCTGAAAAACCTTGCAGAATGGAATGGGGACAATATGGCATCATTATCTAGAGTAGCCATATCTAAAGCCTGTTTAGCCATGATAACATTCATCCTCCAATGGGAGCATAGCTGGAAGTATCAGTAGCAATCTCTTCATACAGATAGAAATATTGCCTGCACAGCTGGAATCTCCAATTTTAAGAACTATGCCCAGTTCTGTACACGCAGAAATAAAACACGATGCTTAGCAGTCACTAAACCCCTGGATGCAAATAATATCTTAAAACAGGTTTGGAAATCTAACTTAAATGAAGAGCATGGTACTGGTCTCAGAAAGTTTTGTAAATAACCAGTATAGTGACTTAGCTAAAAAGCTGTGGACTTCCCAGGGATTAAGGGATAGGCTGCCAGATTTAGCAAAATGCAGGCTTTTTTAAAACCTACAACTCAGTTTGGATTGCAAGAGCCTTTAGCAGATCAACAGCATTCATCATATATTTAATGTGCACTGTGCCACATTAATTTAAATGTATACCCCTAGTTTATTAGAGCTATGCATAGAAAGGGAGCGCTTAGGGTCTGATAGACAAGCATTTTCCCCCGTCCTATCTACTAATATTGGGCTTGATGTAAAATCTGCAAATAATGATAACAGTCTTCCAGGTGCTTTCCAATTACATTACTCTTAACAGAGTGACTCAATGCATGTTCATGGAAAGGTAAGTTCCACCCAGATCAGTGGGATTTAGTGCAGCGCAAGTGAGCATGCACAGGTTTGTAATCCAAGGAAGCCTTCATGTGGACAAGTTGCCTTTCATGATAAGTGGACTAGCATGAACATAATATCTGCAAAGAAAGGGGATTCTTGTCAAAAAAAAAAACCCCTGCACTTTGGAGACATTCTCCCATCTTAAAAACTTAGCTGTGGCCATTAACTGTATTACCCTTCTTTCCCCTCTCAAGGAGAGCATCAAACATTTTGTGCCTCTGGAAGATTATGGAAATCCTAATTCAGTCCTGCAAGAAGGAGAAAGAGTTGCAATAGAGGAGAAAAAAACAGAAAAAGAACCAGAAAGAATTTTTAAAGAAAGTTAAAAATGCAAGAGCTAAGAGAAGTTGTATACCCATACACACAGAATTGCTTTTCCCCGCACTTCCCAATTCTCAAAATAAGAAACCATGAATCAAGTTATGGGTTAAAAGAAAGGGAAAGAGAACAGGTTTGTTAGGTCTGTGCGAGTGCCCTTTGGTGGTTATTAGGAAGTCATGCATTGAATAGACTATCACTCACTGCCCGCAGGAGGAGATGCAGCAGCAGCAGCAGCAGAAGTGGTGGGAGTGGAATTGACGGAGGAAAGAGCTACATGGGTTGGGCTAGAAACATTTTTTACATCGTGGTGTTGGCTCACGATGGAAGGCTGTCTCCTGAGGGCTCCCTGTAAAGAGGAGGCGCCGGTCTGGAATGTGTAAACTACGTCCATCTGCAAAGAATCAGAGAGTGAGATAGCTTTGTCCCACAATCAAAAGAGGAAAAGGAACTGGGAGAGTGGTAGGGGAGGCTGGGCAGACAAAGGATACAGACACAAACAATAAGGAACAGAAGTGGAAGGGGAAAGAGGAAAAACTCAGTACATCCCCATAAACAGTTCAGCAGTTAATCCAAAAGTTGAGCCACTAAGCAAAGAGATTCCAGCTTTTCCTCTTTTCTTTCTTAATGATCCTTGTGTTTGCAACAGGTTCAGTATCTGAGTCGAACTACACATTACATACAAATGGAATCAAAACACCTTTGGTCTACTTTTTGTTGCAAACCAGCTTCGGGATGAAATAATTTGTAGTACAGAAGCTGCAGGAGGGAAAATAGGTGCTTAATGGCTGTTTGTATTCTGCTGTTCATCTATTGTTGTGTTTAATTTTTATATGCTGGTTTCATCGTTGCTTTTAAGTTAATTTCTGTAAGCAGCTTGGAAATAAGTAAGTAACTACAATGAAGGTAGGGCATAAATGTTACTTGGGTTCCAGCACACGTTTGCTTATAATGTGCAAGGAAAGACAGCAGATGGATGAAATCTGACATTAGGTGAAAGTTTGAAAGACACAAAAGTGCAGTCAGAAATATTCAAGTGGAATAAATAATTTGTTTCTAATTCCTTATTCCAACATAAAAACCAACAAGGGACACAAAGCACTAAAGATAGCAATTCTAATGGAGGAGCAGTATGTGCTAAGCTTATCTGCAGTGACCAGGCCTTGTGTAACACTGGGTCATTTTGTTTGGTCAGTGTTAGAAAACAAGTTAAAAAAACCACCCAAGCTGGAATTAATTGCAACAGCAGCTTGTCAATTCATCCTGAAGCAGAAAGAGCACAGCAGCATGCAGAGATATTACAACACCAGATATTTTGCTTCTTACTGTCCCTGGTTTTGTGAAGACAGGCACAAAAAAGCACTGTACTGCTCTAACTTCCAGCTCTTCTAGCTAATGAGAAGTAACTTCATCTCAGCTGGGAAGGCCTCTTGCTAAGAGGGGAAAGGCTGAGGCTTTCCTATTATGATGCAGACTGTTTCTGTTGTTAGATCATCAAAACAGTAAAAAGAATTCCCCGTGTTTTCCTGAAGGAAGACAGATATAGAACGAGCTGGAAAATCTGCACTTCCAGGAGTTGCGATTTTCAGATTCGAGACTGATTTGCTTAGATCTACATTACACATCTTACATTAAAAAGCAACAACCCAGGACACCTCGTATTTGCGTAGTGGTTGCTGTAGCAGGCAGCCTGTTTGTTTGGTGGGCATGCAAAGCTCCATCAGTGAGCTGGTCCTTTCACAAACTGGACATGGCCACCTCTTCCTCTTGACAGGACGACTCAGGCAATTTTACAAACACAATATTGCACCTACTTGTACCTACCATCCTCTGCCATGTCTGGAATAGAAAAAGGAACATTTCTGGTGCAGGATGGCTCGTCCTCCAAGTTTTTAGGGTGGCTAGCTTAAGAAACTCAAACAGCCATGTTTCTTTGTGTGATTCTGACATTTGGGTGTCTCCGAAGACCTACCTCAGTGGCATTTCCTACGCAGTGAGCGACAGCCAGCAGTGACCTTGCCTGGCTGATACCACACAGTACCAGCATTTAAGAAAACCGAATGCTGCTTCAAACTGCATGCCCGCATGCAGCCTTTGGTGGCGGCCTCAGTGAATTCCGTCTTCCTTTTCACTTTCTGCATGTGGCTTGTGTGCATACAGCACCTGTTCCTCTTTACCATGCATAATACAAGGAACCACACTCAAGGTGGCACAGACTACAATTCCCATGTGTAACATACAGCTCGCATCCAGGTCTCATGCAGGCATTCATCCAAGACCATTTCCCTTCTTTTAGGGCCTGTTTCCTGCCATGGAGGCAAGTACCTGGACTAAAAAAATGGCAAATTTCTGACATTTTTAAAGAAGTCATACAATTAATATGCAAGGAGAAGAATGTCATTACATAGCACTAACGTAGGACATCTGCCCCACAAAACTCTCCACTCCCTGCTCCTGCTTCTTTGGCTCTGCCAATCCCAGCTCTCTCCCCCGTCGGCTTGGAAAACCGCATACTACAGGCAGAATTTAACTACAGGTCGCTTCATGGAAAGGAGGTCCAACAAAGCTGGTCAGTGGTGGAGTGGAACTCTACAGCCTTGACAGATCTCAAGAGATTTGTGGGGAGTGTGTGGCTCTGCAGTATATCTTGAGTGGCATTGCAATGTCCCCTCTCCATCTGAAATTACTGTAGGGCACTAATCCTGAGTGGGAATTTCTATACTACTCTAAAACATCTTCTGTGAAGATTTCCTTTCCTGAAAGGAAGAGATCTGGGCTGGGAAAATAATCAGGTTGTTCCATGGTAGTTGCTAACCAAGAGGGGATGCAGGGCTTGGACCAGATTATTTAAAAGACTGCCTGATTCTCTATGAACCTGCCTGGATCATACGATTGTCCAGAGGGGTCTTGTTCATGTGCCCACTGGCGATACCTCTAAGTTCGGCAGGCACAAGGCCTTTGCTGTGGGATGTGAATATATTTTCCTATCTAACTCTTTATAAACAGGACCTCAGTACATGGATGTCCCAGCCTGCTTTTACATGAACAGATACCAATTTTTATACTACGAACTGGAGCTTATACTGTTATTTTAAGTGTGTGATGTTTGTTTTAAAATGTTCTCTTATAAACTGTTCTGATGAAGCTATGCCTCAAAAGGCGGAATAAAAATATTTTAAATGAACAAATAAATTACTGGTGATGATTTCTAGTTGCATGAGGTTATTTCAGTAGCAAAGGAGAACATTTTGAGATGGCTAACCATCCTGAACTACCTGGAATCCTTGAAAAATCTGAAGTGGGTGTCACTTCATTTACACCATACTCCAAAGTTGGGCAGGTGTCATGAGAAACTTAATTTCAGCATTAGGTGAGTAGGGCAGGACCTGGAATCACTTTGCAATGCTCTTCTTTGTCTAATACTCTGTGGAATGCCAGTTGGGCTATAATAAGAGGATGCTACAAATGGGAACAGCAATTCTATTCCCAGCCTCCTTATACATTTCCTTAAAAATGGAGTCATATTCTAGAGATGCTGAAGGGTTGGTACTGCTGCTTGTGCCATGTATTAGTGATTGTTTACTAACCAGCAAGCTCTTTTACAGTATAGATCGTTGAACTGTTGCTGATGTAACTTCAGCTGGACATAACAATACAGCAGCTTTCAGGTAGGTGAACACTACCAGTTAGATGGGGATCTAAAATCTAAGAATTTGGTTGGAGTCACGGGGTGTGCACAAACTGCCATAAACTTTCCTCAGGCCATTGTGTGTCAAAAAACATTCTATTACCCGTTAAACCAAACGAAATCAAACCGATTTAGAAAACTAGCTTGTATTATTTTGTGATACTGTGAGAGCTACTCATCCATCTGTAAGAAACGGTTACTGTGCACTTCATCTTTGTCTCCATTTTTTAACTGTGAGTCACTTAGGGATTTTTATCTGTATTGATACAAATATTATAAATAAAGTCTTTGAGATGAAGTCCCCATGAGTTTCCTGGTACCATTGGAAATATCTCTGCAGGCCTGTTTCATGTTTGCTCTTCTGTAAGGAAGACATTCGCTACTGTACTGGCAGACTAAGCCCCTCAACAGCAAGGGATGCAACCCACCCTTAACATCCCAACAGCTTGTTCTTCCCTTTTCTAGCAAACTTCATCAGGAAATTCCTAATCCAGGTTCACCATTGGAGGCCAGAACAAGAGGGACACAGATTTACATGAGGAGTACAGGCCAGAGCAATAGGGGTTGTTCTTGGAATGTTCCTTGGCGCGCCAAATTGATCCCCAGCAAGTCCATGCACAGTTTAGAAGATCTAACTTTGTTTGGAAACAAGGCATTGTTTGTAAGTACCTGCACCACAGAGGCAAGAAGAGAATATTGGCATCAAATGATCCTTCTTTTGCTGTGCGTGCAAAGAGGTAGGGAGATTTATCTTACAAGAAGGCACTAATATTTATTTTAAAAAAGTCTTCAGTTGTATGTGACTACACAGATGCACCTGCATCAACACTACTAGCTCAGGAAATGTGGATATTTGGTCCCCAATTCCTCCAGCAGCTTGAATGTCTTGTCCCTCTTTCTGACATGCAGCCCTTATTTCACTGGGGCTATGACTTAACTGAAAACTTAACACTGTAGTACAAAATCCCTAAAGGAGAAGAAATCAGCACCATACCTGAGTCTGTATTCTGTTGAGACCCCTGAACCACAGGATCTGTCCCCGCCGGAGCTCCATTTCGGCATGGTCAATTTCGTCCAGACCTTCGGGCAGCTCCTCATCTGCAATATCCTCCTTGGTAGTGCCGTGTCCTGCCTCCTTCAGGAACTTCAACTGACTGGTTGGAACAGTGCAGATCAGCTACACAGACATGGAAGGCTCTGAGTTAATTCCTTCTCCTCTACGGCTTGCAAGATGTTGCTTCTCAGTTTGACAGAATGTCTGGTCACCACCCATGATTCCCGACAATCATTCTTTGCACTTGGGCCATACTATCCTAGCAGGGCGATGTACCATCATGGCATTTTTATTTATTGCTTTTAGAACAAGGCGGGCCAAAGGTAAGAGAAGTAATGCATCCATTTCCAGTAGCAATCGGTACCATGCTGACCTGATTCACTCAGCTGACAGCACAAAACTGGAGTGGAAGGAGGTAAAACTCTGGTAAAGTACATGCCTAGTCTGTGGTTGAACCTCTGATGCCACCTATTAAAGTTAATCAGGCAGGAGATATAAAGGACCCTTGACCAAGACTCTAGGAAGCCACTGCCAGTCAGACGGTTCCATTACATGACCAAGGGAAGCTAATAAGCCACAGAGGCTTGTTAACCACCTGGCACATGCTGGCTCCATGCTGCACAGATTGACACAATTAACGGTGGAACTTCAAGATGGCGTCGGAATGATACAGATGTGATTAATGGAGCTTCTGTTATCACACTGGTATTGCTCAGTAGCGAGTTGTGGGAGACTCATCTAAGCCCTGTCGGGGCAAAGACAGATTGCCTGGCATCTTTTATTCTGGTTGGTGTAGGACGGCAATCCTATATCTACTGGAAGAGACTCAGGCATTTCTCAATCGGGCAATACAGGAGGTTTTTCTTAGCCCCTGCCAGTTCTCGACATCTGATGGATTAATTAGCTTACTTTAGCCAGATAAACATCGGACGGCTGGTAAGCATTCTTATTGCTTATTTCTTTTCGCAATACTACCTGTGGAAAAGCTGTATCTGTTTATTAAAGAAAAGACTTAAAGAAAAAACAGAAAGCCCTCTCGAAGTTTTTTAAGTGGCGACTGACATATGAGAGAATGTGAAGACGCTTATCTGAATTGAAGCTGAAGAGAAAGATTTTTCTTCTAATCTCTCTAAGGGCGAAGGCAAAGTGAAAAATTGCTATGGAACTAAATTAAAGCATAGAAGATTAGAAGGTGAACGGAACACTTTGGATGCCTGTTTGGACTTCTGCCAAGGCTAATTGGACACTTGCCAGGAAAATTTTTGTTACGTGGTGTTTCCTCTCTACTGTGATGACTTTCTGGTGAGCATATTACTTTCTTTTACTTACTTTCTTTTTGCAATATTACCTGTGGAAAAATTAAATCTGTTGTTAATTGGAATAAAGAAGAAAGAAAAAGCCCCTAATTTGCCAGTGGCCATTTTTTTTTTTGGTCAGCTTCCACTTTTCCTGGGTCTGCTGCCAAAAGACTGACATTTTTTCATTTTTTAAATAGCCTTTTGCTGCCACCCGGTGGCTATCAGAATTATTGCAAGCTACTTTCCTTTTCTCCCCCTTTTGCTTTCTTTTTTTTCTTTTTAATATCTTATTCAATTTATATTTTTCTTCCCTCCTTTTTTTTTTTGGTTGGAATATTGAAATTTCTTTGGTGAACAACTTCCATCATGAGGAAAATTCAGCCCTCTTCAGCACCTTCCTCAGTGGGTCAGAGTCCAATTCATCAGCCCAAGACAGAAGATGTTGCAAAAAGCTTAAGGCGATGTCAATATGACTGGAAAGCTTATCGAATGAGCAAAAAGAGCGGTTTGACAAATTGGATAACTCTATTAAAGAGGTGACAACTCAATTATCTGATGTCCGACTTAAAGCGGAACAGAATACACAAAAGATACAAGTATGTGAAAAATTGGAGACAGTAAAGAAATATATTTAATTAAGCAAATAAATAAGTCAATATGGGACTCAATGGCTACATTAGAGATGGAGAAGGCATCTTATTATCTAAGAATATACCTGAAGAGAAAAATGAGGACCTGCGAGAGATCATAACTGACATGCTGGCGGAGCTTTTAGAAATCGAGAACGAAGTCATGGGTATGGGAATTAATCTTGTTTTTAGGATCAACTCCTCTTATACCAGAAAAAATAAACTTCCGAGAGAAGTCCATATCAAATTTGCTCTAAGGTGTATAAGAGATAAAGTTTTGAAGGCCGTACGGGAGAAGCTGTTAAAGAGAGATGATCATCAGGAGGTGATGGTTCTGAAAAAAATTCCATGGAGGATTAGAGAGGGAAGAAAGAAATATCGATTCCTTACTACAAAACTGATCAAGAAAGAGATTATCTTTAAGTGGCTAACACCAGAAGGAATACTTTTTACATGGAACTCTGTGAGATATAAATTGGATGCAATTCTTAAAACACAAGAGTTCTATGAAAAATTTAGAGTTATGCTGGAAGAGGAGGATCCTGTTGTCTCTAAAGAAGGAGAAAAAGGTGCCGAAGCAATGGAAATAACAGCGTACCATTCTGAAGAAGGAGAAATACTGAAGATTGATTCACAACAAGAAGTACAGACCCTGGACTCAAAGGAGAAAAAAAAAAGGTAGAACTGTAAAGGCAAAGAATAAGTAAATAACTTTATTAAAGGAAGGGAAAATTGAATTGCTCTCTTTAAATGTTAATGGACTAAATGGACCATCTAAGAGAAGAAGGATTTTTGCTCAACTTCAAAAACGAAAATTAGATATAATTTGTCTACAAGAAACACATATTAAGAAACAATATGTTAAACTTCTGGAATGTTCAAAACTGGGAAAATTGTTCGTATCTTCTGCATCGCAAAAGAAAAGAGGTTTAGCACTGTATGTTAAAGAAAAATTGGACCCTAAATACATTCTTGCTGATGAGGATGGTAGGATCTTGATGGTAGAAATTACAATTAAACTTAAAAAGGTGCTCTTAGTGGCAATATATGCACCAATTGACCATCAGGAAACTTTTTACCAAAAACTACATAAGTTACTTTTACAAGTGGACTATCAGTCTGTGTGTGTAATGGGCGATTTTAATGCAATTGTGAATAAGGGAATCGATTACAAGAGTGAAAGTAAGGGGAAAAGGGTAGGAGGATGCTTCCAAAGTCTTGTTCCAACTTGACTGAAGAATTCAGATTGAGAGATGCCTGGAGGCATAAAAACCCATCTTTGGCCAATTATTCTTTTTACTCAAACAGACATAGGCCATGGTCTAGAATTGATATGGTTTGGATAACTCCAGACTTAATCCCAGATCTGATAGAAGCTGAAATGGAGACAAATGTCTGGGCGGATCATAATCCTGCATTGAAAGGAGCTGCAAGGATGCCCAGATGGAGTCTAGATAAAGCGTTACTAAAAGATAAAAAATTTATAGAAGAGATAAGCAAAGAGATGCAAATATTCTTTCAAATAAACAAAGCGGAAGTAACTTCTTTACAGAATGTCTGGGATACAGCTAAAGCCTACGTCAGGGGACTGATAACAACCTACTCAGCAAAAAGAAAAGAAAAAGAAAAAGCAAGAGCGAATAACATTAGTAGAAGAATTGAGGAAACGGGAACAAGAACTGCAGGCGGATCCAACAAAAAGAATTCTTAGGGTCCAAATGAATACTTTAAAGCACAAATTGAATCTCTTGGATACAAATGAACTTACTAAGCAAATGAAACTGGCTAAACAGATTTTTTTTGAAAATGCTAATAAACCGGGGAGATGGCTAGCATATAAAGTAAAAAAAGAAAGAGAGAAGAGATTGATTTCGAAACTGAAAGATGGAGAAGGACAACTACAGGTACAAAATACACAAATTAAGAAAATAGCTGAAGATTTTTTTTGCAAGGTTATACCGGAAGGAGGAGTTTTCGATCGAGAAGGTAAAAGAATACATTCGAAAGGGAGATTTACTAAAACTACCAGAAAAGTATCAAAAAATATTGAATCAAGAAGTAACAACTATGGAAATAACAGAGACAATCATGCTACAAAAGAACGATAAAACTCCTGGTCCGGATGGGCTACCAGCTGAATTTTACAAATCTTTTGAGGGAGTTTTTACTATGTTGCTCAAAGATATATGTAATGAAGCACTGTTAAATGCTAAAACACCAGATACCCGGACAGAGGCAAATATTACATTAATACCAAAAGAAGATATGGACTTAACATAGATTTAAAATTACAGACCTATATCATTACTAAATGTGGACTATAAAATTTTTGGCTCTATACTGGTAGAAAGGTTGAAGAAGCTTTTAATAGACTTTATTCATCCAGACCAAAATGGTTTCCTGCCTAAAAGACAAATGAAGAACAATCTGAGGACTGTCTTGGATATCCTAGAATACTACGAGACACACACAGAAAAATCAATGGCTCAACTGTTTTTAGATGCCCAGAAAGTCTTTGATAATGTTAATTGGCAATTAATGATGCAACAGATGGACCAAATGGAGTTTGGGGGAAAATTTATGAATGCGATATCAAGCACCTATCAAAGACAATCGGCCAGGATTTTAATTAATGGAGAACGTACAAGGGCTATAGAGATACAAAAGGGTACAAGGCAGGGATGCCCATTGTCACCCCTGCTGTTCATCCTGACTTTAGAGATCTTGAATAGAAATATTAGGGATGACGAGGACATTAAAGGTACTAAAATTAGGGATGAAAAGTATAAATTGCAAGCATTCACAGATGATTTGGTCGTTATAATAGAGGAACCTTTTGTAACAATCCCTAAACTTTTACAACGGATTGAAGAATATGGTGAGGTTACGGGGATGAAAATAAAGAAAAAATGAAACTTTTAGTTAAAAATCGTACGCAAGATCAGAAAAAAAGACTCCAAGAACAAGTGGACTTGCAAAGTGTTAAAAAGATTAAATACTTGGGAATCTATCTTACAGCTAAATGCACAACTTTGAAAGAAGACAATTACGATAAATTATTGAAAGATATTAAAGGTGATCTGAAAAGATGGGCCAATTTACAATTGTCTTTGATGGAAAGAATAGCACTGGTTAAAATGAACATACTACCAAAACTTTTGTTTTTGTTCCAAATGATCCCCGTAAAAATTGATAAAATATTTTTTGAGGATTTAAATTTTCAAATTTCGAGATTTATTTGGAGAAAAAAGAAAGCAAGGATTAAACTAAAAATGCTTCAGGAAACCAAAAAGAATGGGGGTTTTGGTTTACCGGATTGGATGTTGTATTATCAAGTGTCTATTTTAACTTGGATAAAAGAATGGATAACCTTGCGAAATAAGAGAATTTTGTATCTTGAAGGACATGATTTGCAAGTGGGTTGGCATGCTTATATGTGGTATGAGAAGGTTAAGTCTCATGGGACTTTTTAAAGTCACTTTATTAGAAGATCATTAATGTCAGTGTGGGAAGTTAAAGTCAAAATTGTATAATAAGTTACCAAGATGGCTTTCACCTATGGAAGCTTTTGTGTATCCAAATGTATTGAATTTTGAAGGGATCATAAGATATGATGATATTTTGGATAAGGATGGAGGCCTGAAACTAGATCAAGAAATACAAGAACAGGGACTTAATATCTCTTGGTGGTATAAGGTGCAGATGCAATCAAGATATGCTAAAGATTATAAAATATGGGGGTTTTATAAAGACCTAAAAGCCTTTGATCAAGTGATGTTAAAAACAGATGAGAAAATGATTAAAATAATTTATGAGTTCTTACTTGACAGGAAAATGGAAGGGGAACAGGTTAAGGAAACTATGATAAAATGGGCACAAAATTTTGGATATAATATTGAATTAGAAAAGTGGCAAAAGCTATGGGAGAGAAATATTAAGGTAGCTTTAGCAACTTCATATAAAGATAATTTATATAAAATGTTTTATAGATCGTATTTGCCGCCAAATCAATTAGCTAAGATGTTTCCAAATATGTCAAACAGATGTTGGAAATGTAAACATGATGTGGGTACTTTTTACCATATGTGGTGGACTTGTGAATATGTGAGAAAGTATTGGATTAAAATACATAAATGGCTTGAGGAAATGCTACAAAAACCCTTAGCTTTTAAACCTGAAATTTTCTTGTTAGGCATTGTACCGGAAAATATTAGCAAACAAGAAATGTATTTGATACTACATTTAATCACAGCGGCGAGGATTGCGCTAGCTCAATACTGGAAGAGTGAGGAACTACCCACTGAGGAACTGATTTTAAAAAAGATTCTGGACTGTGCAGACATGGACAGATTGACTCTATTATTGAAGGAGAAAGAAGATACTGACTTCTATCAAACTTGGGACCTTTTTTATGATTGGCTGGAGAAACAGGACTTGGCTTAGATTTAAAGATGTCTTTTTTTTTTAATAAATCGATTTGAATATGACTATAGAATGTTTAAAAGATATGTTATAGGGGGCTGACCCAGTCTGTCTGATGTATTTGATGATTGATCATTTTTTAGTTTTTAGTTTAAAATCTTAATAAAAAATGTGCAAAAAAAAAAAAGATTGACACAATTAGCCATGCTGGTGCGATCCCAGTGACGGTGGGTGATTGGGGTGCTTAACACACCACCCAGTATTTTATACTGTTAACTTATATTATTTTAATTGAAGTTATTTATGTTGTGAGCCGCCCTGAGGCTTCGGCAAATGGGGTGGCATAGAAATTTTCTAAATAAATAAATAAATGTGTGCTTGTGTTTTGCTCTGTGTTTCATGGGGGACACACTTTGGTGTTGCACTGATTCGTATATAAGGAGCCACATGGCAATTTAACAGGAAACAGGAATGTTCTGCACAGTGATTCAGTTAATAAGGATGACCTTTTATGTTGTGCTTAAAGAGTGTTCTGTATAAGACTAAGAACACCAAAATCACAATTACCATGGTTTGTGAATTGGTTACTGTTAACAGTACAGGGCTAGATGAACCAAAGGTCTGATTCAGTAACCAGCAGCTTCTTAGACAACTGTACATTAATTGCCTCAGGTTCCTTTTAAGAACAGGAACTGATATCACAGAGATGGAAAGTGTTTTATCCAAGGGCTCAAAGCAGCATTGTGATCCATCTGCAATGGAGGTCAGTAAGCTGAAATTGGAATGGGACTCTTGAGTCTCATCCTCAGTCTTGAGGCTGGTTGTGCCTGCAACACAACTATATCACTCTCACATTAGAAGAAGCAGGCTGAGGGTGTTTCTAAATGGAGCTATGCTAAAAATCAGAAAGGCATTTTTGCAGTGATGCCATCTGATGGGAAAATACAAACTGAAGGGCTACACATTAAAGATGATGAACCCTGGATGTTCCACAGCATTCTGAGAATGAGGCAGGATGATTGCACAACCAACGCCTTAGCCAGGAAGTAGCCTTAGACAGCTGCCACTGCACCACCCACAGCAGGATAGGGACTGTCTGTGAATTTTGGCAGAAAATAAAAATAATGACATCTCCCCGCTTCATTTTCTCTTTAGTTTAACAAGGGATAAGACACCATGTAGTGGTTGGACCTAGACGACTGAATGATGAGTGTGCTTGTTTGAGTTCTCACCTGTCCCCAGAGCAGCTCTCCTACACCAATGAAAATACACCAGAACCACTGACTCAAGGTGAGCCCAGAGCAGCTGAATGGCTTCCCTCCAAATTCCACAATGATGATCTGCAGCATAACACACAGAGAGAGAGAGAGAACCATATCAGTGTAAGGAAAGTTCTAGTAAAAGTGTAGCATTACAGAAAGGATCGTTACTCTCTGCAGCTGTGCATTTCCAGCCTTTCCCAACTCCCATCAGCCACACCAAGCACTAAAAAGAGGCAATTGGAAAACTGGATACATTATAAATTTCCATTCTCAGGGGTTCAGATACAGAGCGGTTTTTAGTCCTTGGGAAGCACCTCCCTCTTGGCTGACAGGCAAAGTCTTTCAGCAAAATCATAAACAAGGAAAGGGGATTCTCCTCAGTCCCCAGATCAAGTCCAGAGCCTGGAAGGAATTCCCTTGGCTCTCACAACTGAAAATTATATATAGAAAACATATCAAATGGCATTAATGCACGAAGTACAGTTAGAAGGAACACCAAAGGATGAAAAACTGAAGAACATCCAACTAGACTAAAACTAAGTCTAACGCCAATACATTCAGAAATCCAAAAGCAATAAAGCAAAAACTACTTGCTCATGTTACTATTTCAGAGAGCCCCCTGCTCCAGTTTGGTTTTAAGTGTGAGTGGGAAAGTTCTGGCTTGATTTGCTGTAGGACCCAGGTGTTAATCGCTCTGTCAGTTCAGGGTATTTGCAAAGCTCTCCTCCACCACCATGTTTCAAACACATCACTTTTCTTCCTGTCAGCTTTCTTCATTGGCCACCCCCACACAGTGATCAGGAATGCAACGGTGTGAATGCTCTTGTCCTTGGTCTCCAGTGAAACAACCTTACATATAATCTTTTCTAGTCCCTTCATTTCTGCCTTCCCAGTTTCACTTGTCTTCTGATTACTTGGCTGCAGTCTCCCTTTAAACTGAACCAAAGTTTATAAAGCCTTTCACAACTTCCATTTCTTCACTGTTAACAGTAAAGGACTGTAACTCTTTTGTAGTCATTATGATTGTTTTAATATTCAGCTGCAGTCATGCTTTTGCATTTTCATCTTTCATCAAGAGTCATTTATGCCAATAATATGGTATCACCCGTTACCGCTTCTGCTACTTTTCAGTCCTTCCTCTGAATCTAATCCAGCTTTCCTATGATATGTTCTGCATACAGATCAAACAGGGAGGTTAAAGAGACCTTTGTCTGATACCTTTTCCTATGGAAAACCATTCTGTTTCTCCATATTGTCCTACAGATTACAGATCAGGACAATCAGGTGCCGAGACGCACCCATTTCTTCCAGGACCACCCTTAGCTTCACAGTCAAAGGCTTTGCTGTAATCTATACTGCAGAGACTGATTTTCAGTGGCGTGCCCCACTAGTCAACATATGTTTGCAATATGATCTTGTGCTTCTTCCTTTTTGGAGTCCAGTCTGAACATCAGCCATTTCTTGTTCCATACAGGTTAATATCACCTAAAGCATCACTTCACTTTTATGGGAAATTAGTACAATGGTCCTAAGGTTGCTGCATCTTTTTGCATCTCCTTTCCTGCTGATTGGAATGTATATTTAATATTTCCAGTCTATAGGCCATTGTTTTGTTTCCATATTTTTTGGCATGTTCTTTTTAGGATTTGGACCAATTCAGTCTCTTCAGCTTTAAATAGTTCTATTGGTATCCAGTCTATTCTCGATGCGTTATTCCTTCCAGGTGCATTCATAGCACCTGAATTGCTTCATTTTCTAATACTGCAGGATCTTCCTTATAGGATTCCTCTTTGAAGGAGTCTTGTCATCCTTTCATCTATTCCGCCTTTCCTTTTGGTTCCTCCTGATCAGATAGTATGTCACCTTTTTGGTCTTTTAGCATTCCTAGTCTAGGTCTGAAATTTCCTTTGATTTCTTGAATCTTCTCCAGGAAGAGGTCTCTTGCTTTTCCTCTTTTGTTGTTCTCTTCTATATCTTTGTATTGATCATTGTAACAATACAAATATTTTCTAATTGACTCAAAGAGTCAGACTCTGTAGTACCCTAGGAATTTAAAATTTTACAGGTTTGACTGAATTTGGGGCAATTCAAGCAGAACCTCTGGAACAGAACCAAAATGGCTGCTTACTTTTCCCAGCTGCACATGGGGCGGTACCCTGGTGGCAGGTGTTTTAGCCTACCCTCAGCCCTATAGCCTGCCTAAACCTTCTGGGGAAGGATGGAAGCAAAGGAAGGTGGGCCGTCCACCTGGTTTGCAGGCCTTTTAAAGATGAAATTGCAAACTATTTTTCAATGATTGGTTAGTAAAAATCTTTTAGGGGGCAGGCTACTCATTGTTACAGTCCTGCCAACTCCAGTTCTTATTCATGATCTACAAAGTGACTGATCAACGCAGTGATGTGAGGGATAACATGTGAATCCAAGAACTGAACTGTTTCAGGTAGTATTCATTAACCAACAAACAAAAAACAATGGAAAGGCAGGCAGGCAGACAAGTATTTCAAAATGCCATGTCAGGTGGAGTTGCCATCCCAGTGCCAAATGGAACAGAGAGCATTTCTTCATGCTTCCTCCACATATACCACAGTTCTTCCCAAAATCAGTATTGCCTTTGTTCTACATAAACCTCATTTAAAGGAGAAAGAAAGCATATCGTGGATCTAAGGAGAGTTTGCGATATCTGTAGTGTTTGACTGGCTCTTTTAATGCCATCTATTTGGATGGCATTACCTACATGGGATGGGATATCTACACCGAGGCTGGGACAGGGAACCTCTTTCAACTGGAGAGCCAGACTGAACTTCAGAGAAGCTTGCAGGGACTGAATTACAGTGGTGGGTTACAGTCCAAGTCAAAACAATGGGCTGAAAAATACATAAAAATCCCATCATATTGTAACATAAAGTTACACATATCTGGTCTGAAATCCAGGAGTTCAGCAGGCTCCTGGAATTGTCCTCTGTTACTCAGAAGATTTATGGACAAACAATCCAGTCTTCTGGGAACAAGGGAAGAGTCTGCCCAAGTTTGTAGGGAAACTAACTGCACACACAAAACTCCCTATAAAGAGTTCATTCAATAAACCTACAGGAAGAAGGGAACTGTGACACATTATTTATTGACATCATAACTCTAAGTATGTTGTTGCGTCTATTTTCAGCACGCCTCTTGCTCTACCCCACTGCAGTGTTTTTCAGCCTCAAAATGAAGGACGGAAGTGTGAAGAAATGTACAACTTAATCCTATCCCTTTTAGTCAGAAGTTCCTAGCATGTGCTTCTGGGGTAGCAGCACTATCACTTGTATCTCAGAAGGGGAGAATGGACAGCTTGCACAAGGAGAAGAAGAAAGGGAAACTACCACTCTTTCTTCTTTGTCTACGACTGTGAGGCACTGAGTAGGAAGAGCAGACTGGAACAACCACACTGCTAGTAACAGGGAGCTTTTAAGTGGGAAAACAGGAGAAATTGCAAAGAACCCCTTAAGACTATTACTTCATTACATGCTTGGCATCTGCACTGATGCAAAATGGAGGACACTCTGTGGTCGCTACAGAGGCAGACCTCAGTGAACCTCAGTCAAAAGAGTGGCCAACTGCTGTAAGGGACTGAGGCCTGGCTGAGGGCTACGAAGGATGAGTAGCTGTGACCAAGCAGTTGCTTTGCCTCTTTCCCAGCCCAAAGGTTGAGAGAAAAAGGAAGATATGGAGGAAAACAGTAATGGCTCACCAGCTTCCTTTGGTTCAGTGCTAGTTGCATTCCTGAATTGAACAAAGGAAACCAAGCCTGGGGAGGAAAGGCCAGCCCTTCAGCTGCATTCTTCAGGCTTTGTAGCAAAGTGCAACAAATCTATTGCCTGAGTTCTTGACTAAAATAGTACCAAATGGCATCAACAAAGGCTCAGATAGGACCAATGCCAGAAACTTGCTGCCAGCTAAGCAGGCAGAACTAGTCCAGGATCTGAGGGGAAGCCTTTTCCCTTAGTTCCGTTCTGCTGGAAGACTCTGCCTGTCAATGAAGACAATGTACTTCCTAGAAACTGCCCTACCTCTGAACCAATGGTAAATGCCAGTGATTGCTAACTCCCTAAGCAACTGGAAGAGAGAAAAGCTTCTTTCAGAAAATTGCATGTAGCCCATTCCCAAAACCTTGTGCAAGATTATAGTAACATATTATTCTCTTTATTTTCATTACAGATATGCATGAAATATGACCAATCTGTTCAAGAGGGAAGTGGGGCAGCTAACATGGGAAAATGTCTTTCTTTCACAGGCTGGGAAGGCAGTCACTAGGTTATTTCTGGAGAAATAAATCGCCCCCCAAACCTGAAGACACAGTGGTCAATGAAATGTGTGTGTGTGTTTTTTTTTTTTTTTGAAAGGGAGGGAATCAACTCCTTCCACATCCAAAAAGGAAGACAAAAATAACTGAGGGGGCAAAATTGAACCCACAGAGTGAAAAAACCCCCCACAACCCCAGAACTAAAGCCTTCTATAGGAACTAATCCCTTGAAAACAGGAAAGGAAATTGGGAGTCTCATTACCAAAGGGGATAAAATGTCTCAGACAAGAGTGGAAAGAGAAGCTGACCTCTTCAAAAACTAAAGCTGAACCACCCCCATAGAAAGGAAAAGAACACCCTTACTGAGAATCAGCCAGCTGGATAGTTGCTCTCCTTCCCTTGAAAATACCATCTACTGATGAGTACAGGATTTCCATTTCTGTCATTCAGTAGAAAAGGATAGCTAGCAAGGGGGTGTCAAAAAGCGATGCATCCCATTGCAACACGTGATTCTTACACCACGTGAAAAGCTGAACTGACCCAAGAAACAGTTAGGAACTTATGACCAACTTGTTTTGGCGAGAAATACATAATTCTTCCCCTCAGGAAATGTCTAGCAATTTTCTTTTTCAGCCAGGTGAATGCTGATTAGGCTATCGTGGAGGCTAAAATTAAGGGCCTGACAGCTACAAAACATGCCTCTACCCAGGATGGATTCTGTTCTTCAGTCATACTGATCTAGTAGAAGCTTGTCTGGGACCGAAGGGAAGATTGTCTTAGATGTGAAAGCTGTAACTTTCATATACTTTGGGTGTAGCCAGTTCTTGCACTACATCATCTGGTCGGTGATGGAACATGCCATGGAAGCAATGGTGAGATTTTGGCTTAGAAGGTTGGCCCATAATTGAAGCTCACTGGAAACAGGAGGGTGGAGCTGCAGGAAAATGTGAGGCAGTAACAGATGGTTTAGCTTGTATAGCTACTGTAGAGAGCTGGTCATCTGGAAAGTATAGATGGAGAGTCCCCCATAGAATTTCCTAGTAGCCTAATAAAAGTGTCATGTGGGAAGATTCTGTTGGGACGGTTTTTCCTTGACACTGAGAAAGTACCCCACCCTTCATGTCAGAAGTGTCTCAAGCCTCCAAGAGGAGGCCCAGGCCGCTGAAATGCTGAAAACATAACTGGACATCCTACCCCTGTTTCTGGGTTTCTTTCTACTTTGAGTGGCTTTAGAAGAAAGGGGAAAGAGAATAAATAAACCCTTCCAATACTTAGTGGTAACGTATGGACCTTGAGGGAAGTGAGCTTGCTAGATGAGAGGGGATGTTTCTCTCCCTGCCTCCTATGCAGAGCTCTCCAGGAGACCAGGAGAAATATGGGCATGGCTTCCCAAGCAGGGCTTAGAATGGAAGAAAGGATATTGGCTGCTCTTGGATCGTCAATATCTCTTTGGATAACGATAAAAGGAATGGGGTTTCACCATCACTCTTTTGGCAGTGACTTAAAACAGTCATGTGATGACCTATCTCTAGCTGTACAAGATCTTTTGGGGACTCTACTTTCACATCCATGACTGAGAGTGTGCTTGAGTTAGGCAGTGATCATTCCTGCTTCTCAAATACCTACTGAAGTCTGGATGAGAATATGCACTCTCCCCTATCAAAAGCTGGGGAGCACTTACCCTCTTCATACACTCTAGAAGATGCTAAAGAGAATGAAGCAGGAAGTGTGAGTGCCCTCCCACCCCACCCCTCCCCTCCCCTCCCCTCATGGGAAGTAGTAAGATTGAGGACTTGCATCTCTGTGCTGCTGGGACAATCATGAATCCACATCCAGGGGCCCCCCAAGACAAAGCGGTGCAGTTGCTGGCTGGCATATTCACTGGGTGCCTTCTCTGCAGGGGTGCCTCTGAATGCACTAAAATCCTCTTGGTTCCTGCTCCACAATCCCTTTCCTCCCAGTCCACAAGAGTGGCACAAACAAAATGGGGTTCCCTCTCTGCTCTTCCTGCTGATGCTGCCTCCCTATTGTCTGGGCACTTACAAGTCTGAGACTGCCTGGCTACATGAAGAAAGGAAATTACCCAGGGCAGAGAGGGTGGGACTCCTCTCCTGGAAATGACCGGAGGCTGCCTTGCCAGCCACTATTCCCTCACTTCTGCCATGGCCTCCTCCACTGATTAGCATACAATTATCTCATCCCCATTGTTGCAGACTTCTGTGAGGCGAGCCGTACAATCAAGCTCGTTAAGGAATCCAAATCCTTATCCAAATCACAATAAGGCATGCATGGTGGGCAAGAACATGGTCTCTACCCTTCTTCAGTTTGTTTTATCCCTTGATTAATTTTATGTCCCCCACTCCCCCTTAGCCCAATCTATTTACCTGGGCGACAAAGGTTCCTAACACCACTGTGCAGAAAATAGGGTTCCGGAAAATGGCATCAAAGACGTTTCTCTCACCATGGATTTTGCGAGCATTGATCTCATTGAAAAGTTGCATCATGACAAAAGTGTTGAAGACAATTGTGTAGTGCTCAGTGGGTGGTGAGTGGAGGGGAGTATTCCGGCCACTGTCGATATCAAAAAATTTCTCTCCTATTGGGAAATAATGCAAAGAGAAGAAAAATATCCCTTCCCTTATAAATACCAAATTTATGAGGCAATCACAGCACACATATAGAACACACACTCCAACCTGGAGCTGACTACAAGGTTTTCCATTTACTCTAGCATTCAGTTTGGTTTCCTGAGCAATCGGCTTTCATTAAAGGAAGCAAACAAGGGCTAATTTTCTACTTATTGTGGTTCTCGAAAAGTCGAAGTTATATGATATTACTACCTACAGAAAATAGGAGTCCCACTGTAAAAGCAAACTAGGTGCCCACATGGGTAACTATATTCGTGGGACAGCTGCTTCAGTTGCGTGAATGCCTTGGAGAAAGCTGCTGGTTATACTTGGGAGAAGCAGCTCATTTGCTGTATGTTCTGGGGATGATCTCCAACTTTCTATTATACACCAACCAGCTGGTACATAACGATCAATTATAAACCAGAAGAAATGAAAATGTGACAATTAACATTAAAAAAGGCAATATCCTAATCAACTGCTAATAAGACATATAAATATGGTTTCTATGTTCTGCACCATTCATTGTTCTTTTACATGTGTCCAAATTATCTTTCAAGAGTAAGCAATCAGTCCTCCTCATTTGCAGATGAGGACACTGCAGTACAAAGGAACTGAGGATACACACAGGAATGTTGAAGAAATCCATGCAGACTCAAGTGAATGCCAATGTATAAAAATCAATTTCCAGAGTTATGCAGGTTCCATGGACTTGCACACTTTTTTTACTTTCCATAGCTGATGGAAATTTATTTGCAGGAAAAAAATGCAGGGAAACAAAAACAGCAACCATAAATGTGTATTTCCCCACAGACTAAAGATCAAAATATAAATTTTGGTGCATTTTCATATATTCAGGAAAGTAAATATGCACATTTGCACAAAACCTGATTTGATCATGAAGTAGATGATGGAACAAGATACACCTGACAATCCACAAAACACCTGACAATCCACAGATTTTATAACGTCCATACATTTCTGCATACAAGAGACTGTTCAAAAAGGGTCAGAAGTTCCCACTAGTTCCTGGATTATTTTCATACCATAAAGGGGATTAACCAGTCATAAGAAGCCATTTCATTTTATCAAATGCATGGGATCAGCTTACATTCAGTTGAAAACGTTTCTGTATGTCAAAACACTCAATGAATAGCTGCCACGAAAATGCTATTGTTATTATTGTTTATCATTTTGGAAGCCTCATTTTGGGGGAAGCAGAACAGCTGATTCTAAATGTTTTAACGCATACAAACTCAACTAAAGGCAAGGGTAAAACAGAAAGGAGAACACAGACTTCCAAGAGCCTGCCTCCTAGGTCTATCCTTACAGGGAATATGAAAACCCCTGTATCTCTCACCTGCAAAGAGCAGTGTGAAGATAATGGTGAGCTGGTATACAGCATGCCCCAGGATGTTCTTCATCATGGTGCGGGAAATCAGTGGCTTGTTGCGGCCATATGGCTTGCGCATGAGCAAGGATTCAGACGGAGGTTCTGTGGCAAGCGCTAATGAGGCAAAGGTATCCATGATCAAATTGACCCACAACATCTGAACAGCCTTCAGGGGAGAGTCCTGGAAAAAAAGCACAATTTCTTAGAAAGAAGTACATCTTACATTTACTCCACGACCATTCCTTCTCATTTCCCCAGCCATTTTTGCCTGGAAATGATATGCGATAAATTCAAAGACCAAAGGAGTTATTCCACTAATAATACAAAGAGGTTCACTTTGTAGCCTGGTAAATATTAGTAAATATACTGCTAACTACTCATTATTAATGGCCGGTGGGGTACTAAGCCAGAGTCCATATTCATCTCTCAGAGATCTTTTGCATGCTCAGAAGGCTCCTGTTCTTAATTTTCAGATCCCAACTTCAATTTGATTAATAAAAATAATATTTTATAGCATTCATTGGTGCAGAAATGTTGAACAGATAACCTGAACAGGAAACTTTATCTGTAATCATCAGCATTGCAATTCTCTGGTTGAAATAGAGAGGATAGCTAGCTATTGACACGACAGCAGGCTATTAACCACAAAAAGCAAATAGCACGTCCATTTTAAGAGACGGGTTACTTCTGATGACCAGATGCTGAGCAAGAGGAACAAAGGAGAGCTATTTCCATCAGTTCTATTTGTACCTTGCCTGGGGCATTCAGCTGACCGCTGCTGAAAATACTAGATGAGATGGAGCTTTGGTTCTGATCCATCAAGGCATTTCTCTTTTAACCTAATCCAATACTTTCCATCAGTTGAAACTTTGAATCAAGATCAGAAATTCTCATTGAACCATTAGCTTTCATGGTCTATTGAAGTCATGGTACAAAAGAGAGAGTCCACTATTTGGAATGAGCTGCCCACTGGGACCAGGTAGGTTTCTTGTGTGAAATTTTCTGCTTTCAACTCAACCAATATTTATTTGCCCAAGCATTTTCCTGATCAGCTTTACTGTTTTTGTTATAATTTAATTTTGTGAACTGCTTTGGGATTTATTTTTGAAAACTGACAAGTGGTATATAAATGTCCTAAAATAAATAAGGTCCCAAATAAAAGTCAGCTAACTTTTATTAGCTGTCATAGCTATGCAACATCTTTGTAGTGGACTCAGGAACAGTATCTAGAGAGATTAGTTTGAAGACAGCCCACCCCAATATTAATTAAAAGAAAATCTCTCCCATTTAGCTGCAGGTACCTGCGTAATACAAGCACCCGTGAAAGCCACAATCACAGCCACCACATTGACCGTTAGCTGGAACTGCAGGAATTTTGAGATGCTGTCATACACATTGCGGCCCCACATCACTGCCTTGACAATGCTTGTAAAGTTGTCATCTGTCAGGATAATGTCTGAGGCCTCTTTAGCCACATCTGTACCAGCAATGCCCTGAGGAAGACAAGATGACCATGAGGAAGAGTTATTGGCTAAGTTGCAATCAAATCAACTTTATCGCTGCTTTCATTGGTTCGCCATAGAAACAGGCCTGCACCCAAAATGGCAGCCACAACTCAGTTTTAGAAAAAGAACTCAACAATGAAGTAGGAATTAAATGAATAATCCCATTAATTGTTTCAAAGACTGGACGTGCCAACCAATTTGCATGTAATAAACACAATGGCTACTTAAGAGCAAAGCTCCCAGCCTCTGCAAATAATTCTATTATTTCGATTCCACCCACCCCTTTGCAAATCCAAAGCCATGATGAAAAGCTAGCCTGTAATTCTCTGCTCAGATTTCTCCTCTGTGAAGAACCGGCAGCAGATCGAGGAGGCAATTGGGCTTATTGTAACACTCAGTTACAGACACATGGTGGCAGTCAGCTACTGCAGGATATACCTCTGCCAGAACAGTCCCAGCGAGCTTCAGAAGCATTAAGCAGGTACCCCGTGGTGACCAATTTCCCCTAATGCTTGCCTGCTGTGTCCTATTGAGCCCTGGGACTGTGAGATTCTGTCCTGAGCTGTAACATTCCTGATTTCTAGAAAGTGCAAAACAGTTAGCAGAAAACCCAGAATAAAAATAGAGCTTTCAGACATATACACACAATTTGCTAGCTTCTTAAGACAATGCTTATCAGCTCCATTATGCCAAATTGCTATCTAGGCAAATCACTAACTCCACATGGTGTCACTTTTTGTTTGCAAGAAAGCTCTACTAAATATTAGTCCTTACCATAGCAAATCCAACATCTGCTTTCTTCAAGGCAGGGCCATCATTGGTTCCATCCCCAGTCACAGCTACTACCTGCCTCTGTTCTCCAACGGTACTGTCAATAATTCCTGAAAGATGGGTTAAATGTTGGCAGAGAAGACGCACAAGGAGGGCTACTGAACAGTAATGCAAGCAACTGCTCTGTTTCCAGAAGCAACTCAAGTGACAGTTACCACCTTTAAAAACCCGAATGACATAGCACCACTTGAAGGACTTCCACCATTCCCTACCTAAATGAAGCAGTTCATCTACTTGAACATCTGATAAAATGCATGCATTTGTCTGTTGTACTAAATTTCCCTACTCTAAGAATATTCATATGGTTCTTCTCTTGACCATGTCACTGCCTGCAAGTTTTACTCTCTTGGCAAGCTTTTGGTTAGCCTCTCTTTAGCTAGCTAGCTAGTTTGTTTTTTGCTTGTTCAATGGTTCTTTATTATAAAATTTCTTGTTAATTCCTTTGTTACTGATTTATTTATCAATCAAAACTTGTGTATACTCTCTACATTAGCCAAATGGCTTGTTTACTGCAACAGTTTACTATTTAAAATTGGTTTTAGTTGTGCAAGCAGCCTTGATCATTTTCTTCTGGAATTGAGCAGCTGGAATCTTACTTTCCAAAAGAAGTACATGAACTCAGTAATGTTAGCTGTGCAAGTTCCATGTCTTCCCCCTTCTGGTTTCTCATGAAGGAGACATGCCCAGATGCACGAGGAGCTTCTGCTTCCTCCAATCTCCCCCCTACCACTTCCCTGAGGACATTTGCATGGGCAACAACCTCACCCTCCCAGTTGACTGTACCTTTCACAAGTGTGTGCTTATCAGTAGGTGATGAACGTGCCAAGACTCGTAGTTTGGGCCAGATTTTATCCAGTTGCTCTTGCTCCACCTGTAGGTTAAAATCATGGGAATACAAGTCAGGTTAGTCCCAAACCAGAACTTCAATACTCTTTTCCCTTTACCAGACACATTTGGCAGAAGGATCTAACAAATCACAGGTGTCATCTGTTTATCTAAGGACAGACTAATTTCATTTGCTGACCTGTAAAGGATGGTCTCAAAATTTTACATAAAAAGAAATATGGATCTCACTTAGCATCAGACAACCACTAGGCAAAACCAACCTGTTTTCTGTGGTTAATACACTTTTAAATTAGCAGCAGATGGCTGGGGCCAGCGTGGCTCCAAATTAGAAAGCCATTGCAAATAATTGTAATAATAAAGCCTGGCAAGGGAAGAGAAAAGTCCCGCATTCTAGTTTTGACAAGGCTGCAATTCAGAATGGCGAATTAGTTTCTCAGGTAACTAAACTGCTCTGAACAAGTTCATATTCCCCAGAGAGAACAAGAAGAATACCCTTCACAGAAGGAGGAACGCTTCAGAAGGAACCAAGTAGAAAGTATCCCTCTAGATAAATTGGCCATCTCACCTCTCCTTTTTCATTGCGGATGAGCCTATTAAATTCTTTTCCTTCCAAGCACAGGAAGTCTTCTCCGGGTATCAAGATCCCACACTTGGTCGCAATGGCACGTGCTGTGTTAATGTTGTCCCCTGTAACCATTCGCACAGTGATACCAGCACGTTGGCACTTCTGGATGGCTTCAGGCACCTAATTGTAAAAATGTGATATGGTCAATACAGCTGGGAAACGCAAGTGAGAGTCAGAAGGTGATGGCTAAAGAAAAGGCAAGGGGGGGAAGACCCTATTCTCTTATATACTGATAGGACAGTCATTCTATACTAATAAGCACACTGATTCTCTGACGGTTGGATCTTTATATAGACAAATTGATCCTGTGCATGCACAAGAGAGAGCTATCAGCAGCCTTAGGGACATTTCAAGATTTCAAGCAGAAACACTTTGAAGGGGAAAAACCCTAATGAAGGGCATTCCCCCCGCCCCCCCCCCCCCCAATACAATAATCCCAAAACACAATCAGAGTCCACGAAATGCCCATCGTGTGTTCTGGAGGGAATGTGGTGTAGATGGTGAACAGGAAGAGGGAACAGAATAGAGAGTCCTGGAAGACACTGGCACACTGCACAACAGCACTCCAGCCTGCAATATTTTGTCGCAAGTCCTCATGAGGAATAAGACATAGCACTGACAACCAGTGTGGTACAGTGGTTAGAGCAGGGTAGACAACCTGGCACCAAGATATTTTGGACTATAACTTCTACACTCCCTTGCCAACAGGCATGTTGTCTGAGGCTGACGAATGCTGTATTCCAAAGCATCTGGAGGGCACCTGGCTGTCTACATCTCAGTTACGACTGCAGGAATGAGACCTGGAAGATCAAGATTCAAATCACCACTCAGCCATAAAATTTACTAGGGGATCCTGAACTAGCCTAACTCGCCTTATGAGGTTGCTGTGAGGTTAAGATAAGGCTGGGCTAGGCTAGACCACATATGCTACCTTGCACTTCACGGAGGAAGAGGGGACTGTCGATGCAATACATCAATAAACAAACACTGAAACACAACAGCTTCAAAAGAGATCTTGCTTCTCCCTAAACGGAGAGCATTCTGCATTGCCAAGAAGCTAATGTGGACCTTGCAGCTGTTCACTTGTGCTGGCACAGTTCGTTCTATACAGGGCACCACTAAAACATGTTGGGCTACAATGCCTATAACTGCCAACCGGCATAGCCATTGCTGCCTGGAAATTACGGACATTGTCATCCAACAAAACGGGAGGGCACTCTGTTCAGAAAGGCTGCACTACAGAGTTCTGACTGAAAATGAAAAGGGTTCTTCCACGGAATAAAACCGGAAGGCTTTAAGAGATCACCATCAGCTGCAGGTTTCAGGAAACCCACATATAGCCACCCATGCTCAGTAAACACACACACACACTTCACTACAGATAACCACAATTCAATAAACATGTTGGAAGCCGGTGCCAACTGTGGCTTCTCAGCACATGTAGTAAGTACCCTTGTAGCCAGGCAACAAGTTTGTATTGAGCAGTTTCTGGAATACGCAGCACTCTCGACTCTAGCAAGATTTAAGCTTGCTGCCTCCCTAAACAATGCAGAATTGCTGGGATCTTCTGGCACCAAGATGTGGATGGGTGATGGAGATGTTTACTACTCTCCTGCTACGGGGTGGCAAAGTAGCAGGAGGTCAGCCTCCCACCTCACCCTGCATCACCGACTGCAGTGGAGCATCACTGCTCTAATAGGTTTACTCTGTACAGAAGAAGGCTGAGCAGAGGGAGGGGGAGAGATTACTAAGAAATCAGCAAATTGAATCACAGCTTTCTGAGCCCGTGGATGCAGGGCATCTGTGAAGCCATTCCAAGCCCAGATACTTCAACATCTAATTAAGGATGCTGGGGGCCAGCTCTGAAATGTAATCAAGAGGCAGGCAAGGGACAGTTTAATTGTGTTAGTTTAGTTGCCTGCTTGTCACCCCTTTAGTGAGCTGTGAGAGAAAACAGAGTGTGGGAGGCAGGGAGGAGCAGACCGAAGGGGCAGTTGCTGGACGAAAATAAGTCTGTTCCTTCTCCTCTCCATAACTTTCATGATGTATCGGAATATCTGCTTCCTACTGAGTGGAATTTGTGAATAAAATTGGCTGCATTCAGTGTCAGGCAAGGTTCCTGCTCATTTAGGAGGTGCACAGAGAAATGAGTGCAACACTTGCCATGCTTTCTCAACCTGCAGCATCATGGCAGGAGAAGCTGCATCTGCCAGAATTCTCTTTTCTAGGCAATCCTGAAGTGTGGCTTTCAGCCCCTTTCCTAGAAGCAGAAACCATCCTGAACAGGCACAAACAAGGGGGAAATTCAGTAGCCACCGCTTTCCCCATTGCTAAAAATCCACAAAGAAAAAAAAGTTACCTCTCGATTTTCTCCCTATGTAGCCACCAAAAGACACAAGGGGATCCATTTGAAATGGAGATGCTAACCTACTACTGATCTGACAGGCACCCTTTCCCAGGCTAGCAAGCTTATTGGTAAGCTAGCCCCACTATGAACCCTGACTCACTGTCACCTGTCAGTACAGCTATCTCAAAGAATGAGGCAGCCCAGAAATGGAGGTGCTCCAAAGATTTACAGGACTTCCTCAAAACTGAGTCACTGGCACAAGGGCAGAAGCAGGGAATAAGATCAGTAGGTCAGATGAAGCTCTGAGAAAGATGAGGGAGTCAAAAGTGCAAGACAAAGGGAGGTCAAGCCAAAAGAAGAAATTGAGAGCAATGGACTCAAAGGAAAGGCAAAGGAAGCTTTCCTTATCAAGTAGATAATTGATTATCTACTTGGGAAAGCCAAACAAAGAAGATAAAGAATGGAATAATGAAAAGAATGAAAGATGAGAAGTGGTAAGTTGATGATGAAAGAGGGTAAGAATCTCAGTGGACATGACAAAAGGAATGTGTTTGGAAATTATTGGATCACAAGACGATTCATCAGAATGTGATGCAAGGGACCGAAGTTGGGGATGAAGGAGGTGGCAAGAGAAAGGAATCTAGACACAGCAGGAACACAGGTACAGTCCACACGAAGAGGGAAAGAAAATAAAAAGGTTATCTAAATGCCCCTCATGCTAAGCACAGGCACAGAAGAGAAGAGAGCCATTCGGATACCTCTGGCCGAACAGGGTCTTCAATGCCAACCACAGTGATGCAGGTGAGGTCAGACAAGATCTCGTTTTCAGCATCCCAGTCAGGCTCAACACCGGCAGGGAAATCCCGGAAGGCAAGACAAATGGTACGCAGCCCTTGACAAGCCATTGGCTCAATCACTTTTTTCACCATCTCATCTCGATCTTTCACTTTAAATATCCGGGGTTCCCCATTCTTGTCCAAGATCTTTGTGCATCTGCATCAAAGGAAAACATTTATCAAGAGAATAGGCATGTGTTTCAAAGGCTATGTTCACACCAGTAAAGGCAAACAGCTTTAGATCTTGCATAGCATGAGGTGAACACCCTGTGGCCCTCTAGATGTAATAGCATAAAAGTCCCGTCAGGTACTTTTCCTCCCAAAAGGAAAGACAGCTCTTCCAATGTGCCACTTGTACACTTTGAGAGAACTGTCACTCAGTGCCACATTGGAGATCATGAACAGTGAAAAGGAAAAAAAGCTGAAGGGGGGGAAGCTGCAGTCACCCCAGTGGGGAGGGCAGACATGATATGTTCTGGTGGGGGTCCCTTGAGAAACTTGTGGAAGATCCAACAAAGCAGGAGAACCGCGTAAGTCAGATCTTCTGCAGGGTGAGCAGTGGGTTGTTTCATCCTGTGTAGCTTATTCACAGGGTAGGTTATCATCAACTGTGAACTCACCCACTGTCTGTCAGGAGTAGCATGGATTAGTGAGTGAACAATCAACCTACGCTGGCTTTTATTAGTGTGGCTTTTTGTGATGTGCAAACCAGCCTGATGACTCAAGGGGTTTTTGAATGGGGGGTGTTAACTGCAGAAAATGGAGTAGCAGAAACCTTTTCCATTTCTAGTGCAGAGATGAAAGGTAAACACAGCAGTAAAACAAATAAGAGATGCCTTTCTTCCTTGTTTTTTTTTTAAATCGTTTCTTAGTTTAACCTAAAGGATGAACCTTTCCCTTGTTAATATAGTTTTGTTTTTCTGCAGAACTGGAAGAAAATTCAGGCAGGGATTTGAAGGAAATGTTCACAGAGGATCAGCACAGCAGGACATCAAATAAAAACAGACGGTATCCTTTCCACACCTATGGTTGCTACCAGAACTTCTTTCTTATTCCCCATCCTGCACATTCTTAATAGCATAGACTGAGAATTTTTATAGAGATTTTCCTTATTTACATGGGAGTGCATCACTAGGAGGTCTGTCTTATTGATCTCCTGGAAGGGCTTCCCAGGCTCCTACAAAAGTAAGGCATATGCTACAAATAAGCACTAGAGGCCCCAAAAGAGCCATTGCAGAGAATTTACTTGCGCAGGATGATCTCAGAGGCTCCTTTGCTGTACATACGGAAGCTTCCATCTGCGTTCTTCAGCACTGTGCTCATGGACTTGCGGACTGAATTGAAGGTGTAGACCTTGTACAGCTTCTCCTCTGGAACTTCATTGCGGACTGCTTGATAATCCTGTTTCAAGTCCAACACAAAGCCCAGAAGAGCGCACTCTGTCTTGTTTCCAACTTGACGTGGGAGACCGCCTTCTTTCTCTGGTGGCTAAATTTCCCCAAACAAGTGTAAAAGGAGAAATTAGGGGTAAATTACTTGGTATCAGCCATGACCACTACATGCTATTAGTACAAGAAGGTAAACCCTCTGATCCAGGCGCCAGCATATAGCCATTACTACTGCGAGTTTATACCTAACCTTATTCTTCATGAATTTGTCGAATCCCCTCTAAAGCCATTTAAGTTGGTGGCCACCACAGCATCTTGAGGTAGCGAATCCCAAAATTCCATCGGTCAACCTAGACATCACATTCAACCTAGACATCACATTCTTTGATGTCAGTGAGGAATTCTTCCCAATGCAAAAACCAGTTTCAGAGGAGGGGATTTTCTCCGCCCCAGAGTTTTCAAAAAAAGTATAAAATGTCCCCTGATATCTGCTGTAATTCTGGTAATTATTAGTGCCTCCAAGTGCTGATGCATTAGTCCAAACAAGCAAGCAAATACCTAGCAAATGTTAAAGAAAGATATGCATAAATGTTCTCTAGTTTAGCCACAACTCCAAACTCCTTGGAGGAAAGGCATGATAAAACAACAACAACAACAACGCAATGGAAAGCATCTGGGTTTGTCAGTGGTGGGTGCGTGGCACTAATGAGTGGAATTTCAAAGGTAAAAAATGACAGTAAGTAAAAATAAATCCAAAGCCAGTTAGCTAGATGGGGGTTATTTTTATCTTTTAGAAGTCAAAGCCTTAATCTCTTTAGACTTCAGTTCCTATGTGAAAAGGGGATATTAGCAGAATTTTCTTACCTGTCAGATTTGTCAAGCAGAGGGCTCTTCTGATCTCAGACTGACTAGTGAGTATTTAAATTCCTCTTTGCCAGTCCCAGATTAGAGAATCCACCAGTTCAGCACTTCCCTACCTCACAGGGGAGTTTGGAAGATTTATATATTTGACATTTTGGAAAGAACTTCATACTTTTTTTAAAAAAACAGAAATTACTTTGGCATTTGAAAAAAATAAGGAGCACTTTATTATCACATGATGGGAATTGCGTGCATTCTGCTGAGAATATACAAATAGGGCAGCCAGAACATGCAGCAGGGAAACACATCCATGCCGTTCAGCATCTGTTACTGTTCCCAACAGAGAGATGAAATTTGTTTGAAATATTTATCAGAGACACAAAATAAGCTCGTAAGAAATGCCCTGCTCGCCTCCGCTAAAATATGTTGCAGCTATTCTGTTCTTCTCTTAATATACCATAGATCAGGTACATAGTGCTGATCAGTTCACATGATCAGCCCTCTTAAAAACAGCGCACTGTGTAGGAACAGGGTGAGCTATTTGCAGCAGAGGCTCTGAAAATGAAGCATCCCTTCCCAAACTGCAAACGTTTGAAGGACTGAGGCAGGTACAGGCCAATATGAGCAGACTCCAAGGTCAGCTTTACTTACTTGACCCCCGATCTTTGGAACCTTGTTTGCCTCCAAAGAGCATAGAAGCTACCTTAGGGAGCATGACTGGCAGGGTGGTAGATGATGAAGGAGTCCATGAGTGATGGCAGAGTTGTGCCAGTCCCTTCCTCTGGCTGCTTGAGAAGTGAAGGTGTTGACAGCACAGAGGCAGTATTCACTTTGCTCCCAGCATGTCCACTTCTCATGACTCAGGGCAGCAAGAAGAAATTCTTGATACCCTGATCTGGACCTAAAAGCTTGTATCCTCCCCTGGGCATGCACAGGGCATTGTATGAACCAGGCACTCTGCACACAGGCAGGTCCAGCGGGGGGGAAAAGCCACACAAAGTCCTATGCACGTCTGGCTTGCACACAGGGCTTATTCAGTCCTCCTCGTCACATCCTCTGAACAACCCTGTGAGGTGAGTTAGTCTGATAGTGAGTGGCTGGCCCAAAGTCATCCTTAAGGACTGAAAGGGGACTAGAACATGAGCACTGAATTGGCTAGAGTGTAGCACTGAGATCCAGATTGTACTTCCTACTTAGCCACAAAGTTCACTGACTTACTCTGGACCAGTATCTTGCTCTTAAGCCTGACCTACCTCACAGGGTTGTTGTTAAGACTGATAGGAGGGGAAATATTATGTAGCCTGTCTTGAGTTCTTTGAAAGAAAAAAAGGTGGGATAAATATAAATAAACCAACCAGCCCAAGTCTCCGCAGTCCAACACTCTAACCACTACACCATGCTGTCTTTTCCACCATGGAATGACAAAATGCTTGCATGATGAGTGTGTGACTGATCCTAACAAAACCTTACTCTCATACAGTGGAGGAAGAGTGGCAAATGTTAACTTTTATAAAGTCAACTCGGACTCACCAGGATTTTAGAGGTGTAAGCTGAATTTATTGCAACACCATTGACAATAAGGTCCAGGACCTTGGGCAGGATGGCTTCTGGATCAGGAATCTGTCGGTAGTGGGTGTCACCCACGTAAGCTTGCACCACAGTCATACGGTTCATGGTGAGAGTACCTGTCTTGTCTGAGCAGATAGCAGTGGCGTTGCCCATGGTCTCACAAGCATCCAGGTGCCTGACTAGATTGTTATCTTTCATCATTTTCTGCATGAAGATGACACATCAATTACTGAGAGAGGTTACAGTGATTCAGCGGTGCAGAGTCAGAACTAACCCAAAGACAGCCTAGAGATGGAATGGAATAAACTGGAGTGGAGAGAAGGCATGACCCCTGCAGTCTGGAAAACTGCTTAATTAGGAAAAAAAAACAAAAAACAAAAACAAAAATAAAACACACCCCAGCCTGCAGTGATATAGCTAAGCATACCGATCCGCATGCTGAAGTCAAAATAATAGGTAGGCAGGTAGCTCTTACATTAATCTATGATTTCATTATTTGAGAGAAAGCCCAACACAATGTTTAGCATGGAAATTAGCAGATCTGTCTATCAGTTTTAGTACCTAACACCTTCTTAATACACACAAAATGTCTGTGTTGGACTACATTTAATGACAGCGGACTGGGAATTATGGAAGCTGCAATCCATACATTAAGAGGTACCATGTTGGGGAAAGCTGATCTACCATAAAAATGTGGACATGTATACTCCAAACTAGGGATACATTGAGGAATTTGTGAATTCTGACTCAAAATGACCTGATCTGCACTTCCTGGACTAATGGGCAGGTCAGAATCTTCAGATTTTTCACAAAGATTAAGAAAGCTATAAAAATGCATTAAGATGTGTATTTTGGCATAAATACACTTTGAAATATGTATATTTTGAAAAATACAGACAGTAAGAGTACACTGAAAACTGTATGTGCAAATATGCATTTATTTGTAAATGTTTGTGATTTTTCTTAAACATTTGTATCATAATGAAAAAATGGGACAGAACAGACTTAAGAATGAACAAGGTCAAAAGTAACATGGCCTGGAAGTAGACTCAACCATCTCTACCCAAAACCCCTTTCATTCCCTCTGAAGAACAAAGCCATCTACCCTCTACTGCTTCATACAATGTATTGACATGGCAGACTCAAGTCCAGCTTTTCCCTGCTTAAACAAAGCAAAGCAATTCAGCACAAATCCACATGCTAGTTCATCCTTCAGTGATTCCCCCGCCACTCCACACAGCCTACGTCAAAAGCCCAGAATATCCTCAGGGGACCACCTTCTCACCTTCACAGAGTAGGCCAAAGAAATGGTGACTGCCAAGGGCAAGCCCTCTGGGACAGCCACTACGAGCACAGTGACGCCAATGATGAAGAACTTTACAAAGTACTGGATATAGATGGGGGTGCATTCAGCCAGCCATTGCCTTCTTTGAATCCCAAAGTTGTCAATCACAAAATACAGGATCAGAATAATGACTGTGATGGCTGACATGATCAGTCCTGTGGAGAAGCAGGAAGAGAAAAGAAGGCACCAGGTGACCCCAGCAGATCATTAAACTGACTGCACCACAGCCAGAGCTAAGAGAGAAGCTGCAGGTTAGGATTAAGGTGCACTAATGAGAGCTTGGAAGGTGATTGTCTCTCCTCAAAAAAAAGGGAGAATTGTTAGCTACCAATCATACAGCAGCACCTCCGCTCTCTCAGGAACTGTATGAAAAACATACAAGCTACAGCAGAGCCTGCAAGCCGCATGGAGACAATTCTACTTGGTCATGGGACGAATTACTCGAAATTTCAACTATCATTTAATGCTCTTTTCTCAGTCTTGTTGTTGCAAATAAACTGCTAATAAGGCTTGTTCTTGCATTTACATTAAGGGCAAAGAGCTCAAAAGCAAGTAAAATGAATAGTTTCTATAATAAATTTTGTGGAGGTTCTTGATTCATCATCCAGAGAACAGGAGCTTGAATCTCCCTCATCTAGTGAGCATGTGCAAGCTTTTTGGCCTGCTTTACCTTTTATGCGACTGCCTCAAGATTGGTAATGTTGTGCCCATCTGTATCCGATTGTTCAAGCATTGTCTAAATACCATTTTAAGCATCAACTTTAAAAAAAGTAAAGCTGTTTTAGGAGAGGAAGATCTGAAGTAGAGAAGTGGCAAGTAGGGAAAGGTTAAGCACTGTGCCCTATTTTTCTGCTCCAAAGGCCACTCTTGGAGCTTTCACTAAACTGTGTCTTTACAAGGACACTGGGGTTTTGATGCATACATTTGTGCTGTGTTAGGCCCTTAAGAAAACTGATTTAATCATAAAATGAGAATTCTTTGGTGGATCTTTGCATGGTGGAAAGATTAATGGAGACATTGCCCAAGAATGAATACCGAGCCACATGGGCCAATGGCCCAACCTATGCTAGGACAGCTTCATAAGTAGCAAAAAGGCACTCTGAAAATGTTGGGCTGAGTTATGTCACACTCTGAACACTGGGAAAATTATGTGGAATTCCACTTGAGTCTTGCGGTTCTTGTAGAAATTGACAAATGAGATTTTGAGTTCATTCAGATTCTCTGAATTCACCCTCTAAGTTCAGTTTGTCTCATTCACATTTCTGAATGCAACTGTCGGTGTTATTTTTCTGACTGTGAAAAATGCACATTTCCCCCCAAAGGTTAAAATATGAAAAATGGATTTTAGAGAAAATGTGCACTTGCACAAATAAGCACTTTTGCACATGAGCACAAGTCCAGGAAATCTGAAGTATTTCCCAAGAACTGTGCTGTTGCTTGCATTTAGGGACATGCCTGTGATTGGAAAACAGGAACAAAAATCTGGCCCATTCCTAGGTGCCTGTTGTGACTTTCTCTTCCATGTTCATACACTATTTCAACTTTAATGGAGACTAATCTAACCAGCAGGGAGCAGCCCTTGCAGAAAGATGCTGAGAAGCCAAACCCTGTCCTTACTGACATACTCACCTGCTTTCCCAATCTGAACTGCCAAACGGGTGAGCTTCCCCTGCAGTACTGACTTCTCCTTCTTTGGAACCTTCACTTTCTTTTTCTCCTTCTCTTCATTTTCTACCCCTTCTTGGCTTTTCAGTGGCTGGATCTCCAAGGCCACACCATCCTGAGTTTTTGCTGGATCCAGGATGAAACAAAAAAAGGGTGAGTAGGAAGAACAGCTAAGGTATGCCTCAGATGCAACAGAAAAAGAAGAAAAGATGGCACAGAGAAAGAGAGAGAGAGAGAAAATCCCAGTGCACAGGAACCCCAACAGCACTCACGGACACTTGGTAATATGGAAACGTAGAAAGTCCAGGGAGCCCTGATCCACATCCCTCCGGAAGAGATGACAAAAGCAGCTTGTGAAACTCTCCCCTCATGCAAATGCATTTCAACAGTTAAGTTGATTACACCTGGAAGGAAGGACAGCCTTGCTAGGAAGGCACATGAGTTACATCTCTGGGATTCTATTTCCTGGATCTGCCTGCTGACTTGCTGCATGTCCCTGTGCAAGGCATCTCCTCCATTAGCATTGCTGTAAGATGGAGTTATCCGTACTTACCTCTTTGAGGTAGCAAGGTGGGGCAAGGGCAAACTTAAATTTGAAAGGTTGTGATACTCGGACTTTCATGGCATGACTAAAGCTAGCCTTCTGCTCCTCAGCAGAAGCCAAGATTGACTATTTAAGAGGTATGAGAGCAGCCTAGGTACACTCATTACACCTGCTTGGACAGACAGAGAAAGTGAGAGAGAGTTTCTCAGTCTTTATGATGTCTTATGGCTGGAGGTCTTAATAGATCAGAAGAGGTCTAGAAACTACCCAAGCCCTTTATTGTAAATATTCAAGCAGCCATGCCTCTTTATAAGACAGCGAGTAAGGTCAGTTCTTATTTTAAATGGTGACCTCCATTCTGACAATCAGTTCCAGAAGCTAGCAAGTATTTCCTTTGATCACATGCCTCGCACTCTCTCTTAAATGCAACTGGGAGCTATTGCTTTTCAATGTTTGCAGACAGCATTTGTGGAATTGTGGGGGAAGGAGGGGAAGAGGAAAGTTAATTATGAGGGGGCAAGGACTGAGCCGATTAATGAGAAGTGAATCTGTTAGTCCATTTCCGCCCACTCCCTCAACTGTGCGACCCAGCTCCTGATATCTCTGGAGCCTCAATCAAACACAAGAGTCAGATCCTCAGCTGGTGCATATAAGCATAACTGCAGCAATTCACACCACCTATCAGATGAGAGGTTTCTGTCTCTAAATTCCCCAGAATAAGTAACAGCTTTTAACAAAGCCAAATTCCACAATGTTTTATGCTATGTGCTTCTTCTCATCTCTTGTTTAGTGCTCATTTAGGCATCTGAAAGCACTGAGAATTATTTTATACACAGACTGGAATCCATAATGGAATCCAGATCTCTCATTGTAAGGCAACATGAGATGGTCCTCTCTTCTCAAAGTCATGTAGGTTCAGAGAAACTGGCTGCTTTACAACTGATCTGCACAGTTGGGATTTGAGGACATGGTAGGGGTTGGGAGGGGCAGGGAGAGAAGGATCAGCCCCAAAATAACCCAGGAATTCCTACCAAAAGGAGGGGAAACTCAAAACTGCTGAGAAAAGGAAGAGAAAGAGAAAGGTGAAGGTGCAGGAGGGAAAACAGACAGGTGCAGAAATGGGCTTCTTCACCATAGCCTGGAAAGAACAGGGGTGAAACATATCAGAAAATAGACACTCACTTGGATTCAAAAGGCCATGAGAAGAACAGAGTGTAACGACTACACATGCTGATCCCACCATCAGGGCATCTTTCAGTTTAGTTTAGTTTTTAAAATGTCAGATTTTGGAATAAGATAAATATGTGCAATTTGGGAAAATATATTACTAGTCCAGTTACAATATTACAGCATCCACAAGATAAGAAGTCATATTTCAGGTTACTCATGAGCTCATGGCTTTAACTGTAGGAAAAGAAAGCCTTCTTAAGGTCCTTTAAACCCCTTGTTTTTGTTTTAGATCTTCTGTATGATAGCCTATCCCTGCTTAACGAAGCAAAGTGCTTTTATGAAACTTGGTCAGGAAGTGTGTGTGTGTGTGTGTGTGTGTGTGTGTGTGTGTGTGTGTGAACCTGTCATAGCATCAGACCCAGGATATGGATATGGAAACCTTCCCAGCAAGGATGAAAGGCCCATGGAGAGAAAGAACAGAGTGGGTGGTTAGCACTATGGTAATCATTACACCCTCTTCTAGAACAAACAAGGCGAGATTCCCGCCGTAGCGACAAAGAGCACAGACTCATGGGAAGAAGGAAGGAGGAATGCTCAGTAGTTAGTGTGGTGCTGGTTCAAAGATGGAGAGGCTGGTTACCTTTGTTGCGATTTTCGGGGGCTCCGGTTTTTTTACCTGTTCAAAGAGAAAAAGGGTGGAGCACTGAGCACACGGTTCTTGACATCGATGTCTCTGCTGGTGAGGACACCTGTATGCGGGGGCTCAGTGCTCTCTCTTGGGCAGGTTGCTGGACAGGGGAGGAAAGCTACGTGTGACCCAGCTGCCCTCTGGGCTGAGGACCATCGCAAGAGGGCTGGTGCTGCTCATGCTCCTCCCAGCTAAGTGCTGCTGCAAACCCCCACCTTTCAAATCTTATTGGAAGCAGCAATCAAGCCTTAATTAGAGTGGAAGAAACTGGGTTTGTGGGACTAATGCATATATGGTCTTACTCCCAGCAATATACAGAACACTTTATGTAATGCTGGGAAAGTTAATCATGGAGTGTCAGTTCCAAATGGAGTTCCTAATCTAGAGCAGGGATGGACAGACGTTTGGCATGTCAAACCTTGTGGATTTGGTTTTATTTTTGTTTTTCCGAGCATCTTGAAATCCACAAGTCAGAACCAGAACACAGTTTTCTAGAGCACAGTATCCCCAAGCATGTTCTGAGTCTAAGAATTAGTTTTCAGTTTCAGAACTGAACTGAGCTCATAGCCATTTATCATAAATATCCACTCCTGGTTAGTCCAAGCATTCTTCTTTTCAGCAACCTAATTTGGGTAGGAAAAATCATTCTGCTTTTGCTATTGTTGAACAGCTGGAAGTCAGAAAGCCTTGCTGATCTACTGCAAATCATTAAATTTCTATCTACTTTCAGTCCACATCTAGACATTTTTAAAATCTGTTACATTAAGTTTCCCTAAATTAAATATTTGCATAAGTGTTTGGGATACTCTTAGCGAGAGCATCTCCATTTTTCTGGAAGCCCCAAGTCACTCAGATTATATTCCAGAGTAGATGCCAAATGACAAATAAAATACTTTTCCAACTCCCTTAGGAACAAAAGTTGCACAAAGAATTGTTCAGAGCTTCCCCAGACCTGCTTCCAGGGAGTCTTATTTGGAATCCAGCTCTCTTATACAGGACAGTTTATAAACAGAACAAACAGAAGTGGCAGTTAAAATTCATACATGCAATAGCCATGTAAGTCCATGGATCACAATAAAATATGCACCCACAAAGAGCAGAGACAGTTGTCAGCTGTAGAGAATGGTCTCTGGAAGATACGTCAGGAAAAAAAATCACCTTTTTTCCAATCATTCACTACTCTACTTGTAAGTATGGGTTTTTTGAAATAGTTTGTTGGGCCAAAAAATCTGCATTAGGTATTTAATGATTCACACCCTTGACACACACTTGTGCATAAATTCTATGTAATCTGATGAGATTCACACATACACAACTACACAGCCAGACTAAGTCAAAAGGGGAATTTATTCTGTTATTGATGCTATGTTTTAAATGTGCATTAAATGCTTATTTCCCTCAGAGAAGGGGACCCCTGCTGCAAATATTGCTAGCTGCGGTCATTATGCAACTGGGCCACAAACTGAATATATTACTTATTATGCTGGGATGGTGGGGGAGCTCTCCACTTAACTACACTGGACTAAACGGTTGCCTCAATTCAGCAGCAGTGCTGAGCACAGCAGGATGGGGGCGGCAATAAGCATTTGTGAGCCTTTAGGGAGTGCCCCACTGTGATCTGTGCTTGGCACAGTCTGCAGGCATGTGGGTATTCTTCAGCATCAAGGAGGATAGGCCACCTTTATTTCTGCAGTGTTCTGCATGGGCAGAAATGCTGTAGAGTCCTAGGAGGCATCTTTGCATCCCGAAAGAAGTAAAAGCCAATCTAGTTAAAGTGAAAGTAGCTGCAGCTATTTCAGTTGTATCTATTTTTTGTAAGGCAACTTCCATGTGGCCAGAAAAACAGGATCGACTCCATCCAGCTACAGGGGAAGCAGCAGAACTCTCTCCTCTGCCTCAAGCCTTTTTAATGCTTCTGAAAAGTACTGTAGGTTAAGGATGCCTCAGGGCAGAGGATGCCAAAGATTCCATCAATGGGCCACTTCTGATTATCTACAAATGGCTTGGCAGAAAGAATTTAAAGTACCTATGGCTCGCCTGCTAACTATGAGTAAATCGGTCACATGGGCAGGTTTCCTGTTTTAGTAAGTCACCAACATACTCCTTTCAATGTCTTTAGAGGAAAGGGAAAACACAATAAAGCCTTACTTGGAAACTAAGCTACTATGCAAAATTCAGTGTGATTTAGCATAGTTTACATGACTGGGAGCTGCATAATCCAGTGCATGCTGCTGGACTGGCTTTGGTCCAAACTGGCTGATTTGTTATGTACCATTCCGATCATGTTTAACATCTCTGGAAACTGTTACTCAATTTGAGCATATTATTCTGCAAAATGGGAATAAGGATGGTACACTGTGTTGCTCTGGAAATGAATGAGCTGACCAATGGAAAGAACTCTGCATACTAGAAGTGTTTCAGAAGTAATTCTTTATTACTGTTTTTAATATAACATGGTTTAATGGACCATGGAAACCTATTCCATTATCCCAAGATTAGGGTAAAATCACAAGAAATGAATAACTCCTTCACATGGCACCTCTTTTCAAACTCTTTAAGGACATTGGAGAACAGAGGCATTCTATTATTCTCTCCATCTCCAACTTTAGTAAGGTACATCGTCATTTCTGATATAAATAAGAGGAATAAATATCCACTAATGAAATCTTTCAAAAGTGCGGTTTATAGAGGTGGATGATCCTTATGATGGGTCAGCTTCCCTTTCAGGGTGCAAAGGAGGAAAGAATTTGGCTAGAACAGACTGAAAGTCCAACAAGAGAATCCAGCCAGATGCTTTCAGGAAGTTCACAAGCAGGGTGGCAAGGAAACAATATCTCCATGCCTTTGTTTCACCCCAGCATTCAGAGGGATAATGCTATCATGACTAAATAGCCACTGAAAAACCTTTCCTCCATGGGTTCGTCTCCATGGGTTTGTAGGCAAATCAGCATCATCCATGCACCTAAAGTATCAGCAGGCTCGGCAGTAGCTCCTTGGTTTGCAGAAATATGCCCACACATGCGCACACACAGGAAAAACCCTAAGAGGGTGAAAGACATCCCATACAGTCCAATGAAGACTGCACATGCTCAGTGACCACAAAATGCTGACTGATGTGGTCGGGGAATCTGAAAGTCAAGGAAGGTGCACAGAATGGAATATTCTGTAAAAGGATGTGGCTGGTTGGCTGAGAGCCTGCACGGGAGCATTTCACATGGCAACGTTTATTTGCAGGTTCCCACTGTCCTTTTAAAAAGTGGTCTATGCTAACACAGGCAATGGCTCAGGGGGATACAGCTGTGTCTTCTAAAACTAGCTTATGCACAGCTAAACCCACCTTCAAACCCCAATTTTGGCAGTAAGTGCTGACAGGAACAAAACCAAACTCTACCCCATATCTTTTGTTCGCCTGCCTAAATCTTGAGCTGACAGCATCAGGCAAAAGCTCCCAACATCCGCTCCTCCTAAAGTTCAAGTTATCTCATTTTGGACACTCAAGCTGGGGCATATCTGCTTCTCTCTAATAACCAAACAACAATATGACTAAGGAACTCTCAGAAGATGCTTTCTATGGGAAAGCCTGGCTCCTGAACCTTCTTACCTTTCTTGACCTTCTTCTCCTCATCCCCTTCTCCAGCACCAAGAAGAGTAAAAATGATTCCAGTTTGTGAGTTGATGCCCACAGCTGAGACCAGCATTCGACCGGAGCCCTCCATCACATGAGTACCTGGTTTAAAAAAAGGATTGTTGATAAAAGAAACCACATGAACTGGATAAAGTGCAATTAATTTCAAGAAAAAGTCCAATCGGTAGCAGAGAAATAAAATCTAATTTCCAGATTACAATTTAAAATCGAGAATAAGTGATTTCCACTGCTTCGTGCATGCACCAACTCATCCTTGAATCTTCAGTGTGTGCTGGTTTGTCCATTCAGATCAATACAGGGGCTGCACAGCACGTGCAAAGAAGTACAAGCACAAAGTTCCATCTGTATACCAGGCCCACAAGAACATGAGGACAGTTACATTGCTGAACCCCCCTTGCATTTTTCATTTGCCAAATCTCCCTGCAAAAGTGAGGGATCAGTGATTCTACAGAAATGAACTGTTCTGTTGGACTATTAGCTGAATTCATGTTTAAGAACACATTGCATATGCTACTTGGGGCTGAAAGAGGCAGCAAAAGCTTGCTATGCCAGCAGTTCAAAGTGTGCATCTCTCTAAAGTAGAAGATCAGGCTCTAGGCCTGTCAGCAGGCCCTGGGCTATTACTGCATTCAGATACCATCAGGTTAACCAAGTGCCACGCCTTAACACCAAATGGGCTGGAGTTCAACTTTCTACCCTAGCATGTGCTGGCTTAAAAGTTGGCAAGCGAGTTTGACAGACTTACCAGAAAGCAACATGGGATCTTTATCAAGAGACTTTTTCACTTGGTCTGACTCCCCAGTCAGAGAGCTCTCATCAATTTTCAGATCATTGCCTTGGATCAGGATTCCATCTGCTGGCAACAAATCACCTGACGAAACAGAAATCAGCAGATCACCAAGGTTTCCAGCTATTCACCACTAAACTCTTTAGCAGTTTCCAAAGGCCAAACTGTGCACTGGGCTTAGAGTATAATCTGTAGCTACAGCTCTGTTTTGCATTAATTAAATACAGACAAGGAAATGCACAGTCCTCACTGAGAACAGAGCACAGGAGAATGCTCATCTTTTCCCTTCCCAATGTGACAAGAACACCCTATCTCCACCCCATACCAATAGGAACATTTCTGCCTAAGAGCTGCACCCACAGTGTTGGGGGTATCTCTTTCTTATCATACTAGGAAGGGAAGAGCTAAGCCTCCTGCAAAGACTGAAACCTGTGTCTATAATTAAAGCAAAAACAAGATTCAAAGTTATATGCTATGTATTAAGCAAACACCTAGTTTGGCCCCAAGATCTATCTGAATAAAAGGTAGATCCCAACCCACAAGACAGGGGGTTGCAAGCTCTGCAATTAGATGACTTATGGAGCTGGAGTAACACTGGGAGAGAAGAAAGGAAATTTACAGACAAATATGCTGTGTGCATTTTGAGATAGGCTTATAATCAAGATACAGCATATTTTTAAAGAAATCTGAAGTCTTCATCTTCAACCTTTTATTTTTTAGTTCAGAAATCGCATTTGCCCAAGCACGAAATGAGTAAGTGTCCATAGTGCTCATTTCTTCACATACACGTTTTGGTACTGCTGCTCTCATGTTCACTAGACTTTCCCATGTCGGTCCTATGACACTCCCCATGTAACAATACTGCTTGAATCCAGTATTCCTCACATTACACCGCACATTAGCCTTCTGCTTTTCAGAGTTACACTGCTGTAACATCCCTATCCCTGCCATTTCCCCACAAAATCCTCCCATCCTACCCACTGAAGGCTCTCTCATCTCCAGCATCAAAAGAAAGCAGTGCCACTCCTCTCATTCTCACACCTACTAGTCCCACCTCAGATCCTTGCAAGTGAGGCTCTCTGATGGATACCAGTGCACTACTGGTGGAGATGCTTCAAAACAGGATAAAATAAAAAGGCAGAAGCTGGGTTCTGGAACGGATGTTTAGAAAAACAGAAGCAGAGGATGTGCACGGCTGTTTTTAAGCTCCCATGCAAGAACAAATACAGGGAAGGAGAAAATAATCAGGCTAGTTACTATGCATACCACTCACCGTATTTGATCTGAGCAATGTCCCCCACCACGATCTCAGCCACAGGGATCTGTATAACTTGCCCCTTACGAATGACTGTGAACTTTTGTTCCTGTTCAATGCGGCTTTGGAGGCCCCGGAACTGTTTCTCTTTGCTCCAGTCATTGAAGGCTGTGACCAGCACCACAATAATGACTGAGAAAAGGATTGCTGCCCCCTCAATCCATCCAGCTTGAGCTTCACCTTCATCCTCTGCACTGCCTTTTGCTTCCCCACACACTGCAATGGGATTAGAGAAGGAGGGAGAGAATGAATGGTTTTCAGTGACAATCTTACCTGTAAAGCATCCTCTGCGAGTCGCTTCTTGTAGCACCAAAATGCAATGAAATAACATTAACGTTCCAGGTACGTGCATAACACACGATTCTTTTCCATCAGTGTGATAGGCAGGGGGTGACATAATGTTCTCTAGACTACCAACAAAGCACATCTTGGAGGTGTTCAAGGTGTATTGTGCCAGAAATCCAGAGTGATAAGAGATAAAAGATTTTTTGTACATTTCTTGCACACTTACCTGAGAACAAGCCCCAGTTAGCAGAGTACAACTTAATGCTGCTAAGTAAATGTAAGATTGTATACTAACTCCTATGGCCAGACTAGCACATGATTCCTAAGACCAGTCGAGCATTCAGAATCTGTTGCACTTCCTCCTCTTCCCCTTCCCCCAAACACTCCCCTTCTTTTTCCTCCTTCCATGAATACTTTCATACCACAGCAATAAGCAATTGTTCCTATTATCCTCGGCCATGAAGACTATTCTCGTAGACATGTATGGCACTTTAATTTTTGAGCTGAATGTATGAACTGACATTGAAAACACTGTCCAACGATGTCAGAGACACGAAGGAGCCATCTGTAGTTTAACACATGCAGTGGCTCACTCACATGAATAAATCACTTGATGTTGTCTTCTTCAAGTGGCAAATGCACAAGCATGAGCCAGCTATGGCTGGAAGGAACCAAATGGCTGTCAGGGTGCAAGGGCCTCTTACAGGGCAGAACCAATTATGGCTGTGGTTCTCTGAAAGCCCCTCCTTAACAGACTTGCTAGTACTTATGCCCGCTGGCTCTTAGGAAGCAAACAAGGCCATGCTCGTTTGACAAGGTTTTAGCATCCTTTAAGACTAAGATTCATTAGACAGGTTATTCCTGTCGAATAGTTTTGAGATTTACAACTGTTTCAAAGTGCATACTCTTACTATATGGGAAGCCACTCTGACTTTAAGCTGGATGAGAAATAAATAAACCATCCATATATCTGCCAAAAGACAGTAACACCTGCCTGTAAAGTTAATGGCTCCAGATAATTCATGTAAATGAGATGATACAGGGTGAGGCACAAACTTCCCCAAGCTAACTCAGACTGGTAAAAATTCCTCCTAAGCCCCAATATGCCATAAAACAATCAATCATATTCCCAGAGCTAGGAATACTTCAGAGAGAAGTATAGGCATGTGTGGAATGTCCATCAGGGTACTGTGCTTATTTAGAAAAGAAAAATAATTTCTGTCCACTGTAAGTAGCACTTGCCAGCCTACAGGAATTAAAACTAAAATATAACCTCCCCGCCCCCCCACACACAAAAGGAGTGTAGATTCCTGCCCAGAAAGTTCTAGGTTCTTCCAGGGGACCTTAGGAATCCCCATGGAAGGAATCCACACCTGTAATTTCCCAGTGGAGATAATAGCTATGGCTCAGGTGATGGGGGACTTGGCTAGTGCCAGTAAAACCCTAAACCAAATCCAAGGAGAAACCTAAAATATAGCAGTAGCCAAAGCAACAGCTTCAGTGCATAGCCTCAAGCAAAGTTCAACCAGATACAACTTTGCTGGCACTTAAAAAGAAAGCTGTTCTTTCATTTGAGAAGGGAACTCATTGCTGTAGCATCACTACCAAAGAGGTCCTCTCACCATTTTCCAGCTGCCTGGACTCTGAAGATAATGGGATATGTAGGTGTCCTTCATTGGATCATGAGAGAAGGACATCCTTCCAGGCTAGGTGTTTTCATCATTATTATTTGTAAAAGGAAACTTTCTGACCCATAAAGAGAAAGAGGGTTTGAAAAGTGTGGAATACCTGGCAGCACCTCCAAAGCCAGAGGCAGGATTCAACAACGGAAGGATAAAGTGTAGCCCTGTGTAGCCCTTGCTCATCCCCATGGCTCACAGAAGCATACAGGGTGATTCTCTCTCTGGATCTTATACACAATCCAGCTTTTCTGGTCTAGAGGTCACTTTAACAAATGCAAAGCATCCTTCAAGCTTTAATGTGAGCATGTTCTTACAACACTAACATAGCACTTTTAGTTGTGGCAATCTGTGATGCCTCAGGAAAAGGACAACATCTCAAGATGTAAATCTCTAATTTGTTGAGGACAAGTGTAGGGAAATAAGCATAACTTTAAACATTTAGATATGTCTTTGGCTGGCATTGTGTTAAACGGCTTCAATTAGCAAAAATTTTGAGCCTATTTGCTATTCACAGGGGGGCTGAAAAATAATGCCATCTGTGAAGCAGCCTGACTTATCATCCTGGTTGTCTGAATTTTGATATTCTGCAGGCTCAACATTCAAGCACAGTCTGGTATCCAGCACAGCATCTCAAGAACATCATGGGAAAGGTAAAGGGTAAGGGAAGGACACGGCAAAATGCATGAAATGTTGATTCCTATAATCTGGCTGATGTTTATATCCCCACAAAGTGTTTTCAGCTTTGTTGCTGAGCTGGTAGCAAAACAAGGCATCTAGGGAAAAGCCCCTTCCTGTCTTTTTGTTATGTAAATGCAGGGAAAAATTGGACTGATCATTACTGAAAATCATATAGCATGCAGAAGAGAGAATTACTGCTATATCCCCAATCAGCAGAGATAATATCTTTCTAGAGAATGGTAAGATATCCTCTGATCAACTTGCTTTTATCTGTGAGCCTGATGGATGCTGCTAAAGGCTTAGTGTAAAGTTTTTTGAAATGTCTGTGGAGGTTCATCCACACAGCAGGCAGTAGCTGACGCAATTATAAACATATTTGCAGGCGAAGGTAAGCTCTATAAAAGGAACAGTTTACTGAACATCAAGGACCATGCTGGATACATATCAAGAGCCACAGGCTAAATCTGATTGTAGATTTCATATGCACAGAAGTTAATTAATAAGCACAAGACACTGGCTCACAACTCTTGCAGCCAGGTGACATTTCCAGCCACCCTGAATAACCAGGACCCTTGTGCTACTAGTCCTAAGAATTGAGAGATCACTTAAGAGAATGTACCCTGAAAGAAGAAGGAAGCATGTTGGTGGAGAGAGGAGTACTTGGTCCTTTCAAATTCAACAGGGCATGCAATAGAGCTCTATGTTCTTAGCACAGCCTTCCCCTTCCTGGAAACTGCCAGTGGGGTTGGCCTATAACTCCCCAAATCTACCAGAAGCTGGCTGGGGGATTCTGGGAGTTATAAACCAATATATCTGATGTAGCAGTTAGAAGTCTGTAGGAAGAACCTCACTGTTGCTGAAAGGAGTTACTCTGATGCTTTAAAGCAGGGGTCTCAAACTCGCGGCCTGCAGGCCAATTGCCGGGATGGGTGGGGCACGGGGGAGGGGCCCTGCGGCCTTCAAAGCGCCGGGCCGGCCTCCGGGAGCCACGCAGGACGAGCGGCCCCCACCACCGCAGGGGTGGAATACTTGATGCGGCCCAGCCTCACCCAGACTGCCCCCAGGTAAATTGAGTTTGAGACCCCTGCTTTAAAGGAACTGCACAAAGTGGGGTGGAGAGAACCTCCCAGCCACCTTATAAAATTACCTAAAGGAAACTACCACCACCCCAGTTTCAGGAAAATCCATCATCCCCCCCCCAAAAAAAAACAGCTGGAAATGCCACCCCCATACACACACTTTTGTAGGTGACAATTGATCTGCAAAATTGTGTGTTTGTATGAGGTGTTGTTGTTTCACCATTAGTATATGCAGTCTTAGTAGTACAGGCTTCCCCTCCAGATGGATTAGACTATAATTCCCAGGAATGCAGTTTCACTGACCACACAGGCAGGGAATGATGGGAGTTATGCATCTGGAGGTCACTTCATTGGGGAAGGCTGATGAAATGTGCTAAAGAGGACCTCCCCCGGTGCCAGACAGCCCTTGGAAGCTCAGTGGACTGGAGAACAAACCTTCTTGCTGGGGTACCCAGCCTCTGGAAGGTTCTATCCAGGGATGCTCAGTTTAACCCCAAGCAAAGTTTTTTATTTTATTTTAGAATTTGTCCAGGCTTTTGAAAATGCCTATTTGGGTTCATTTCATTCTGCCACTGCGACAGTCTCATGTTTTGCTATCACCTCTGCTGTTGTAGTGTTTTTTTATTCGTTTATTATTGATAGTTTGCTTTTATCTTGTAATTGCTGATTGTTAGCTGTCCTGAGACAACATTAAAGAATGGTGGAATATGACATTTTTATTTGAAAAGATACGGTGCACAATTCTATAAGAAAAACAAAATGTTGCAGTCTTCATATGTGTAAGGAAATTTGCATATATGTGTTGTTTACAATGCAATGTTATACATGTCTTCTCAGAAGTAAGTTTCACCAAATCCCATGGGGTTAACTAAGCAGACTCAGGACTGCAGCCTTAAATGCCTTCTCTTGATCTTTTAGGGAAAAATAACTCTGCAGGGAACTGAAGCCCTTTCCCCCGATCATACAAATCCTCTACCTCAGAGATTTTATTAAGTGCTGCTCAGACAGTTTCAATAAAATCTATCCTTGCAGCAGTAAGAGGAAAAAAACCTACTGGCTTAAAAATGATGAGGATGAAAGCCAGTATTTTCAGGATCTAAATTCTGGTCCCAGTATCAAATTCTGTGCCCAAACAGCATGGAATATGCATGGCTATCCAGCTTCTTACTATTCAGGTGTAAGAGTACAATCTAATAAACACCTAGCTAGGAATAAGCCTTGATTCTGTAGACATGTATAGGACTGAGTTGTAAAACTGTTATGGAAGGTGAAGCATACATGTGAAAATTTTATATGCAGGAGAGTATGTGGTGGTAATCTAGAGTTACCACAGCTCCTGTGCATTTAACATCTTTATGAGAGAGACTCAACAGAAAAAGGATTTTCCTTTATCTTCCTTTTGCTAAGAAAACTTTGCTGCTGTACTTCATATTGACTAATATGGCTACTCATCATAATTCTAGATCTCATATATAATAGGTTAACATATCAGTTTCAACATTCCCTAATTCAGTTTTAATAACAGGGTATGATTATTTTATCTAGGGGCTTTTGGACTCCTTAGGGCCCAGAGATCTCTAGATATAAGGCCTGCAATTAAGCAATTATAATCACACTGGCACATTTGGGGTAATAAATCTGAAGAGCTGTCACAAATTGATGTTTCAATATGAGACTTTTCAGAGCAAAGTGATAAGCTAGTCAGAGATAAGTCACTAGGAACAGATGGTGCAGTCAGAAGTGTTGAAGAATCTCAACAATGAAATTGCAAATATTGCTAACTGTATAATATCTCCGTAAAAACCAGAAGATGACTAAAATAATGCCATGCTGTAGTATGTGTTAAAGGCTGTAAAGTTGTTTATGAAACTGTAGGATAGTGAGTCACTCCAGTCTTGTGGGGTGGGAATCAGGAAAATTGCAGTAGTCAGGAGAGAACTAGTACAGTCCACCCACAGGACCTGACCGAGCAGCCACAGAGTTCCTGCAAAGCCCTGCTAAAAGTATATTTAAGATCAAGTCTTAGACTACACCTTACAAGAAAGTCCCAGAAAAATAAGCAGGGCCACAGGCTCCGAACAAAAATGTGCACAAGGCTTGTTCCAGAAGGAACACAAACCAATTGCTAAGCAGCATACAGGCCAGGAAAGTATGGGATACGGTGGGATATGCGCTTCAGGATGAAGCTGGGGCAAAGCTTGTCAAAATGGCAATTACTGGAAGATCCAAACTGTGTTAAATGTTCACTTTTAGAATAACTTCAAATATAAAGGTTTCTAGGAAGGACAAGACCTTCTTCAAAGGCAGGATTGCTTAGCCTTGTTAAGATCAAGACTGGAGAAGCAGACTAGCTTGACAAGAATAAGTGCCAAGAACAGGAGAGAAAGATGTTGTGCACAGGATATGGGAATGCTGTCAGTCCTCTGTAGACACACTACCCTATTACATATGATTCCCAATGGTCACGACCATTGCTATTTTTCCCAGCCCAGACTTTTCTATGAGCTCGCAATTAGAGTGTGACTATAACTGCAGGAAAAGCAGCATGACTTGTGTTAAAAACGACCACCAACAGAAAATGGCTACATCTGATGTTTGCCCACTATAGGACAAAAGGCAGAAGAATGCAGTGTTTACAGATACCCTTGGGAATATCGATCCATTCAAAGCAAGTGTGAAGAGAAGGCACCTGTAACTGATTAACACACCAGAAGTGCTACTACCATCCACATTTAATATCTAATCTGAACACATGCCCAAATGAACAAATGAATTTAAGAGGAAGACTTATGCCCTGAATCCACTATTGTCCTCCGGTTAGCTAAGGAATTTTTGTCAAAGTTGTCAGAGTAGTTTGACAGGAGGAGAGGTCTTCCATCCAGAAAATATCTGTAGATTTGGGCAAACTGAAGCCTAGGTGAGAGTCATGAATGAAGAGAATCTTTGGGCTGTATTTGGAATTTAGGAAAGAAATGGGTTGGAGCTGGATTTCCCATTGTAGCACGCAAGAGACCTCACCTGCCAACCCAAACCATTAGGTAATATCCAACGTGGTCTCTCTACCTCAATGAGCCTTATACCCATGGGACCTACTGTTTGTGTAACAAACCTTTGCCAGTCCAAAAATAACCCCCAAAATAAGCGGAAACAGTTGTTTCCCTGATAAGCACAGGTCAGTAGAGTTCCCTTCTGCCCCATTCCAAAAACAAGTATTCCTGTATGAGATATTTTTGGAATCACAAAAACTCTGTTGAGGAAGTGATGGCTCCTGCTAATTTGGAATTTGGCAGTAAGACATAGTGACAATATTTTTGAGTAATAAAAACACATTTTAGGGGAGAATACAAGACAACCTTTTGAAACTATGATTGTACTGCTCCAATCCCTTATAAATTCTTCTGGATTTATCAAGCAGACAGACTCTGTTCTAAAATTTACTAGTCCAGTATAAACGCTTTGGATACTACTACATTTAGCCATTAAACAAACAATGATATTAATTTGGCAAGAGAAGAAAGCACAACCCTGGCATCGCATCGTTGTAAACTTTTAGGATGATAAGGTAGACTATAAATGGGATGATCTTACAAACTAAATGACTCTGCAGTGAAATGTCAAATGAAATTCAGTACAATGAGCGCAAAGTAATGTACACTGGAAACTGATGTTTAGAATACTGAGCACTAAATTGCCACTCAGGAGCAGATTTTGGCATCATTGTGCATTGCTGAAGTAACCAAAGCACCACAGCAGTCAGAACGGCAAGTGGGAAGGTTAGGAACTGTTAGGGAGGAGAAATGAGGGGGAATATTAACAATGCCCACACCAAAAGTCACTGCTGTGGGAACAACTTGATTTTGTGAGCTGCTCTATTCAATCGCAAACACAAAAGGCAAAAATACTTCTTGGGGAAAGGGAAAAATTCTCAAAGATAACCACACTTTCCATTTTAAGGAAATATCTAACAGTACTTGTCAGTTGAGATGTGTATCAGACATATGTAAATGTCAAAAAGTGTAAAAGCTCATAAAAACTGAGCAAGGAATGTATATTTTCATTCTGTATCATGAGCTACTTATGATAATACCTTGCACATGGCAGGGTGGGGTCGGGGGGGGAGAAGTTCCTGCTAATCACAACTTAGCTATAGAATCTTCCCAAAACAGGGCTCCACACAGGCGCAGAGCCTATATGTGTGATGCAGAGACCACAAAAAGAGAAACTGATTTGGCAAGATGCAATTAATGTATGGGACTCCTGGCCAAGGGGTTTGTGAAAGATAATAGTACAACAGGGAAAAGGAGAAGATTCTTCAAGAGTGAAATTATAAGCTGCAACTGTGATAGGACGATCAAACAACTGTAAATCTCCATTCCTCCACTCCCTTTAAACTTGATGCTCTTTGCTGCATTCAGTCTAGCCAACATCAGTAACAGGATGCTGCGACTGAATTAATTATTGGTCTCACCCAATTTGACATTCCTTAACAGATCAGCCTGCAGGAAATGGCAACCCTAAGCAATGCTAAGTCAAGATGCTATAAATACTATTGGATGCTAGAACTAATTCGTGGGTAAGCAAGACATCTGTCATAGGCTCATCAAGAACAGAAACCCCAGGCTCACATATTTCTTAACCTCAGAGTACCATTGCCTAGTTTAGAATCAGTGGTGAATGTAAACTCGCATAGCAGGCTGATACTTCCAAGCATGCACCAAACATACTTGCATTAGTATCCTGAGTACAATGTATTTACTTATGCTCTTAGGAGTGAAGAGCCCCTGGCACAAGGCCTAATAGGAACCACGAGACTCCCTAATCTGGATTGTGAACTTCCTTGGGTTCCTTCAGGGTCAGGTGCTTGACCTCCAAGCCCCATCACTAAATTATCCTGAAAATCCCTTGCCATTGGGAGTGCATGCAGCACTGTTCTATGAAACCATTATGTAATTTGGGTAATATTTAATTACTATTTAAATAGGAATCACTTGCATCACTTGTGTATACTAGGATTTTGAAATGTTGCCCAACATCATAGAAGGGAAATAAAAAAAAAAAACCCTTAAATTTGTAGCAAGCTAACACTGTATTTTTTTTTTTTTTTAATTAACAAAATGAAACAGTGCTGGGACTTGGCCAGGTCAAAGCAAGTAACTTGCTTTCTAGATGTGTTGAAGGAGCAACTCCTTTAATTGAAATGCCTGCTTGGATCAAACTGTATCTCACTGTTTCATTACACTTAGAACAATTATGTTAAGTTGTGGAGTGAGAGAATAAATGAGAAAGTAGGCAGGAAAACACAGTCATGCTGCCAGCTGGGGAAGTCATCTGGTGAAAATACCTACGCTTTATCTTTCAGGTAAGGGAATAAAGAAGGGAGAAGTTAACATTTTTCTGCCAGGGAAACTTCAACACAGATTAACAGTGAACATTGATTTACACTGACTGACCTAGACTGCACCCACAACCGTCAATACTTAAGAGCACAAACTCTTGCTTCTATGGATCTATTGCATGTACATGGTAGCACATTCATTCTAGCACAATAGGATAAAGACCTTTCCGCTTTGGAGAAGGCCTCAGTTTAGAACTCTTGCACAAGTCTGTCTGACTTATAGGGTTAGGATAAAACTCACTGCAATCTATCCCTCCAGCATTTGTGGACTACTTCTCATGCTTTGGCCTGATCTTGCAAAGAAGTCAAACTAAGAGGAAGACCATGAATGGTCATGGAATTGACCAGCAACCTTCTTTCACATCAGATGAAGCAGCACAAAGGCCGCTGCATATGGCGGAAAAGGGGGTCTCTGCAGTGGTCACACGGGGCTACATTCCTGGTGGGCCCGGCACAAACAACCATCTTCTGCATCAGGTGCGACTGCAGAAGCAGCTGCTCTACCTGACCCGGAAAGGGGATGCTGCTTGCACATTCCCAGCAAGTGCCATACCAACACTGGGTGTGCCTGCCAGGAACACGAAGTCAGGGTTGCAACAGAGTCCAGGAAGCAGAGCCCAGGGAATCCCTCAGATTCCCAGCCCCAGTATGGATTCCTCCACATTTTCCCCTAGACACAGTCCGCCCCCACTATCTGTTCCACTGTGATCAACAATCTCCGACACAGGAGCAGGCAGGCAAACTACAATAAATGGACAGGAACAGTGGAGCTATCGAACATCTACACGCTTTGGAACATGTATAGGAATTGAATGGGATGCACTACTGTTATTTGACCACAGGGTCTGCCTCCCATAGACGATGCTGCATACTCACTTTCATTGTCGCCACCAGGAGGGTGATAGAAAGACAGGCCCAGGGAGATTATGGCTGCAATTTCCAAGATGATTAACGTGACATCCTGCAGTGCTTCCCAGACTAACTGCAGGAAGGTTTTGGCCTTTTTCGGTGGGATGAAGTTTTGGCCAAATGCTTGTCTTCTTTTTTCCAGATCTGCAGGGTTCCCAGACAGGCCTGTAAGGAAGTAAGAGGCAATTAAACGGGGGTGCCAAGAAAGCCTGATTACTTTGATCCCTCTCTCTAAACCCAGTTTCTTTCATCTTACACAACCTTCATTACTGATGTTACATAAATACTTCCCACCTTCCCATACATGAAGGATTCTAATAGCAAGAACTGCCTGCAGATACATGTTGGGAAGAGGAATATATTATATGAAACAGACTGAAGGCACCTGTGAACGGAACAGTAACCAAAACACATCTAGGTGAACCACTTATACTACACACCCAGAGCAAAGGCAGGCAACTTGGGGTGGGGGTCAGGGGGATATGTTCACTTTTCAGTCAACACCTTTGTGGTCCGCAAGTTTTCCAGGTACAAAAAGAGAGGGTGTGGAGAGGGAGGGCCAAGTTTAGCTTGCAAACATTTGCAGCTGTTTTGAAACTCTACAGCCATCACAGTGCAACTTTTTTCTTTTTTAAAAATTCAGTGGACAGCAGAGGGTGACTGGGACCATACCGGGGGAAAAGGGGTTGGTGGTGGGGTCTACATGGGCCACATGTTCCCTGCCTTGATCTAGAGTCTATTTAATGCTGTGAGCCTTAGAGAACTCGGGCAGAATACCTATTTGTCTGATGTTGCAGCCATGGAATCTAACATTTGCTGTGAAAATGTGGTACACTGAGAGTCTCAGCTGCTGTGGCAGCCGATTTCCAGTCGCCATCACTGTGCAAAAGCGTAGATAGTATCTGAAGTCGCTCTTGGATTGGCCTGGGAAGAATGCCTGATGGCTTATATCCCGGAGTACCTCTAATCATATCCTTCTTCTCCATTTCAGTTTACAATATATTTAAAACCAAAAACCAACACCACTAAAAGACAGCTGCACAGATTGGTTGTGATCTCTGCAGCTGTCTTCTTTGGTTTTTCTGGGCACATTTTTTACAGCTGTTTAAAGCCACCTTCTCTCCCAGCCACATCCTACTATAACACTGTCACTTAAATCTTGAGGTGGGGAGAATCTATTTTTTTTAGATAACTTGAATACAGAATAAATTAAGTGAATGTAAATGCAAATCACTTTGTTTGCATAATTAATTTTAATAATGGAACAAGAATTGTTGTAAATGCAAAACTACTACAGACCACTGCCCCCTTTCTTCTTTACTCACTGTTAAGTAGGTTCCCATCTCCTTTCTCTGACAACACTGTAACAGAATTCTTCAATTTGATACCCTCTACAACTCCCATGATTCCAATCCAATGCATGTGGAGGTCTCCAGGTTGGAGAAACCTGCACTCTAACGAAGGAAAGGATTTTATCTTTTTCTGTTTCTGGGACTAGCACATGTGTTCAAGAATGCAAAAAAGAGGCTCATGATCTCTCTGTTTGACAAATTAATCAGGCAAAAGAATTCAACTTTCCCACTTAGAGCCAGTGTGGTATTGTGGTGAGACTGCTGAACTGGAGACCTGTGAGAACTCCAGTTCTCATTTGGTCATTAAGCTCAGTGAGTGACCTGGGCCACTCTCAGTCCAAACTACCTTACAGGGATGGCAAGAAAGGGAATCTTGCAAGCTGCTTTGGATTCCTTGCAAGAAGGAGAACACATTATAAATGTAATGTGATTGTGATGATTTTTACCATGGAATAATGTCCATTCCAGGAATGGCACAAGAGGCCCAGCTATGCATTTCCATTTGATACTATTTGCACAGAAGATACTATTTGCACCACCCCGGCCACTTCCACTCTTGAACAACATACACACAAAGATATCTTTGCAGCTTTGAAGTTGGGATCCAAGATACATCTCAAGCAGGAAACAGGGAGAAAGAAGAAATAAGGATTTGGATACAAAGACTTTCTTCAATTTTTTTTCATTCAGCAATTGACCAGATTAATAGGTGGAAAAAGTGGCAAGCCAGCAAGTAAACTGAACCGAACCAATTTCACAGTTGCCATTTCTCATACAGACTCTTAAATAAGAAATTTTCTCTGCACACAAGAAAAGAAAGGAGACTAGAGGATGGAAGAACTGACTTTTTCACCTCATTGGCCTCATCTTCATATGTAGTCAAACCGCAGGAACATGTACCTTCACACCCCTTTGTAGTGTCTCACAACAGCTACCTCTTACAGAGCAGCAACTGGACTATAAAACGGAGTTGCTTACCTGCCGGTCCATCTTTTGCTCACAACTAGAGACAGAAGGCAGCTGCCAGCACGGTGCTGCTGTGGCGCCTTTAGAACTGAGCTGGAACGGCTATGCTATTGCTTGCAGCATGTCACAAGAAAGGGATATATGTATGGGGAGAACTTTTCAGGGGCATATTTTGCTAATTTTAACTTGACATGAAACCAACCAATGCAGTTATGCACTCAAATATTCTGAAACATATAATAAACACATCTCCCCTCACAATCTCCCTGAGCCAAACTATGTACTGATCTCATAGCTAAAGACTAGTATATTTACTCTAGTGTAAGCATGATCAGCCCTGATTCAATTTGGGATCACTGTGCACTGGGAGTTGAAGATTAAACCTTCTCCTTGCGCTGTCATTGCCACAACACTTGGTCTCAATGGGCTCCTTTTTCTTTTTCAACACCTTCTCAAGGAGAGAAGATTTTTCAGGAAAAAATAATGGAAGCAAGTTAAATCTCCCCATTCTTAGTACATGACGGTCATAATCTGAATCAGGCAATGCATACTTACAGGAGAGTTAATAAAGTTAATGCTCAATTGCATTCTTGGGCTACACAATTAATGTACCTGTTGTTTGGCCCTAGCATGTGCTCTCTCTCAACACGCACGCACGCACGCCCCTCTTCAGCTTATGCACTTAGTTATGCAGCAAACCAGATGTCACATTAAACATGACTTTGAACCACTTGTTTGTGATACTCATCCTTCTTTATTAAACAAACAGTATATGTGGAATTAAGAGCTTTGGTTGTTGTTGTTGAGACCAGAGCATGCCAAGTACAAGTTTGATGTTACCCTACAAATAGCTCAGGGCAGCGTTTTAACATCACAGGGCCTGCAAGGACCTTGGGTCGACAGCTTCTCGCAGGCCCAAGGACATCCAATGAGCTTCAGGGTTGAACAGGGATTTGACCCCAAGTTTCCTAGTTCAAGATTTGAAGTCACTATAGCATATTGGTTCTTTGTCATGCAACACTGAAAACCCATTTTCACCCCAAAGCAGATACTGTTCAGTGACAGAGAAATGATCCTCATCCTCAAGCAGACATGGCCTCTGCCCTGCACCCTTGCAAATGTGGAGACAGCTCAGTTTTGTGATGGATCTGAGGCTTTTCAGCCCCAACACACCACCCTGTCACTCGCCAGGCAGGAAATATCAAGACAGTGAATACATTATATCCATCAGCATTTGATGTATTCACTTGTCACAAGGGCTGGAGAATCATCAGGTGACTATGTCTCATAGGATCTTAAAATATGTTGGTGGTTTTTAGGAATCTAATACATTTATGCCACTCAATTCAGCACATATCTCTTCCCCACAGCCTTTTGGAAATAAGCATGAGTCAACAAGCTGCAGCAGCAATGTCTGACTTTCCATGCATTTGTTTCCATAGCGTGAGCATATCATTCTCCAGGGTGATGGATCAGTGGAGGTTTCTCAGACAAGACATTTCTAGTTTTGCTCCTGCTAACAGAAGTTCAGTGAAAATGAACTTTTCCTCACAAATTGGCAGACATGATCGAAGAAACTTACATTTTGGTCTGTCCATCTCTGCCACTGCCACTGCCACTGCCTCTTTCTCATTCTCTTTCACTTTCTCTTTCTCTTTCTCTCTCACACAGTGTTTGTGCTTTATAAGTAATCTGTCAAAGTTATTTTTAAAGAGTTGTGACAAGATAAAAACTGACAAGTGTTCCCTTTTTGATATAATTTTATTTCTTCCTATTGGCATTTCAGATTTTAAACTTTCTTCTATGAAAAAGTGTTTGCAAATGTACTTTGGAATAAACTACAAAGAAAACAAAATTGTAACAAGAAATGACAAGGTCCTGAGGAAATGAAAAGTCATTTGTTTCATTTTATTTCTTCTTCTAATGACTGCATTTCCATTATTCTGGTGTCTCAAGGCCACTTCACATAAATGAGGTTTTTCCTGCACAAAAGGAACTTCTGGGTGGGAAACTATTCTGCATATTGCATCTTGGAGAACACAAACGTTATTTGTTTTCCTATGCATGCATGCAATGGGGAGCCACTGACAACTGTAGGTTCCCACTGGGTACACACACACAGATGTTGTGAAAATTCATAGTATGTGTTAAGCAACAGAGACATTTGACACCACTGCCTCAAAAGAAGCAGCTTTCATGGGTAAAGCAGTCCACAGACAAGAGGATTCCCTCCACATGGGCCAAAGGCAGATCTGAACTAAATGGTAAATTTCAGCGCACTCTACGGTACAGAAAAGGCCTTCTGATTCCCAAGTGTCTAACAACAAAAAAACTAAAGAAATTCAAACTGAATTAGGTTGCTGAAAAGAAGCTGGCATTACCCTAACTGAAACCCTACAAAGCAGGCTTCTGTAAGAAAGAACTGAGATCAGTACTGAAATAATTTCCTTGATTCCGAATGTGCTCAGAGGCATTCTGTTAATGTTCTGTTTGGTAGACCTTGGGATTCTTGAAAAAAACGTAGTAGATTAGACAAGCCTGAAGTCTGCCCACCTATGCACTGGAGTATTGGCAGGATTATCTTGGCAGGATGGAGGGGTGTGGGGAGAGAATGCACTCAGAAAATAAAATAAATGTCTACAAATGTGAGGAAGGGGAACATGCTCCTTTTCAAAGTTTCTCCTGATGTGACTTTACATTATAGCTTTGCTTCGCTGGAATTTTCAGACTGCCAGGATAATGCAAAGCCTGCCGACTCCTTCTATAGACACGAGACAACCTGTAAACCACTCACAGTGGTGAGCACCTTGACAAGAGGCTCCTAAATCCTTCCAATGGCTGAAATAT